CAGAAAATATAAACATTCTTGTAATCCTTAAAAACAGCATTAATCTTCCAATTATCCAAATTACCCAAATGTAATAAATAATATACCTTGGCTGCTCCTGTATGGGACATTTGCCCAAAGATGGGAACTTCCAACGTGGAAACTTTCTGACTCATGCAAAGCAACGTTAACACATCTTTTCTTGTTGACACATCCGCATCGTACCAATTCATGTTGTAAACGGCTTCCGACACATTATCAATCTGTTATTAAAAATAATAGAAGAATTCATATTTTCAAATAAATGTATGCGTAAGACTGAGTTACTCTTACCGCTGTTGTGAATCTCTGTCCAATAGTGTGACATACAAATAAACTTACGAAAATCGCTGCTGTTGCGGGAAAGTTTATCAAGTCTTTTTTCTAAAAGTTTTATTATTTATTAATTAAACTATATGGGACAGTAACTCAAAACTCAAACCAGAATAACGACAGTAGTAGACATAGTTAAAGAAAGGGTAGCAAATATTTTTGTTGGTACAAGAAATCCAATGTAGATATTTTTAGCATACTGAAATATCCTGAAATCGTTAATTGTTAATTTCATAGTAATCTTAAATCTTATTAAAGAAATAATGCTCGAAATTATAATACCGAAATATGTCGAGATGTTGTAAGACAACAGGCCACAACATTTCAAAGTTTCTCTTCTTGTTTCTGGTGAACCTTGTGTTATCAATAGATTCTTTAAAATGTTCTATACGAATAACTATTAATTCAAACGAGTACCAATACAATAATATGGTAAGGAATGAAACGTTTAGAGTTATACCTATAGTATATATTTGAAATAACAATATTAACGTCATATGCCATTGTTTCAATTCAAATGGTACATAATATTCAAAGAGTAAACAATGCTTAGTATTCTTAAAGATGGCGCAGTTTTTCTGTAACATAACACTATACGAGAAATAAAACGCCATAAGAAATGCTCCACAACGAATAGCTTTTAGGATAGTTTTCATATTTTTTTCAATAAATTTAAAACGTTGCGGAATACCGAATTTGCTGAAATCACTCAATGAATGAATCATAAATTCTAATTCATGACGTTGACTCGGCAATAATTTAATATTAATAAATATAAGTAATAACATCGGCGCTGCATACTCAATATTGGTTAAACATTTTGTAAAATTTGCCTTCAAATCTGAAATTATTAAGAAAATAATCATAATGTTTGTCTTTAATGTTTTTACATAACACTTACCTTTAACGTTCATGATCACTGGATAAGCTGACCATAAGAGATTAATACTTATCAAAATAGTTGGTCCAATTCCTCGTAGTCCATGCGACGTGGGCCAACAACCACATATTCGAAAATATTTTTCTATAAGAAAAAAACCAAGCGTTTTTGTCATTTTAAACAATGCTGAATTGATACTACTGAATCGACTAAATGAAAAGAACAACAACAAACAAGAATGTAGAACGCAGGTATTATTATCACATTAGTATTAATAATTGAATCGTTGCAATTAATTTACGATCAGTGGTGTTTTGCAGCCAAGAGAAAATAAACAAGTTTTATGGAGGTACGACGATTCTTCCAATAAACTTAATGTCTAATATACTTTTATGCCCACTTGTAAAAAATAGTGTACAAAATGAAATTTGTTTAACAATATGCAATAAAAGCTTAAAAAAACGAGCTTTGAACTGAGAAAAATTAATAGATGTGTTTTACGGCAAAAAGATATGTTCAATTTAAAACGAGCAAGTGCAATCGGGCCCTGTATTATTTCAAATCGAGTTTGCTATGTTACATTAGTTACCAAAATGTTATGATTATTATTATTATCATATCGTTATTGACAATAAAAATAAACAAGTCAATAATCTTTTTATCCATATGTTACCGGCAATCTGTATAATCCGGTATTTTATACAATACCTAGGCAATTTATAGAATAGCTAAAACGTTTAGGTAATATATGAAATATTATTAATTTTATACTTTGCCTAAGTATTCTATAAAATACCGAATGCGAAGCCGGCAATGTGTAAAAGGCAAGAACAGAAGAGAGAGAATTTTTTTACTTACTCAATTCTGAGAGGTCAGTAGATCTACGTCTTGTTTCTACAGAATTATTTTGTTTCCTAAGTTTTTAGTACTTATTACTTGATTACTTATAAGCAAATGACATTATGTTAGTTAACCCAGAATAATTTTAAGTTTAATGTAATTTAATTGTGATTTTACTATAGTTACAGAAAGGTACTAGGTGCTTTTTTTGTACACTAACTTATAGATTATAAAAAAGTTTATTATGAGTAGAAATTGATAAATACAGACCGAAATTTATTTATTTTACACATTGCCGTACGACCAACAGGTACTCTATGTAATCCCCAAGAATTGTATACATTACCTAGGTAAAGTATCTAAGGGACAATAATCTTCATAATATTTCATACATTGCCTAGACACCCCAGGTATTTTATACATTACCTAGGCATTGTACAGAGTATCTGAATTATACAGATTGACGGTAACATATACATTAAAAATTATATAAAAGGATAAATATAACATTTATTATTCGTTATTTATAATAAAAATAGTACTTGATACTCCAATTTGTACTGGAGTAATTTCTTTTCTTTTCTCGGAATTGTCTTCTGAATATGTCTTGGTCTGGCAACATCTTCGGTGATAACATCCTCCGATATTTCCTCACAAATCTTTTGTTCTTAAACTACATGTCAGTACCAAGGCTTTTCACAGATCTTTGAATGGATGTAGAAGTTCTGTTCAATATAGGGAGTAAAATCCTGCTTGAGATATCCAGTGGTTTTGAAAATTATAATGTTGTAAATCATAGCCCATTGGTCAAAATAGTTAGATTATAATAAAAAAAAACATAATTCAACAATAAATATATTTATTTGAAGTTTAATTATCGTGCAATATTTGTGAGAAATGTCATTTTAACAGCTTTACACTACTATTTAACATAGTTATTAAATCCTGATGTAAGTTTTAAAAGCTTTTCATCTTTTTAACATTTACTATCCAATTACAGAAAACATAAACTTTCTTGTAATCCTTAAAAATAGCATTCATTTTACAATTATCCAAATTACCCAAATGCGATAAATAACATACCTTAGCTGCTCCAGTATGAGACAATTGCCCAAAGATAGGAACTTCCACTGTGGAAACTTTCTGACTTATACAAAGCAACGTTAACACATCTTTTCTTGTTGACACATCTGCATCATACCAATTCATGTTATAAACGGCTTCCGCTACATTGTCAATCTATTATTAAAAATAAAAGAAGAATTCGTATTTTCAAGCAAATATGTGCGTAAGACTGCGTTACTCTTACCGCTGTTGTGAATCTCTGTCCAATGGTGTGACATACAAATAAACATACGAACGCCAATGCTGTTACGGAAAAGCTTACCAAATCTTTTTTCTAAAAGTTTTATTATTTATTAATTAACCTATATGGGAGAGTAACTCAACGCTCAAACCAGAATAAATATAGTAGTAGACATAGTTAAACAAAGGGGAGCAAATATTTTTGTTGGTACAAGAAAACCAGTGTAAATATTTTTAGCATACTGAAATATCCTGAAATCGTTAATTATTAATTTCATAGTAATCTTAAATCTTATTAATGAAATAATCTTCGAAATTACAATACCTGAATATGTCGAGATGTTGTAAGACAACAGGCCACAATATTTCAAAGTTTCTCTTTTTGTTTCTGGTGAAGCTTATGTTATCAATACATTCTTTAAAATGTTCTATACGAATAACTACTAATTCAAACGAGTACCAATACAATAATATGGTAAGGAATGAAACGTTTAGAGTTATACCTATAGTATATATTTGAAATAACATTATTAACGTCATATGCCATTGCTTCAATTCAAATGGTACATAATATTCAAAGATTGTACAATGTTTAGTATTCTTAAAGATCACGCAGTTTTTCTGTAACATAATACTATATGAGATATAAAATGCAATAAGAAACACTCCATAACGAATAGTTTTTGTGATAGTTTTCATATCTTTTTCAATAAATTTAAATCTTTGCGGAATACCGAATTTACTGAAATCACTCAATGAATGAATCATAGATTCGAATTTACGACGTTGACTCCGCGATAATTGAATATTAATAGATAGAAGTAATAACCCCGGCGCTACATACTCAATATGGAATAAAAATTTTGTAAAATTTGCCTTCAAATCTGAAATTATTAAGAAAATAATCATAATATTTATCTTTAAAGTTTTTAGATTACATTTACCTTGAACTTCTATTATGAATGGATAAGCTGACCAAATCATATTAATGCTCATCAAAATAATTGGTCCAAATCCTCGTAGTCCATGCGATATGGGCCAACTACCACATATTCGAAAATATTGTTCTATAAGAAAAAAACCAAGCGTTTTTGCCATTTTAAACACCGCCGGATTGATACGACTGAATCGACCGAATGAAAAGAACAAGAAGAATGTGGAACGCAGGTATTATTATCACATTACTATAAATAATTGAAACGCAGGAATTGATTTACGATCAGTGATATTTTTAATTTTACAGCCAGGAGAAAACAGAATAATGTTATGGAAGTACGACAAATTTTAGGATAATCTTAATGTTTATGATGATTTGAATTAATCATGTACAAACTAAAATGTATTGAACCATGTAATAAAAGCCGTCTTAAGAGATGCACGGCTAAACCCGTATGTTTCTAATTCTAGGTTTAGTGTTACTTCTAGTGCTAGTGTTAGCTCTAGTTTTAGCTGTTATTCCGCGTTAGATTACTTTTTTTTTTTTAAATGAATCTGATCTCTCCAGTTTGTTATCCTTAACAAACACGTAACCTATAAAAGCGTCAACGCACCTACAATCCACGAAGTTTATAAAAACCGATTATCGATTAACTCATTCAAACGTAAAGATTTGCTAAACGTTGGCATGACGACAAAAGCCGTTCCCCCAAAGAGAGGATTCGATGAGCATATGATCGAAAGATTTTATCTCATCAGTGACCTACCAACGATGTCCTTAGACGCAACTAACACGTCATCATTACAAAATACAACTTCAGATGTAAGTCTGAAAGATTCTCCATCAGAATCATCGAGTAGTTCACCAAACCCGATGAGTGGAAGTCGAGATCATGATTTGTGTATATTCGGAAGTAATTCGAGATTAAACCGTTCGGCTACAGTGAGGAGAGTTAGTGCTCCAAAGAAAATTGAAAATACAAGCGCTGATGATTTTATGGTGGTTCATCAAACGAATATTGAAAAATATCGTAGATCGCTCGATAGTACTTATAGACATAGTTTGGAATCGATTTCTGAATATAAAACGAAAAATAATTTTTCTTTATATCCCAATCGAAATGCTTGCTCTATGGATTCGGCTTCTTCCGATTGCACGGATTATGGAAGAAGACATTCGTCGGATACTTTTAAAGATTGCGGTGATAAAAATTTCGTTAGTCCTAGTACGAGTTATTTAAGTTGGATTGAAAGTGTAAGCAGTGAATTTTTTGGTACCGCTTCTTCTAATACTGATATAGTTGATGTTGATAATAAAGTAGGCGAGTGGAATAATTTTTGGTTAAATTATAATAATCCCCATAATAGATATGTTTCCACTCATTATAAAGGTTCAGTTGATGATCGAACCGCTGATGACGTTTCTGATTGTAAAAGTACGTGTAGTACGCATAAAGATTATGATAAAATCTCAACCGAACATATAGTATTGACATACGATGAAGTTATGGACATAATGCATTATTCACAAAAAATCACCGAAACTTTACAAAAAGCTATAAGAAGAAATGATGAAATAGAACATTCAAGAAATGATTCTTATTATTCACAACAAACGGTAAGTTTTCTGGAAATAGTTTTAAATAAATTTTATTTAAGAAAAGTATTTTTATAGAGTTCTTATTGCGAAGAAATCCCAAGGGATAGAGGATTTAGTTACACGGAACCGGAAGTACAAAAACAAAAGCAGTTATTGAAGCCCCCATCTACGCAACCGGGTAGCTGCATAAACGCCCTGCTTACAACAGGAGTTGCAGATATATTGAAACGGGTCATGAATAAACGTAAAGATGTGTTATCAACCGAAGATGGCGCCCCAACATCTGGAAGAGCAAGTTTTAGTTCAAAATAATTTAAATTATTTATAATAAATAATTTTAATAATAAATAATGATTCAAATTTAAATATTTAAATAATGATTGTTGATTTAAATTTTTACTTATATTTATTTAAAGGTTTTGTAGTTGTTGTCACTATTATTTACATCTACATATCTAAGCCATCGATCAAACTAGAAAAATAAAAATTATTGTAGAGTTTAGTTACTCTTCAGATATTTCCAGTTATAACGCCATTATTAGCTATATTACTCTATCTTATGCAGAGTATTCAAAAATTTAATTATCGTTTTAGGAGACTCAGTGGCAAAATCTTATAAAAAATGGCTGAATTACATCTTTTGAATTTTATTAATAGGCCATGGACAAGATAATAAGATAACACCAGAACTAGGAATATTAAAACCCAAAGAAGTTGTAATGAACCACTTTCATGATATACCATCTGTACAAAATATACATACATAGTTTATGAACTCATACAAAATTATTCACTTACCTTATGGTTACTGCGATCTCTTCTGTTGGATAGAAATCATAGACAAGTACAATATTTTAGAAATATTTACAGTATCAAGCCCGAATTTTTGAAATTGTCCTTGCGCTCATTTTAAACGCCTACTCATTCTTGTTATTGTTCAAGTTATTTTCTGATCCGTTTGTTAAAAAGTGGTGAATGGTGGCTTAATGGCGCTGGGCGAAGATTTTTCAGTTGCAATTTAGTAGTGTTGTACTTTTCCCTATGTGGTTCAGATTCGATCAATATGATTATGTAAACATATTATGTGAAGGTTTCAACATTCATCACGTAAACGATGTCTGTGATATTTGTCGTCACTATGGAAAATGAGACAAATGCATGTCTTTTTGAAAACCTAGCCAGTAATACTAGCATGAACCATTTTCTGAGTCGGTACTTACAACTTTAAGACTGCTTATCCAATATTTAGTTGTTATAATCGTGCCCCAGACAGGCTGTGCATGCTACAGTAGATAAATTTGTATCGAAGTATTCACTATTGATGTTGCTGTGCTAGCGAAACAACGCACTGGTCGAAGTACTGAAAATATCACAGCCATAAGTGCTTCAGCTCAAAATTAACTAAATCCGTCGATTCCACGCCGTTTATAGGAATTAGCAACCTCTCAAACCACACAGATGCGAATTTAGCGTAAAGTATTATTGCTTATTGCACAGCAAGAAATCCACTTGTACCTACTTCAAGAGCTACATTTTTTTATTGATGAAAATGGTCGCTATGTTACAGGTTAATAGACTTCACAATAATGCCATATTGGAAGACCCCTTCGTAGTTACTGCCATAACAGTCGTTTGCTACGTGTAAGACCTATAATTTCCAACTCAACGGTTCTCTTGAGATGTTGATGTGTATGATTCTATCTATCTCTCTGAATGTCTCCTTAGAGGTCATCGTGTCCGTAGTTTGTCATCTCATGCGATGTTTCTAATCTCTCTCCGAACATTCTGCCCACGTGATCATTACAAGCTCTTTTACGTTTATGCCGCCATCTGATTATGTCTCATATTCTTCATATCTGTTGTTCGAACGCTCTTATTTCTATAGTGTATGTCAGTATAGGTCTAACACAAGTTTTGTATATTCTTACTTTTTATTCATGTAGGTATTATTCTATAGACGTCTCGAAGTGCGCCTGATATTATTATTCGATTTTGATATGAGGTGATTTGTATGCCTAGATAGTCAAATCAGATGACTTGCTCTATTACTTTACTTTCCAAAGCAAGTTTGCATCTCACTGGCTTTATCTTTAGATATAACGAAGGTTTTAGTTTTTAGTGTTATCTAGTCTTTTCCAGTTCATTTCCACAAGTTTCTGTTGCGTCGCAACTGCTGGGGTCTGACGTTTTCGTGAAGAAGCAACACTTCACGGATGGAACAATCCCATTTTTGCGTTGATAGTGAAGCCTAATTTGATCCAAGAGACTGCCGTTGATGGTATGATGTCCGTGTAAGAAATCTATCAATAGGACATCCCTCCAGTAGAAAAAAACCGTGATCAACAGTTTCCCCGCAGACAATCGAGTTCCAGCATTCACTGGAGTTTCTTGGTCTTTTATTCTCCACCCCCGTGTCTCGTCACAGTGACAATTTTATGCAAAATAGCTTCCCTCTTTCTTCTTCAAAAAGAGTTTGGAAATACGAATTCTTGCGGCTTTTTGGTCATCATTCAGCAACCTTGGAAAAAAACGTGCTGAGATTTTTCTGGAGCCCAACCGCTTTCTTATGATTGATTGCACTTCCATGGCTGACACCAAATCCTTCGGATATTTTAAATAAATTCGTTGCACCAAACCTTCACTCTTGACCATGAAAGGATAGCGTCCTCGAACTAGGCATGCAATCTCCGTTAAATTTCGGCTGATTTCACTTTATAATCATACGTTGCTCAACAGCGACGAGCACACTTCTCTCACTTATCGTAAGGGCTACTAAATTAAGCTGGTGTGTAATGATGTGGTTTCCCTACTGTAAGTATCCCTACCTAACAACTTCAAATAACCAATCACAAGCAAATATCCACGCTCAACTACTAAAGGCTTGATTATATTTGATTGTCCCACGTATGTTTCTGATACGGTTTATTATTTCGTCCATTATCAAATTGGACATTTGCGAGCTTAAGGAGTCGGATTCCGGTTGACGTTTGTATTTTCTGTCAGTCTTTGATCAACAATTTCGTTGTTTTATTATGGTTTTTGGCACATATTTTCTTTTTAAGATATCAACTACGTTGTACAACCTTGCCCTGTTAAACGCTTTGGTGAGATCTATGAAGCATATAAATGTGGGTTTTCATATAAATCTATTTGGAAAATAGATTTTGAAGCTGGCATCCCCGGTTGATCCATTTTTTCTGGACCCCTCGATGAATCAACATCGATATGTTTACATACTCGCTGATTATTGCTTCTATGATTTTTGTTCATGTTAAGCTTAATAGGTTACACCTCTATAATTTTTTAGTGATTTCTTGTCCCCTTTTTTGAATATGAAAATGGTTATGCACTTTTTCCATTCTGTAGAGACTTGTTTGGTTAATAATATTTTATTGGAGTGCTTTGTAAGTTCTGCCATTAATTGTTGTCCTCCATATTTTAGCTATAATAGCGCATTTGATATATTATCTAGCCCGGATATTTCCTGTTTCACTTGGTATCTCTGGATGTTCTTCCAGGTTTTCATCGTTTTCCTCATTTTTTTCTTCGTCCTTCTTTTCGGTGGCTCGAACGACTTATCGATTTGTTGTGTTTTTGTGTACCTACTTCGCGTTTTCTTCTTCTTATTAGAGAGAGAAATGAGTTGAAATTTTCCTAAAATTCCCATTTTATGTTTGTTATATCTGCGTTGACTGCGTCGATTTCAAGCTATTATTTAATTTCAGCCTCTAATTAGACATTTTAAATCATTAATGGGATGCTGTTACCTTTTTTTGTTTCAACACGGGATTTTTTAGAAGTCCAACATTTTCAACATCGTCCGTAGGCGATAAGACATGATCTGAGGTTCATTTGTTAGCTATTGTATTTTAGCTTTGAGCCCTAAGTACTCCGAGTTGTACAACAAGCTTTTTATTATACAAAAACCACTAAATTTGCTACATAAATTTTGTTTATTTGAATATGTTTGCGGATACACATTTTGTAAAGTATAAAAGAAACAAACAAAAACTACAGGTTTCTTTTTAAGTTTGTCTTTCGGACACCAGAGTAAATCCAGTAAATATCGTCTCATTATAATAATCATCGTTATTCATATTATAATAATATCCGAGAGTAATTATTGTTATTTTTTATCTTTACTTTTTATTTATTCATTTTTTTTACTCCAAGATTATATATCTACAGGTGAGAGATTGAACAATAAGAAGGCACCGCTGAAAGAAGACAGGGAATAATTGCACAAAGATACTTAGGATTCGATCAGATATACAACAACTTTAGCTTTGGTTCGGTCGCGACTGAGAAACGAGCATCATTTACAATGAATGATTGATTGTGTCTCGTATTACAAGAGAAACGAAAATTAAATTTGGAAGAAACTGTAACAAAATGAAAATTGGTTATTTTGTTTTCATTTTTCCTTTATGTATTTTTTCTTTTCGTTTTCTTCGTTGAGTTTTTTTATATACTTCTAGTTTTTATCTACTTTATCAGTTTTTCCAACGCTTTTCGCAACAATCTCAACTGGAACGTTCTATGTACCTATTACAGTTGCTTTTATAATTTATTTTTATTATTTTTATTCTCATTGTACTGCAACTAATAACTTATTACTCGAATTATTTAGGAACTTAACGGTATTAAAGATTCGATAATACAGATTCTTTCGATTTTTTTTTCATTTTTTGGACGAACAAACTCACACTAAAAACATTAATAATTCAATCAATCAATTAATATAAACGTTCTTAATATTTATGTACAAAAACCTCGATATGACACAGTAATTAACTTATTGCTAACATTTTACGAAGAAACTATTTAATAAATTTGTATATCAACGTCAATTTGTTAACATGTAAGACCTGAAAATATTTTTATGTACGCATCTAAACACCGAAACAAACGCATTTTTACTTTATTATTTATGTTTGGTTTATTACGTAATTCAAACGTGTTTAATTATTGCACCTTCACAATCCCTCTAAATAATGAGTAGTCATGAAACGAACTATAGCTTATTCATCTTCAAAACGCCTTATACTTTTTATATTTTCAATATATTTGTTTTGTCATTCATTCCGTGAACACACCAGATTTGTGGGAATTTTATTACAAACGTACCGATACTTTTTGTTAGTATATTGTTGCTATTAATTTTTTACGGTGGCGCAATATCGATTATTAATTTTAATAATTGATCGTGTACTTTGTGCTTAATATTCGCGATTATTTTTGCATTCGTTTATTTAATATTGATTCTAATCATCTAAAACACATATGACTTAGTTTTTTCTCTTAAGATAGTCCTTAGATTCGTTTATTTTTTATATTATACAGAATTTACGCAGTTTGGATATAACTTTAAAGCTATTGTGTAACACTAATCGTAAGCGATAAGTGGCTCTTCTTATTTGCAATATTTATATAAAATACAGCTTTTTTTCTATATACTTAGAGTGTATATACAGCAAATTTCGTGCGATTAATAAGGCTATAGTTTAAATTATTAAAATGTTGATTTTTAATGTCTATGCATTCGATTTTATGTGAAGGTAAATTTTAAATTGTTATTTAGTTGAGTACTTAAAGTTTAATGTAAAAGTAAGTCAATTCCAAAATTTTCCAATGTTATCACTTAAATGTTAAAATAATACTAGAAACATACAGGTTTAGATGTGAGATTAATGCAAAATAGGTTATCTAAGGCTCAAAATTCCGGATTATGGAAATATCAAATATTTCGTACATAAAACTTTGGATTGGGTTATAACATCCTGAGAAACAAACTGTATCTGCTACTATATGAAATGTAACTTCTGTCTTGCACACCCATAGGGAAGAAAGAGCATTACAGTCAAACAGATTGCAGCAAATTGTTCCATCATTAAATAGAGATATTATTATTAGGATTATTAGCTCCTGATTCAAAATTGTGTGATATTCCAGTAAAACCGAAGACACTGAGGTTGCTTTGATAAAACTTTGTTCTATCCGAGAACTATATCATATTGCATGTATCAAGCTTTCTAACACAATCATGGAAAAAATAACATTGCAAACATTTGTAGATTTAGCAGAAACACTTTAGGAGCATTTAAAAAACTCGTAACTAGCAATTGTCAACCTTTACAACTTGTGACCACTCTATTTTTGAATAAAGTTTCAAAAACTCTCTTTTTGAAAAATCAATTGCGAAAAAAAAGTCTTGTATATATTTTTTCTGGTACACCTCCTACAAGAAAAATGTTTTAGAAATACTTTTACAGATGCAATGTTTTGAAATAAGATCATCCTTAATACAAAATACGAAAATATCATACCACACTACGTGCCAAAAAAATTGTAATATTTCGAAAAAGATGAGGCACCATGCTGGAACCTTAACGAAACAACTGGATGCGTGTAAATAGTCGGTGATAAAAACATCATATTGATACACAAAGAATTGCAAGTGTTTATATGTCTTTTTTTTTTCTGTGAAACAGACAATCTATAACAGAAAAGTTAAAAATTGCACCACAAAGTAAATCCCATTTGGTGAGTAAACGTTGTTTCTTCGATTATTAACAATGCCTTGAGTTGGAGAAGACCGCGGTTTAACCAGTTGTGTGACTTGAAAGAGGGCAAATTGTTGGCCTGCACGAGGCAGGTGTTCGTGAAATTGGTCGAAGATTGAATTGAAACCCTTAAACAGTGCTTCGAGCACGGATGAGCAAAATGATCGACGGGTAATGGTAAGAAGATTCCGTGGCGAGCTGCACAGCTTAGATTTTGTCCTTTGACGCGGCCAAACACCTGGTATTATGGTATGGGGTGCCATATCGTTGGGGTATAAGTCACTTCTAGTTGTCATCCCCAGCAGTTTAAATGCACGAACGAACATCCTGACATCATGTTCACTATACAACGATGGGTCACTATATAAGGCATTTACTATAAGCACCAAACACCTTATAGGAACTTCGTCGTCATCTATAGCAAGCCTAGGTTGAGATTCCACAAGATTATCTCAATCAGAGCATTCCTTGCAGAATTAGATAGTGCAGAAACAATCGTGGGGATGTAACATTGTATTGACACAAATTGTTGGATTTTTTTTTAATTGTAAACATTACAGCTTTGCAACCCAACTCTTTCGAGGGGTTGCAATTTTTTGGCATGTAGTTTATATGTAAACGAAATCTGTGAACTTATCAAGATTTGTTAACTTTAACATTATGAGATAGTATGATAGAAAATATTAGATATCATTTTAATTATTATCTTCAGAGTAGTTAAAAATAAATTTATCAACACTACTAGTTGTATTAAGCCTTTGTTTATAAACATTCTTATAACGATTTTGTAAAGAAGTTTCAAATATATGAAACATAAAAAAAGGAGGATGAGCATGAAAATCATGATTACCGCTATTATTTAAGAAATGGCAATGAATACGTCGAGTAATTTCCATCGAAGTGATGAAACTTTTATAACGTGAATACAAAAAGTTGAGCAAAAACACAAATTCAAAATCTGCACGCAGTTGGTCAATGCAAGAAGGTAGGCACTCTGTTGTTTCAGAAAAATCTCAAGCAAAACACTAGAAATTCTCATATAGATAAGTTTAAATTAATGTAGGCGTTTTAACAATATAAAGTTAACTCTGCAAAAATGAGCTGTGTTCTTTAGGAATATTCAACTACGTATTGTCACGTATTCGTGACGCACCGAACTCAACAATCTGAAAGTTACCGCAGCCTTGTAATGTCCCTCTTGTCTGAAAATGTTGAGAGCTAGATGACAAATCGGCTTACTAAAGAAGGATGATGGTTTCTCTAAAGTTTACTCATTCTTGTTACTATACAGTTTCAGTTTCGAAAAACTCTTTAGTTATTTAATACCGATAATAGGAAACAAGCTGTCAGCTAAGAAAATCTGTGAAGACGAAAAAATTAAGGTACGATATAAACAGCTTTCAGGACAAACCCTACTATAGCAGGACTATAAACTAGAAACAAATCTTTCACCATCGTTCTTTGGTGTTTCGCTACATACTTAGATGTTGGCGTGATGTCATCACATAAAGAATGTCTGTCTTTTACATAAATTACTAGATTTCAATCAACATCCTTATACTCAAAGCAAGTCCACAATGACCTCTTTATTGTCTGGCCAGCTTTTGGAAGAAGCATTGTTGGTCATAAGATAACAGCATGGAGTGGAACATCCTTGACGTTACGTAATCTTTTGACCGTTGTAATCCTCTGTGATTTTGTGTAAATTCATAACAATTTTCCAAAAATTCGATTTTTAATGCTCGCCGAAGTAAGCACATTTGGATTTGGACCTCACCTCGTCTAACATCTAAAGAGTAATTTGATTTAAAATTACACCCATATAGCATGCAGTTCATGCAACAAGCGATGGAGAACGGTCACCAGTTGCGATCAGAATTTTGGCTGCAAATTATGAATAACAAACATATATGACGAACCAACAACATAAATCATTTTCTAGTTACAGGTTACATGAACAAGCAGGAGTATCGTTACTTTGCAATGTTGGTGTGATCTAAGCCTTTGTTGCACCTTATTAAAACAAAATAGGTTTTAACTTTGGAATGTCAAATTTTTAAGTCAAATTAAACAAATAAGAAATATTTCGCAGATTGTTACATTGTTAATAATGGGCGCTGCAATCGATAGAACATGGGAGATTCTATTACTTATAACTTTTCTTCTTTATTTGATGAAAGTGTAGTCAGATTTATTATAGAAACTATATCCTCAACTTCAAATATATCTTACCCCACGTTCATAAGAATGTTTAAAGATATGCAAGTGAATGTTTCGAATCGTTTCTTTGCCGTAAAGAAAATCGTCGAAATGTACTAATACGATTAGTACTAATTAGTACTAATATGATTTGACAAAATTCGGTTTTGTATATAAAACAGCAGATATGGTGCGGTGTAGGTAGAGCAGTTTCATTGAAATAGGTAACTTGTCACTGGATAAACGACATTTTAATACATTTATATGATAGAATTGCAGAAATTTTACACCACATTTATAGTTACATATATGACCTGAGTTCATAGAGATAAAGAAGATATATAAACAAATATAGAACTGGTATCTGAAACTGAGGCATTAATCGGATTTAGTAAATTTAATAGCAGATACTGGAATTGTTTGAAATTTTCAATTTGCTAATATTACAGAACATTCCGAAGTGAACATTATAAATCATTCTCAAAACACCTTACTGTACCTCTAACTAATAATAATAACTCTTTATGGAAAAATTCTTAATGTTTCGTAAAGTTACTTACGTATCAATCTGGAAAAGTCGCCAGTTTTATTGAATTATATGGGAAATTTAAGGTACAGAACAGGGTATTCAAAAATGACTTTTCCACCAGGGCACATAGTTAGGCAAACATTTGGTTATGTTCTTACATAAGCTCTACAATATAAAAGATCAAGCCCAGCTAACCAATCACACAACGATCTATAAAATAACATTGTAGTAAAAACTTTATTGGAAGAAACTTTTCTTTACCTTTAATTAATTTTAGGAATGTTATTTACCTTTTTACAGACTCTCCCAAAAACAGAATACTATTTTCAAGTAATATGAGTGAACGTTACATTTTAACATCGATTTTAGAACAAATATTTTATAAACGTTTATAAACTTTTACATTTACGTTAAAAGCCTTAGAATACCCAAATAAATCAATAACAAATAAATATTATTAAAAAAATGTTTCTAGTATTACTTCAAATAACATCGGGCGTGAAAACCTTCGTACTTATTTTTAGAAGTGTGCGTTTTATAACGATGTTTATAGTACTAGATTATTTAAAATAAATGTCAAGGAACTGTAATAATGATGTTTTTGATTTCGAATAAAAAAAAATTCGATTAATAAAGCCTTCACTTTTTTTTAACTCTTTGAACTAAATCAATATCCAATGGAGTGCGATTGAAAAAGCTATCTAGAGCAGCTATGCTCGAGTATCTATTATTTCTTATCAATATTGTTTTATAAAAAAGTATCGGTACGTTCTGCCCCACTTTTTCTTTTTAATCAATTTCATTATAATACACTTTTTTTACTCCCAGCAAAAACTACAACCGTAGATAAGGTTTTTACTATTTAGACAGCACTGTATTATTACTTTATTTACGACTATTTCTTGTATTGTTTATTTGTGTTTATGTATTTATTTATTGTATAAGATATTTAAAACAATGAAAACACAGAATCGGAACCAATATGAACAGCTAAATCGGGGGGGTTTATTATTTTATTACACACATTTACAATATACACCATGAGTAGTAATATACAGGGTGATGTTCGCGCGGCGTGGCTTTTTTTTTTGTTCGATAGTCAAACGTTTCGAAAAAGGTACCTTATAGTACGCGCGAATATGCGCTGGTGTGCTCAAGGACGGGCACTAAATAAACAATTATTATACGAAAAGTCTCTTTAGTATGTAATCGTTTTTAATATTTCATTTTCTTTCTATATTTCTTTCTTAACATTTATTTTAATAAATAATCGAGAATTTTTGTTATGAAACTTTTTGTAGCTTTATAAGAAATGTAAAAAAAATATACTTTTCATATGATACAACTTGTAACTACAGCATATAGGAATCTACTACATCCATGAATTCTGAAAATAAGTTGAATTTTAACTTCTTTTTATTAAATGAGTACGAGGAAGAAACCCAATCCAATTTTTGAATGAATATAAATTGAATTAGGTAGTTCCTCTATCTAAATGAATGTTAGTTGTAACTTCATGTTTCCATTTTGATCAATTCCAACTCTATTTCGGGTATTTTCCAACAAATAAAAAAGTGATTGGTATTAAGATGTATTTTAATCATTTTGTGAAACATTAAAAACTTATATTCTTAATATCAAAGAGAGACTTGTCATATATAAATTTGTTTAATTAATTTCTTTAAATAAAATCATTTTCATTTTCAAAAATAATAAGCATACACATAACTTTACTACATCAGCACGAATCATTTCGAATCTTTCGAACATTATAAAATCTGAATGAGAAGTGTCAACAACTTACAAATTTACGCGCCCGTCCGCCCGTTCCTACGCGTTCGATTCCTTCAGGTCTTGCAGCCTGGCCAGTTGGTGAGGTTCGAGTTCGTCGGGAATACTGGCCCTGCCGCCAACGACTTGCTTTGGCGGTTCGTTATCCTCCATCGGAGGAACGTTACAAATTGAATTTTCAGCAGTGCTTGGTCCCGTCGTTTCACCCTCTCCTTCAGTGCTACTGCTCACCGGGTATTGCGCGGAATCCGGTTGATCGTCGTTACCGTATCGGTCCTCCAGGTCTTCGAAGCCGCTAGAAGTGGTCGTTGTCATCGGATCGCCCTTTTCGATTTCCGTCATCTCGTCGTCGAAAGTTGGTTCCTCTTCTTCCGCTATCGTTGTCGCCGTCGTTGTTTCTTCGACGTGATTCGATGGTGGCGGTTCTTCCTCTTCCGTTTGCGGAAATGAATGGTCCGCTTCTTCGACCATTGGTGTCGCCGCTGTTATTACTATCTGAGCGACACCTAAACCGTACTCGTCTGTTTGGTCACTTTCCGTTACTGCTTCTCCGTCCTAAAGAAAAATTAAAAAACCAAAATTATTTGAATGAATTAAGTTTTAAAACATAGAGTAGTTTTATAAATAAACAATTTCAAATCGATTAATCGATAAAGGTGGTATCCGTAATGAACATGTTTGTAATTCCAAAAATGTTGAATCCGCTGGTCAATAATAACCCCATTGGAATTTGATCATTTCTGGAATTCGATCTAAATATATCGTTTATTATAAAACACACTCAAATCACGATTTTCAAAAAAACAACTAACAAACATTTTATTCATGCATTGCAGCTAAAGTTAATTATTCTAAGTAATTTTATCCAACGGTTTGTAATATTTAGGAAACAATTAAAATGTCGCAACATTAAACACCGAGTTACTTACCATCTTGTGCGTAGAATTCTGTAGATAAACAACGAGCTCTAAAACTAGCGAACCGAACTGTCAACGAGTTGGTGTAAAACTGAAAGTTTATTACGGATCGTATTGTTCTCCCTTGGGATGGTACTCCATTAAATTAGCTAATTAGCTCAAGTTTTAATTAATAATCGTATTTTGCTCACAACAACGGTTTTAATGAATGAATTAAAATTGCATAGTAAGCAAGAATATAACGAAACTAATAAGACGAAAAATTTAAATAATTTGGAAAAGTAGATTAATAAGTTATGATAACCATATTAATTTAGTATTAATACATGAAATTCTATTTTCATTCGATTAGCCATAGTTTCTTTCTTCGTCTCAATTCTTTCTCATTAATCTTGCACAGCCCTCAGAATGACACCGTGTTCAACTCGTTATTCAGTCAGCCCCAAGCTTTCAATTGAGATATAAAACATAAAAGTCCATCAAACCGTTCTTTAGTTATAGTCGATCAGGCGTCCATACGAGTAAATAAGCCGAACACGATGTCGTTCTAAGGGCTATAAAAGCTTAACGGAAAAGAATTGAGATCGGACATTTTATGATTTCAGTAAAAGAAACTTTTGCGAATCGAATGACATACAGATCTTGATAAAATAGTATATCGATTACAAGTTATGGTCATCTAAAGATGGTCATTTTTGTGTTATTCTCGTGTGCTTTCGCCATATTTTGGCGTTTTAGCAGAATTAAACGCTGAGATAACCTCGAAAACAATCAATCGGTTGTGATCTTATTGTTAGACGTTAAATTTTTGTGTATGTGCGTTTTATGTAGTGTCTTATCATTGATTATTTCACATTTGCAATTTTTGAAGTTCATTACTTATTTTACGGCTGAATACTTTGAACATAACACAATAATATGCAATAATAACGCACGAATAGAAAGTTAAACAGGGAAATGACATGATAGGAAGCACTGAATACCAGATCAAATCTGTTATTACATTGCAAAGCCTCGGTCGCAAGCAACCTCGACCTCGATTTCGAGAAAGAATTTATGGTATTCGCTTCAAGGTGGCATACTGTTTTAATTACCATGGGGTCGTGGGCGATAAAACAACACGTGGTTGCGTACGATGAAGAACCTAGCCTAACACTAGAAGAAGTGTCAAACATCAGAAAACATCGCCAGAGTCACAAAATCAACCACCAACAACCCCAATCGATCGACACGTCAATATGCATAGGAGTGACAGAAAAACCGACTACAATGTTGGGACTTCACCATAAATATGTAAATGTTGATGTAACCAAAATACAATACTGATAATGAGTAATGCAGCTCATTTCGTTTTGAATGGTTGGTATCTAACCTCCTCATAGCAGGCATGAAACATTTTGTAGTAACCACTATCTGCCATCTACCTATTTGAGAAAAACGACACATTAAAACTTGAAAGACATCAAATAAACATAAGAAATGTTTATTTTCAGATACATGGTGCCACAAGGCATAATGTTAGGGCAGCTATGGAAGTAGTGAGAAACATGTTTCCTGAACGCGTTATTTCTTGTTAGAACTTCATAAACCGTAATATGGCGGTCATTTTCATCGACGAAAAAATATGGTCGAATTATATCTACGGTATGAAATCTACACCACACGGTCATTTATTGTGAGTGAAATACTTGAAACATATTCAGGATTTTCTTCAAACTTTAGCAGAGACCAATCTGAGAAGTTTCGGCGCTTTAAGTGATCAAGATGCTTCAGTTTTTAAGTTAATTTGATCTTATAAGAGTGTAAGCCAACTTAGGACTTCACCGATTTAGACTTTGGTAGTATTTTTTCATAATTTCCGAATGTTGCTCGTTCATGAACTTGACCATGATATAAAAATGTTAACGTAATGTTTAACGTTGACAGAGCATGAAAAACAGCGTTGGTAGTGCCAAGCAAAGGTTACTTTTGGAAATGTCTACAAGGTTAGTTTAGTTGTGAAAATGGAAATCAGATAATTTTATTGTGAAGTATAATTTTCATTTTACTTTAATTAAACAATTTTTTCTTAAGTTTGGACAACAGGATTGTATTGCAACGATGATACCTGTCTTATTTATAGATGCTAATTCAAGTTATTAGAATAAAAGTTATTAGTTTTTGTTAATTTTGCCAATTTAGCATGGGTATGAAGACATTAGAGAAAGAAGGTTAGAATTTGTAATATTGCCACAGTATTGATAGCTGTTCAGAAAAAATTGTTCCATAGAAACAAGTTCAGTACAATACTACCTTTGTAGTAGTTTGTTGCTTCAAGAAAATTTACAACAATACGTAAGTTTATGTAGGGTAAACCATACAATTATTGAAAAGCGACAGTTATTGGACAGCAAAAATTAATTTTTTTAAAAACAAGAACTTTGCGCAAGTTTATGTATCAAAGTAGGTTGTTGGTGGTAGGTTGATACCTGAACTATGCGATGACAGCAGTGATGCCGAAATATGACATGTTAAGTTAACCTGAACATCGTCGGTGCCACTGCAAATAATTTTGCTGGAAGTTTTGATAAGATTAATCTTTTCTTTGTGAGGTTGATTGTGAAACATTAAGGTAAGTTATGTCAAAATGTAGTTCATGGTCTGTAAAATGGTGCAACGTAGTCAGTAACTTAAAAGGGTAAACTGATCCAATGTCCAATAATTGTATTATGATCAGCATGGATTTTAATCATAGGAAACTGATAGCTATAATAATAAAATTGTATGTCGAAATAGTTATTGGACAACAGTCTAATACCTATACTTAACATTTCTACTTTTACCTATGCGTTATTTTTTTATTTTTAAGGTTACCAAAAATGGTCAAAAGGCGATCATATTATCCCAAACGCATGATGTTGACCATTTAAGAAATGTAGAAAGGTAGTAATATCTTTTCTCTGAAATATATTGCTCACAAAAATAATGTGCCCAAATCAACATTTGATTTTAAAGTCAAACATTCAGGGCATGAAGAGAGTTTTGGGCCTTGTACCTACCCGATAAGATCAAATCAGATTTTTTTGGCAATTACCTCACCTTATCAAATACGCCAAAACATAAAAGCAAACAAAACACCAAAAAACTGTCATTTGCAATATCATCGCAAAATTTTCAGAAAATGCACGACAAGAAAAGAGTAGTACAGATAGAAACAGAACGACAAAGAGAAGAGAAAAGAAAAAAGCTTAATGAGAAAAGGAAGACGACAATCACAAAAAAAGATATTAAACTGAAATGTTTTGTTTGTGGAAATACGACTAACTTAAAGTATGAGAAATGTAAACATAGATTCCATAAGAAATGGGTTCCAAAATCTCATCGAACTCATATTCCTGATGACGACGATATTTATCATGCCATAATTGTTACAGCGAAGAGACGATGAGCTCAGGAAATGAAAAATGTAATTGGTGCTTTCAGTATTATCTACAAAATCAAATAAGTAACTACTTTCGTGCAAAATATGCGGAGGAATTATGTAAGAAACGCAAATTTGTGTTTCCGTTATATCACTATTTTTTAAGAAAGAATCTTCTAAGAAAAGCCCTTAATTGTCCAATAACTGTATGGTTTCCCCTATATTGTTTATGTAATTTTTAAGTTGTTATTATTGGCAGAAGGACAGGAAACCTTCTATTTGTTCATGGATGCAACAAGTATTGAGCAGTTTGTTACGATGCCGAAGATAAGACCGTAAAATACAATGCATGTGTATTTTAAAAATTCGAGTGAATCGTCATTGGCAATGGAAGCAAATATTATTGTGAAAAGTTTAATATGCAACAGGCACGGCATCACATGAGCGTATCCGAGTGTATTTATCAAACTTCAACAACATATACGATATGGAAGTCTAGTGTTCAAGAAGACATATATGGGATCTCAAGAGATCTACATAAAATAGAATTGAATAAATTACTTTGGCTTATTCAGGCGAAATCTTACATTTTCTATACTGAATTTAGCCTAGCTGGTGCCATTTGTTAATCTGCTTTGGGTTGATATGGTGGGCCCCGACCGCAAGCGATCTCGACTAAACTAGACGAAGTTATAGATTTTACAACCTAAGTTTATCTGAGGTGCCACAATGCGTTATTCAGTGTTGGCTTGATATGATATTAATTGTAAAGTCTCGGCTGCAAGCGATTTTGACTTCTTCAGGCGAAATCTTATATTTTCTGTAATAACTTTAACCAATGTGCTGCAATGTGTTGACTAGTTTTGAGTTGATATGGTATTAATTGCAAAGCCTCGAACGGAAGCAACCTCGACTAAATCAGAGCAAGTTATAGATTCTCCAACCTAAGTTTATCTGATGTGCTACAACGTGTTATCTAGTTTTGGCTTCATATGATATTAATTGTAAAGCTTCGGGCACAAGCCACTTTTGCTTATTAGGTTCTAATCTTACAGTTTCTATAGTGAGTTTAGCTTAACTGGTGCCATTTGTTAACCTGCTTTGGGTTGATATGGTATTAATTTTAATGCCCCGACCGCAAGCGATCTCGACTAAACTAGACGAAGTTATAGATTCTACAACCTAAGTTTATCTGAGGTGCCACAATGCGTTATTCAGTTTTGGGTTGATATGATATTAATCGTAAAGTCTCGGTTGTAAGCGATTTTGACTTCTTCAGGCGAAATCTTATATTTTCTGTAATGACTTTAACCAATGTGCTGCAATGTGTTGACTAGTTTTGAGTTGATATGGTATTAATTGCAAAGCCTCGAACGGAAGCAACCTCGAGTAAATCAGAGCAATTTATAGTGTTATCCAGTTTTGGGTTGATATGATATTAATTGTAAAGCTTCGGGCCCAAGCCACTTTTGCTTGTTAGGCATAAATCTTACAGTTTCTACACTGAGCTTAACCGATATACTACAATGTGTTGACCAATTTTGAATTGATATGGTATTAATTGCAACGCCTCGATTACAAGTGACTTCGGCTAAATCAGGCGATGCCATAGCTTCTCCAACTGGCATTCATTTGAGGTGCCACAATTTTGGCTTGGTATGGTATTAATTGCAAATCCTGAGTGCAAGCTACTTCGCCTTATTTAGACATAATTTTATATTTTCTGTACTGGGTTTAGCCAAAACGCTAGAATATGTTTTCCAATTTTAGATCGATATGGTATTAATTATAATTTGTTTCTTCTCAACAAATGTATACTGCTGGTATGATTATATTAATATCCTGCAGTAACTGTTCTTACTGTACTTTACTTTGATTTGAAAAATTTTAATTATACCTAAGATATCATAACATCTGGCATAAAGATATCAAAAATGCAGATCGTTGATATAAAACCAATAAAATAACTTTATATCAACATTGAACGAAAATGTGATTAAACTAAACATAAACTACAGTTACAACCTCAATTTCATGCTTCTATACTTATTTGTCATTCAAACCTCTAAATCGAGATATAAACAGAAGCTGTTATAAGCATATTTTAATTATTTCTTCTTTTGCTAACAACTACACTATCGGTAATACTAACAACATCTATAATGTTCGTTAACTTTCTTAAATCAACCCACCTCATCCGCAACAACGACGCTAGGAACGTCTATAGCTATGCAAGCGTTAAAATCGAAAAAAAAGTTAATATTATTAGTTTCAACCGAATTTCCTCAAAATCAAATTAATTCCAAAGTTAATAAAAAAAAAATCAACAAGAAGAATGTTAAAAAGCTTACTCGGTATGTCGTTTTCAAACTGCGATCCATACTGTTGTTGTTGGTTCCGACTTAATTCCATCGAAAAAGCATTATTAACGGCTTGAACTAATGGTGGAGGAGGCGGTTGCGAAGGCGGCTTGCTGCTGCTTCCATCTTCCGATTGAGGAGTATCTTCAATAATTATTTCCTCGTCGGCTGGTATGAGATGCTCCGGAATTTCCGGAGGCGTGAAAACAGGTGGTGCGGAACAAGGGGGAGATTCATTCCAATGTTCTGTGAGTGGTTCCCCGTTTTCATCACATTCTTCGACAACTAACGAAGGGAAATTTCCGATCCTGCCTTCAAGTTCTCCTTTCCACCAACCATCATCGACACTATGCGCACATTTGCTTACGATTCTTATTACTTGACCTTCCTCGAAAGTTAACTCTTCATCCCCTTCGCCGTCGTAATCGTAAAGGGCACAACAATAACCGAACGTTTGATCTATTGGAGGTGTGTCTTGTACTAATGGTGCTGCTATTACGGATACCTTAAAGGAGTTGTAAAAAAGATGTAATTTTAAGGGAGGAAAATAATAGTTTTATAACAGGCTGAAGCTTTTAGAGTTTAAAAAAGCAGTAAAACTGGGGTGGTTTAAAACGGAAAAGTTTTAGAGTCGAAAAAATTCAATTTAACTTTAGTACTGTTTTATGGTTATTTAAATCAACTCACGAAACGTTTCTTTAAAAAATTTTTAACTTACTTGTTCTGGTGATTGGTTCGTTTCGGATTGCGGAAGACTTTCCTCTTCGTTGTCCACCGTGTAGTCAACGGACGAAAAGGAAATCTGTTGAACTAAGCCAGGAGTTGTTACCGATTGTTCCCGTTCGACATCCAGGTAATTGTGAGGGACATAACCCTCCTCGCCGCGATAGTTTCTGGCGCGAAGCCAACCGTCGCCGTCACCCTCCCCGACGACCTCCAACTGTTCATTCTCCACGATTGTCAGCTCGTCAGGATTCTGGGCCTGCAAACGAGATAAGAAAATGAGACCAAATCGAAAATGCAGCAGGATGTGGTGCAATCGACTAAATTAAATTTTCGATGCGAAAATGGCCCGAACGAGAACCTAAATGGAAATTAATAATAACTGAGCTGCAGTAACGAGAAGATGAGATCCTTATGATGGTGTCTGCTAAGTTAATTAAATTCTTCAAAGGGGGTCGTATTGCAGTTCTATTTTTGAATTAGATTATGATGAAAAGTGATTTTAGTTCTTGGAACAAATTTTCGTTTCATTTCAGAAATGAAACTTTCAATAGAGTGCAAGATGTGTAATTCATTTACACTGAAATGAAAATTTTATATTGGAACTTAACACAAAAAAAAATTAATAAAGAACCCGATGTAGAAAATTTCTAATTTAGCGACCCAATCAACTTGTTTCTAAAACAAAACCCTATCTTTTATCTTTGCACATAAAAGATGTCAGAGACAAAAAAATCTATACTTTTTATAGATTTTTACATGGTTCTTCTTTTTTCGCTTTATTTTTCATCAAAACCGGACCAAACTGAATATAATTAGCACAAAACCTGTGCTGAAACAAAAAAAGCGGAAAGCGTCGCGCTGACTCGACACAATTTCCAGAGCGAGGTTCGATAAAGCAATCGCCAGACCGACTTTCCAACCTGATTCCCGAACAAAAAAAAACACTTTTCAAAGTGCATTCCATTATTAATTATTGCTCGACGATCCGAAGGGTAATTGCGCACTTACCGTATACGAATACAACGCCGTACATTTCAACGTTGGTCCTGATGGCGTCCTTTCTCTGGGTAATCCCTCCGGTTCCGCATCATCCGCACCCCAATCTACCTGCGTTGGATCGTCCCAACCCGCGGTTAATTGTTCTATCCGTTGACGTTCTTGTTCCAGCATAGCTATTTTTTTTTGTTTTTTTGTTGTTAAAAAAAAAAGAGAAAAAGACGATAAATTAATCGAGGGAGAAAATGTTGGGTTGATACAAAACAAATTTTATGCATACGAGGGTGACAACGATCAACATGCGAAACACTTGATTTTTCACAAAAAAATCGTTGCCTACCCCACTCACCGTCGACCTCTTGGCTATCATCACGTTGGGGTTCCTCTGGTTCTTGCGGTCTTTCCGCTGGAATTGTTGCGGTATCACCTTCCGCGTAATCACTGTCGTAAAATGAATCTGAACTTGGATGATCCTAAAAAGAGATTTGATGTATTTTTATATTCTACAAATATTAGAATGTATCAAAACATGTTTCTCATCTTTTTAGCTTTATTTAAGTTATTTTCTGAAATATCATCTTGTAATCATTTATAAAAAGAGTTTTTTCGGTAAAAATACGTACTCGAAAACAGCTAAATCTATTTCGCTTCCTAATTCAAAAAAATTCTTGGTACAAGCCCAATCCTATCGCTTAATTAGGAAGCTTTCTGAGGCACACTTGAAAAAACAAGCTGTTGAACGTTACACCAAAGAAGATTTTAAACTAATATGCATTCTACTAAAAATTCAAACTAATTAAGTTAAAAATACCACTAAAAGGATTTTGTAAACTCCTACAAGATGTAAATATCTGATATATTTTTTGCAAAAAGTACTTTATAAATGAGATGATCTCCAAAAAAAACAACTGCCACACTGCTACATCAATTAGAAGAGTTGTTGAAGTGGAAGAGCCGACGAGTTGATTGTCAACACGTTTATTAATTAGTTTCCATCCACTTAAATATCGTATCTCAAGAACCACTTGAGATGGGACGAAATTCACAGCATTTTAATGCAAATTTAATACAGATTCAAAGTGCCATAAACAATTTCTTAATCTCCATAAATATAATTGTTATTATTTTTAAACTAGTTCGGCATATTTGTTTATTGTAGATTTTAAGAATAGAAATTTAAAATACCGTATCCTAAGAACGAATGGAGATACCATCTTGAAATAAAACACATTTTAAAGGAAGCTTGATGAAGATTTATTGTGCCAAAAATAGTTTTTTAATTTTCATAAACATCATTGGTAACATATTTGATTATTACAGATTTTAAGAGTAGAAATTGAAAATATCGTATCTCAAGAACGAATTGAGACATAATGATGAAATACAAAACAATTTAAAGTAAATTTAATGACGATTCAATGTACCATAAATGATTTTTTATTTTCCATAAGCTTCATTGTTACGATTTTTTAGACCTAACCTCCTTATATGATTGTTTCAGAAATTCAAACAATAGTGTCTCAAGAACGAATAGAGATATCATCATGAAATAAAACGCAGTTTAAAGCTAATTGAATGAAGATTCGCGATAAATAATTTCTTATTTTCCATAAACATGATAGGTATGATTTTTTAAATCCAACTCTGCATGTTTGATTATTATAAATTATAAATTTAAAATTTAGAACTTCAAAGAATTATATCTCAAGAATGAATAGAGATATCAACATGAAATAAAAACCAATTTGAAGCAAATTTCCTTAGTATTTAATATTTTGAAGATGATTTTTTCAAATCTTTAAATTTCAGATTTATGAATTTTTGAAGGCAACCTTGCATAAACTTAAACTTAAATGTTATGGTAATTAATCTTTAGGTATCTCACAAACAAATTGAGATATCGATATAAAATAAAAAGCAGTTTAAAGCAAATTTAATGAAGATATAATGCACCCTAAACAATTTCTTATTTTCGGTTATCATCGTTGTTATGATATTTTAAATCCAATTCTGCAAGTGTAATTGTTGTATATATGAAATATAAATTTTATCTCATGAACGAATGGAGGTATCATCGTGAAATAAAGAACAAGAAGAACAATAAAGAGCAACTTAGTGCGCATACCTTTCGAGATTAATACTACCCAGCGGCATTTGTATTGATTAGCCTCTCCATAAATTAACAACATACTTTCCTGATGATTTGGCATTTTTGAGTGAAACCAAATTAATAACTATCAGCTAATTATATTAACTAATATAATTAACTACTAATTACTAATTTATTAATCTATCTATGATTAAATGATTAAATTATAATATGACCAGAAATTAGAATAATCATACTATAAATTAATCTCCAGTTAACAAGCTGATTATCTTCATTGTGCGGTGACGGCGCTAAGTGACCATGTAAAGGTAAACACAAATCTATTAACGTACAATCACAGATCTGTGTTATTATATGGGCTAAAGAGGATTAAGCAGAAGTGGTGTGTTATCTAAACACATTATCTAACATTTCATATAATTTACACTTTAAATAGAGATAAACAAATAATAATATAAAGTAAGATAATAACATGCAAAGCTTTGTAATCATAAAAAAGACACAAATCAAAGCTTGTGATTTTTAACATAGGTATACTAAAAGTTAACAGAAACTATTACATATCAAACACTTTTGCAATTGGCTATGAAAACATAATGATAAACACTCAATATTATTTATGAGAGTATTCCTGTTTTGGTATCAGTCCCACATAAAAACACGAAAAGTTGAGTATGAAGCGCTTCATACCTTGTTTATACCCTTATATACTTTTAGAACACAATGAATGTATGTTGTTTAATGAAATGACAATTTAGATAGAAACGTTTTTATCGCGGATTTGTTATGCAGTTTTATTTATATACAAACCTTCATTTCACATGCGATATCCCCGGAAATAATACTTGAAAAGAATAAACCGCACAATGAACCAGACAATATTAAGTAACTTTCACAAACAAAATTAAAGATAAGTTTCAAACTTTACAAACATTATAAGAGATGGAATGCTTGAATAAATAAGTGCAGGTATCTAGAGGGTGAAACGATGGCAAATGTTAGCATTATGAGCGACAGAGCGCAAACAAATTTTATTCCACAGATAGCGAGAGGAGTTATTTAAAATGAACCGGTGCAAGGAACACGTAGCATGCGAATTTCTCCGACATGTCATATTAAACTATGTAAGCCAACTGCGAGTATGCGAGTGTTTCTTCTCTTTATTGCGAATATAAAACGGAGACAAGCATTTTAAACGCATTGAATATATTTAAAAATAAATCCTTTACAAGAAATATGCAAAACTTTACCAAAATTTATTAGCGACAATATTAAATAATTTTTTATAATAAAGGCATCTAAATATTGAGTAACCACAATGATAAAATGTGGACCTAAACCTAAAAGAAACAATAATTGGAGTTGGAGTTTAACGCCACCAACCAAGAACCAGAGTAAGTTCATAAATAAGCATGAAATTCCCCCTAATCAGTAAAGGTACTGTATTTTTTGCTATAACCGTATAAGTAATATGATATTGATAGATAGATATCACCATAACCAGCGCAATAATCACCATTATCTTGCAGGCAAAGGAAAACATATCACACCAATTGTAAAAAACAAATATAATGGAATGATTAAAATGAAACAATGACTCTAATCGATACACGATGTAGTAATTGTCACTTGAAAGAAGATAAAAATAATTACCAGGATTGTACCAGATTGACGAAATACCAGATATATTAAAAGTCATTAACAATATGATATCTCACAGCTACAAAGTGAACAAACAACGTAATCTAAACATAGAATGGCTTCATTAAATGTATAAAGTAAAAAAGAGATACAACAAGAACCAAGTAGAGGCGGAAAAAAGAATACGATCAATTATTTACCAAGTCATTAATCAATAATATACCATTAATCTTCTTCCCATTTATCATCCGAACTCCATATATGTCTTGAAGCACTAAACGAAAATGTAAGCAAAAATATAGCTATTCCTCTGTGTAATTCTATTCCAATCATCATTAGATTATTAGACCATTTAGTAACAAGAAATATATATGTCTTAAAGAACTTATTTTGTAGCCAGGACATATGATGGTCCCATATCAAACGAATTTGCCAATTAGAAAATAAACTTATTGGTTAGTCGGCAAATGGAAATTACCAATTCGATTTTACACAGACCAAACTTGAAGGTTGTCAGTTTGAGATGATTCTTGAAGAGTTGAGTTATTGAATTGAGTTAAAACAATGCCGGTTTCCTCATTTTCAGGAATCTTGTGAATGCTATTCCCTCTAAAATATTGTTTAAGCATTATAAATTAAATACACAACATGTGACTTAGGTTCGGACAAAACACCTTCATTATTAACCAATACCAAGTTGCGTTTCAAAGATACCTATTTTATTTATTCCAATTTTCCTAGAAAGCGAGAGTTTATGTAGATGATATTCAATTCATATTGAAAAACAGAGTTCAAAGACGCAAACAAGTTGAGCATTGATTTACAAAAAAAAAGTGAATTTAACCCCATTGAATAAAGACGAACCACAATCGGTCAACTTTTTATCAAAATATAAATGAGAAAATTAAGAAACAATGAAATTGTATTATGAAACTGTATAATTTAGCTGCACTCTGCAAAGTGTTAAAACTAATATACAACTAAAACTACATGGATATGAACAATGAGTATAGATTGAAAATACTTTCGATAATATTTTGGCAGCATTTGAAGTAGATTGATTTATATCGATATGTCAAATATAATATATATATCGATTTTACATAAAATAGGTACTGTACACAATCTTGTACACAGGTGTTCTACAGTAAGCACCTATAGCATTCGCAATATCCACAAAACAAACGTCCTGCACTCAACTTTTATAGTAGTTTAGATATATTTGTTGATAATAATAAAATACCGTTTATCTTTCTAGTACACGGCCAACAGAAACGAATTTTATTATTTACTTTTTTGTACTAACTCCATATAATTTAACTCATTTGCAACATAAGCTCAAAAATTTACTGATCAACTAGAAGTAACACTAGAACTAGAAACATTCGGGTTTAGACAACTTCTCTTAAGTCAGCTAAACCTGAATGTTTCTACTTCTAGGTTTAGTGTTAGCTCCACATCCAGTTCAATAAAAATATACAACGATTTAACGCCGAATAACAATTAAAATTAGAACCTATACTAGACCTCGAACTAACCCTAAACCTAGTACTAGAAACATTCGGGTTTAGCCGTGCATCTCTTTAGACGACTAAACCCGAATGTTTTTAGTTCTAGGTCTCTTGTTAGTTCTAGTCCTAGCGTTAGTTCCAGTTTTAATTGTTATACAGCGTTCAATTATTGTATATTTTTATTGAACTAAGACTAGAACTAACACTAGAACTATTCTATAGAAACTTTTGGGTTTAGGCATTCGTCTGAGGACGCAAACAAATAGGTACGTGATTATTTGAATGTCCTAGCAACTGCACGTTGTCCAAATTCAAGATCGATTGAATTATATTATGAATATAATAAACTCTGTATCCAGAATATATTTTAATAAAAAATTTGCTTCACTGGCAGACTTTCTATAATTTAAGATTTTAGCAGCGAAATAAGTAGGAATATTATAAACAGCAACAAACCGTCAATAAAAATCAACAATTAAAGCTGAGTTTAAACCGAACGAAATTTCCGAACGAGTTCTTTACCAAACAATATATCTGACAATAATACTATTTGTAATTTACTTGACAAGATTAACATCCAAGCCTCTAAGTTTTCATTCCAGGAAGTCAACTTTATTCCGGAACATTTTAAATAGTTTCAAAAGGAAGAATAGCAAAAACAAGTACCTTAAATAATCATTTCAAAACCCCCATTTAATATACTAAAGGCTAGATTATTAAATTGCAATGTCGTTGGTCCGCATTATCTACCTGCCCGACTTAAAGAAACGTACGGCTTTATCACCTTGAACCCATAAATAAATATTTAATATGGATAATGCAGCATATTACATTTACTGTTTTCATATTTTGTGAAATTTGCTAAGAATATACATCAAAATTGGTTTAATGTTGTTTACCAGCAAATATTATAAAACTAAATAATTTTCAAACCCGAATAAATAAGATATCAGATAATATTATTTATTTACAAAGTTTAAGAGATATTGAATTTTTATAGTGTATAGTGTATAGTTTGTATATACAACAAGATAACTTTTATTTTAAGCTGGACGTAGATCGAACGATTTTAAAATTGAAGTTAAAATTGAACCTTCACAAACATGCAATATGCCATTACCCTGAAACGCCTAAGTAATGCGTAAATATTACACAAAAATGTGATATCAAGAAGTTTTAACACAATTTTCTCCTCCAAAAGTAAAAAAAATCTCAACAGATCTATAGCTTATTACAATTAATGTCATTAAGGTGTATAAAAAAACTTACCGCAGCACCTGACGCATCCGTCCTCATCGACAATGAACTCGTTGACCTTTGAATATCTTGAACCGTCAACGTTTCAGCTTCCTGTAACCACTCATCAACATTAACACCACCTTTCCTAAGAGCTTCAATACGCGCATCCGCTTTTGTTTTAGCTGTTTCACTTCTCCTAATATTTTGTTTCATTTCTTCAATTTTTGTTTCCAAATCGGGTCCGTTGGGATCATTCGGATCCGTCTTTTGACCAGATTCCCTTAGCGCAGTATAAATCTGTAATTTCCTCACCGACTCTTTAATATTATTATTTTCTCTGGCTATTTTCGTAGCCCATCTTCTCGCTTCTTTACTTAACGTAGCCGCAGCAGAATCGTGATCAGCCGTTATCGTATGCACAGCATCGTTATCGCACGGTTCGTAATCGTATTGAATGTGTTGTTTTAATACGGGATAATATAGGTAACAACATTGGAGGTTGTATTCTCTGGTTAGTTGCTTCGCTTGATCGCGGATTGTGCTAAAGGAGTTTTGCATAGCTGAACACGTTAAAAGTTCCGTGCGACCCATCAAGGTTAAATATTCTGCTACTTTGTCGTATACGTTACTCTCCATCGTCGTCATAGCTAGTTGAAGATCTACTACGAAATATCTGGTTTGGTGGGCGTTCGCGGCTGCTAAACAGAGAATGTAATCGTTTCTTGCTCCCGTTGATTTCTCTTCTAATTGGTCGCGTTTTGATGATACTTTAGCACTATTTTTTTGTAACGATGTGATTGATTGGAAGAATGACCCTTTTTTCTTTTTTAATCTAAAAGTTTTTTATTAAAGAAAAAATACGTTATCTATTTCCTAAATGAATCCCTAGAGTACAATTAATTCTTTTATACTTAATAAAAAAGTTTTAAGTCCCTCTGCAATTAATTTAAACCAACCAAAGTTACTTGTAAGTACATTTTATCACAAATCAAATACATTATATGACCCAATAAAGATAACATTTTATTAACCAAAATCAAAAACATGTAATTTAATTGAAAAATAATTAATATTAGATATGAAACTTACTTTTCTTCGATGTCTCTGGCTTTATCTCTAACATCGTGGGCGCTATGCTCTTCATCAAAGTATAATTTCTTCGTTTTATCAACGTCGATCACACAAGTTTGGAGTTCTTTCTGTACGATGGCTAACTGGTCTACACACTGTGTTTGAGGAAAATCGAAAAGTTCACAAAAAAAATAAAGTTGCAAAGAAAATTGTAAAATTTTCTAACTAACCTTCCTGGCTGCGGCCAACTTGTGAGCCCTCAACACTTTTGCGTCATCTGCAATTTGCTGTTGAAAAACTTCCACTGCAGCCAATCTAGCTCGAGCTAACTTTTCGTTTTCTTCTAAAACTGTACGCCAAACGTTCCACATATTCCTATACAAAAATTTTGTTTATTAAGTTATAACAATACATTAATATTACTTCATAAGTAAGAAATTTTTTATAATTTAATATCAACATTAAAAATTATTCAAGAATAAACATAAAACTTAAACTGCCATTTTAACTTTTTAATTTTTATTCGAAATAATTAAGTTGGAAACGTAATTTTTAATGACGAATGAATGAGTTTTTAAAAAGAAAAACTAAAACGAGTGACTTCCAACTTTTGATTTTTCTAACATTGAAATCTAAGAAGTATTCAGATCATAACAGATCTATCAGAACTCATTGACAGAGAAGAAGCGATTTGATAAACTAATCTCCTATCAAAGAGAGTTATAAGTAACAATATCAGGAAAGAATAGATTTGGAGTGATTTTTGCTAGAGGATGTCCACAGGGAACAGATGTGTACCAAATTTAATCAACGTAATTACGTAGAACATGATTGGACGTTGGAACAAATACCCTTTATTAAGTGAACATGAATTATGTGCTTCTTGGCTGTGGAAGGTTGCTGACAAAGCACTGGTCAGAGGAATACCTGAAGGAAGCAAACTCAAAAAACAAGGAAGCAAATAAACCAAACGCTTTATTTCCCATAATATCATAAGAATTTATGATATCTCAGGATCACATTTCTATAATAAAAAATACTATAATGGAAGAGAACATCAACAAAAACCAAATGAAAATAATAGAAGGCTCAATGTAAATGCAAATATCCCTTTGAATGAGAAAGAAGTATAGGGCGACAAGCTTAGTCGTTTGCTTTCATTAAATACATTAGCAACAGAATCAAAAAATCAAAAAGGAAACTTGAAGAACAAGTCTAGAACATATGTGGATGATATAGTACAATATTGATAAAAGTAAAACAATGTCTATCATGAAGGAAGGATAAATAGAAAGAGCCGACATTTAAATAGAAAACAAAAAGATGCAGTGTACTAATCAAATTAAATACTTTGGAACGAGAATCAACAAAGACAAAAATGTATCTTTATCAAACAATATACATACCTATGTTGCTGTATAGATCAGCATCATGGCAATTAATAAGTAAATAAAGTTAAATAAAAAAAGTCGGCAAAATTGTAGTATCTCTGAATAGTGGTGTGCAGAATCAGAAATAGAAGTAGTATAAGGGAAGAGTAGTCCAGAAAACAATAGTTGAACTTAAAAACAAGTAAGTCACACGATGTGGATACCTTTTAGTGTGAGAAGTGGGCGCATCTGCTCACGAAATAACTTGAGGGGATAAAGTTATGAAGCAGGCAAGAAAATGATAGAAAACCATCCAGGAATTGACACGGTAAAGTAGTAACAACCAAAAATGGATCCAGGATCCAACACCACAACACATTAATGGGATGTATTTAAGTGCTGCGGAATGCGTATATTATGTGCGGCGCACAAATGGCCATTTTGCATACTCCAACTGTTTAATATGTTATACTAGGAACCTCATTAGTGTTGTGTGTCATTTTGTGTCTTAAAGCGAGGTGTTGCCCCAATCCCATGACCTGTACTCGCGCAATGAGTTGTAGTATAGCAAAATACTACTGCAAAATGTCCTATGTTAATAAAGCTTAAGTTTACAAGTTGAAGAGTCTTGCTTTGGAATGATGCATTAGTAAACAGCTTTCCTTGAAGAACCGGGTAAATGATCCGTGACTCCGAGATCCCGATTATTGTAAGCCTCTATAAAATTCAGATAATAGAAACAGATATATCTAAAACATCACTCCTCCATCTCTGGGCGAAAAGATCTAGAAAAGAATATATTACAATTGTCGGTTTTGAACCATGAACCTAAAATAGCAATTTAAAAATCATTGGAAAGATATGCCTCCTTGTTTTAAGCAGAAATTATTTACCATTATATTTTATTATAATTCCCTATTACTGTAATCTGTAAATGCAATATATGTATAACCAGAACTTGCAACTTTTGTCAATTTAAACACAATGGAATGAACTTGAACACCGGCGTTGATAACAAACAAAAAATTAATTCAATGCTGGGTCGGCATTAAAGGAGCAGTCCACCAAACAAGCTGAATAGTCTGTTCAGTACACTGGAATATTGTATATTTACATGAATGAATATTTCTGCTGTGTTAACAAATTTGAGTTCAGAATTAAATTCTAACATTTCGAAAATATTACATTACACTATACTAATGAAAGAAACAGCAGAAACAAGTGTTGTGAGGGACGAATTTCATTTTGACTGATTCTGGTATAATCTTTCTGCTACTTTACCTCCGAAATCAGGAAGTTCTATTACTGTTTTATCATAAATTATAGGGTGCAAAGATATGCATTTATTACTACCATGTAGAGAATGTGGTAAAATAATCGAATACGAGCATACTTCATTTTGAGTTTGATATAAAATCTGCCAAGCAAAGCATCTAACTTCTAAGAGTTCGTAAGAGTAAATAAGTTTTAACGAACTCGTAGACGAATAATTATAAACAATGATTTTAAATCGGACGTAATTGATCTAGTACATCTCGATCTACATACATAATTGAGATTTCATATTAGTGACACACATCTACTCGTCCTTCTTTGAACAGGATATAATGGATATAATCTTCCCCAATAACATTCAGGATTTCGATGATTCTTTAGAAAAATAATATCACCAATTTTACAACGAATTTGTGTATTGAAGGATATTTACATGTATGTGACAATGAAAAAGATTGGCTCACCTGTATGACATAGGAAAAGTAATCATAAGATGTTTTCAGAATTAAATGATGTAAGTAATTAAATAATGCAACGTCATTCACATGTAGTTGATGATACTAAACATTTTTTGAGATAATCAACATAACTTTACGACAATGGACCATTATTATATGCTAATTGAATTGCAGCTCAGTTAAATTAACTTGATAGTAATAATACCAACCTAAAGATTTAAAACCTTAAGTTATCTAAGTTAACAAAGCATCTGTTAGTGCTTGATTAAGTTAATGTGACGGAAATGGAGCCTTATAAAACCTCTATTTAGATACTTTTCTATGATCCGGTATTATAAACAGTTATCAAATTAACGCTATTGGAAGAATTTTTATTTTAAAAACGATGAACGACATGCTCATCAAGTTTCATATTTTAGGAACGTCTATCATATCGATAAAGGTTTCAACAAAACGTTCACTCAGCAACAAGGAAAACAGACGGAAGTTAATTCAGGCTCTATTTCAAACTACTTCTTGGGTAAAATTTACTCTCGGTTTTAATTTTTTTACTTTATGGTAAGTCTGTAGTAATGGTGATAAAATGTATCCCCAATGTCCCTGAAATGTATGTTAGTACCTCAATTTGAAAAACTAGTAAAAGCAATGGAAAGATTTTGGAAGGTGAAGTAATTGGAAAAAAATCAAAAAGAATTCAGTCCCATGTCTTTTATCACAGTCTTTATTGATATAATTATAAAGCAGTAAATAAATCTATTAGTAAATAAATAATTCAGTAATTTGAAAAGATTAAAATCTTTTAAAAAAGATTAAAATCTTTTAAAAAAGATTAAAAACAGAATCTATATAGCGTGTATATTGACCAGATTCGCCCTCTTCAACGGCTTTCTATGTATGTTATAACTTATTTTATCATATTTGATTATATCTAATAATTAGGTACACATGAAATTGCTTTTATTCATCATGAACCCCTTTGATATTCAAGCAGTTTTGAGGCCAATTTGAGGTGCAGTAACTTGCAATTCGAATAGATTGACTTGTGATTCGCTCGATTCCTCCACGGCTATTTCATGATCTGAGTTGAACCCACTATGACAGAACTTGAGAAAGTCGTTTGGAGTTCCAAATAGCATTTAAGTTTGTGTTTGCTGACTTCATTAGGGAAAGCTTTCCGTTTGAAGTTCTTTCTAGAGTAAGCACCGCCTGCAGTTGAGACCATCTGCGGGGTGATTTTCATTAAAATTGGCACACCTGACTTTTCACTTTGTATTTTACGAGTACAATTGAATGTCGAGTGCATTGAAGAGCACTTTATGATCTTGGAACCCTATTACAATATGCCTTCTTATAACTAATTATGGTTGTTTACACTGTAGTAACTTCATTTTGAAGGTATTGATTCAATAGTAAGCATCAATGAAATAAAATTCTGTGTTTTCTTTACAACTAGAAACAAAAAAATTGGTTATAACTAGTTAAATCGCTGCCTTGAAAGAATTGTATTTCAACCTTGTTGCTAATTGCCTGTCTTAACACATTATGTGAAGCAGCAAAGATTTCAGATTTTCTTAAGTTAGTACATAAAAGGTCAGCAACTAAGGTAATAATGGATAAATTGGCTAAAAATGTTGAATTTCGTAAATTATTTTATTATAGGCTGCTGACAAGCGAAAGAGTAACCAGGAAAAATCTAAATTAAAAAAAAACATTCATTTCTCATACATATAACTGATCATATCTATTGCAGATATGGTAGATACGGTAGATAGATACGGCATGGAGTAGTAACCTTCGAAATACATCGTATATAACTACGAGACCGTTTAGAATAGTAGGAACTTCATATTTGCAGCTACTAAAACTTGTATAATAGGAATCAGGGCAGCATGGTTGGGCCCAAGAATTTAAAATATTAGTCCTTGCGCAACGAGAGAAATGGGTGAAGGACAGAAATGTTAACCGCACAGATCGTAATAATATTGTAGTGCTCTTAGTAGTTGGGAAAACTTGTGTTTTTTATTCTCCTCAACTTTGCCATCTTATTATGTTGATAGTTGTTTTGAGAAAGAACAACTTTGAACTTACCATCGACCTCCTATTCCTCATAACTGTCTAAAACACTGTAGAAAATAAACTATGTTAACAGCAAACCGAAAGATCCCCTTCTTGGGTTCTAATCAGGTTAAACGTAATTACTGAGTACGTCATCTCCAATTAAACATTTTAATACTAATTTATATGAGAATTGGGAAAAGCTCATGGTTTATCGTAGGAGGTTTCAAAGCAAGATCATAAAAGAAAGATTGTTTTCTGTTTGTCGTCTGCTTTTTCAAGTGTTAATTTATCTGTTAATTGCAATATAAATAAACTAATAGCTTAAATTAAGTTTCCTTGATTTGATCGGGAAAGTAGACAGGTTGAACTATTCTCTTTCAAAAGTGATAGGAGCTGTTAATAGAATAGACACAAGATTAACTCTGGAATCGATCTTGTTCCTCACTGTAAAGTTTCTGACGTAATCGCAACTTGATAAGGTTTCATTAACTAGCGAGCAATCATCGTTTGAAGTGCTTAGTTTGAGTTATTTAGTTTCCATTATCGTCTCTTAACTAATCATTTAACTTTAAAACTAACAAAAGAGATACTTTGATATTCTTACTTAAAAAATCAATTTGATTTTAAATTCCAACTTAAAATTCCTTTGTAATTTAAAATTTGAAACTTAACCTTTAACAAAAAGAAAATAAAAAGGAACATAAAATTTTAAATTAACTTAAAGAAAAAATCTTGGTGTTTGTAAACCCACAAAAAAGTTGTGATGTATTTAATTTAATTCGGAGCAGATGTTGCAAAAATTTTATGATCTCCTCCGTCGGAAAAAGTAATTGGACTTACCATTTTTCCTCTCCACCGTCCAATTTAATATCAGGAATGTTAGGTATCTTCTTATTCAAATACGCCGAGGAGATCTTCAACAGGGCCTAAGGAAAATTTGAAATCGATAACAATTTGGAACGCACAACACACACAAGCACATACTTCCGAGTAGGATTTTTCGATCGCGGATCGTTTAATAGTGAAGCTCCTAATATCCTCGAGTAAATCGCATTCATGTTGATTCTTAAGTGCCAATTTTGCCAATTGTTCTGAGTGAAGATTTTTCAAAAACTTGACGTAGTTTCCCTACAAGAGAGAAACGAACGTAGTAAAAACAACTCGGAATCCAAAACGTGCATTTTATCCGATATTTTTGAAATTTTTAAGGACTTTGGATTGAAGGCTAATTGAAATTTAGCGTAAATGTAAATGTGTTTGATGATAACCTTTCTGGGTGGTGGTTGCATGATGATATTGTTGGTAAATAACGAACTGTTTCATTCACATTAAGCACACCGAACTCTGCTCTTCGCAGGACTCTCGCTCCACTAAAACGTATAATATTGATTACACCACCCACTGAAAGCAGCGACGGCGTACAGGGAACGAACGGCACAGTGGCTGCCACCACGATGAAAACCAAGTATTGATATTCGAAATGATCACAATTTTTAACAAATCTCGTTATTTTAATCGCGAACGAATTGCTACTGAGCACAAAAATCTTCAATGTAATTATAACGATACCTAAGATAAACCAATTCATTATCTCATCCACTCCTGATAACCGACATCTAAACGTCATAAATTTCACAGCGAAATTCCCTTCGCTAATATACAATACGTCACTCACTTTTTGACACACATCGAATTTTCGGCTTTTCAAACGTCCCATATTTTCTGTTTCATGTAAAAATTTCTCGTTCGTATATTTGCATAATTTTAAATGCGATGCAATAAATGCTGTACCGTTTAATGACTTGAATACTTTACAATTTTGAGGAATCACATAGTTTTAATGTTAAACCTGACATTTGATATTTAAATTTTCATTTATGATTCGATACAAATGAAAACAATACAATCACAATATTTTAACGTAGTGTTTATTACACACATCTGGAAAATTTTTGTTATCAAATTAATATGCCATTAAATAACAAATTGATGTTGTTAATCAATAATCTCATTTATTGTGTAAATCGAATCCCATTACCAATGAATGATAAAAATAAAAAAATTATTTAATTCGATATAGGATGTTTATTAGTAGATATAATAAAAAAATGATTATAAAAGTTTTTAGCCAAATTTTATAGTGTCTTAGTACTGTATAAGTGTTTTACTTGACTTTTTAGAGTAGATTTTGATAAAGTGAGTTAACTCTGGGTTAACTTTCCCTTTAATACTCAGTGGGTGGACTGAGTTGCTCATTGTGTATCACTGCCAGTCAAAAACCTAGATAATTACCTAGACCGATTACAAATATGACAAAAGCTGCTATGATAAAGGGACAGAGGGAAAGAGTGAAAACGTGGTAAATGGCTTATAAGACTGGCTCCTGTTGCAATATAACGTCTTGGAACTGATAGACTTCTGCTCCAGAAACTAACACTCACATCCGCCAACATAGAGCAAGGTCTTAGAGCGACCTCTTAGCTGAATACACTCGTGTAAGAAACGAAGTAACCTTCAGAATGAAAGCCATAAAGAGAACATATTGGAGTAAATTCACCAGCGATATGGACTATGACCTGTATCGATCTCAAAGAAAGGTTTGAAAAATACTCCTGATGTAGGAGGAAGATTGGAACAAATATTTTGCTACCGATGAGAAGTTAAAGAAAAAGTTGTAAAACTAAAAAACAGGAAATTTCTCGGAATCGACAACATACCTAATGAATTACTCAAATATGGATAAACAGAACTAACAGAAAAGCTGACTTACCTATTTAACAGAGCGCATAGTTAAAAATACCAATGGAATGACATAACAGTGTAACAGTATCCAAAAATGGCAAAAGAATTGCCTTGAAATTGTAGAGCAACAACTCTTCCAAGCACATCCTCGCAAACATACCAATGATGTTTACAAAAGAAATAGAAAATAAGCTGGAAAATCGTTTTACAAATGAACAACAACAAGGTTTTAGAAAAGGTCGCTTAAGAACGGACGCTGCATCCATGACGTCTATATCAGCCAGTTAGGTACCATTAATTTTGAAGCCCAAATATTTATTATAATTTTCTAACACCGCACCGTTTCAAATTAGAATGATTCAAATATTCCTAAATCTCTTGTTGCTGCTTCTTTTAACAGTTAATTTACCTTAAGGGGTCATTCCGTATCACTGGGTCTAAAAAAAATTGTTTTTCTTATATAAATTGCATCCAAATAAAGTGTAGAATATGTGGATGAATAGATTTTCTATTATATCCATCGAACGAATTTGCTTTCAAATTTGAACATTTATTCAGTACTCATGTAAGCACTTGGCAAACTAGAATAATTCTAATTCGTCAAGCCGTTCTTGTTTTAACAGAAAACCACCAGAATTCAAGATAAAATGTCAAAACTTACCTTCCAATATTTTTTTAATAATTCCAGTCCAAAAACTACTTCATACTTTACAGATTGAAATGCCGCTTGGTTTTTTCATTTCAAATACCGCAAAACATTTTTTTTTTAATGAGTGGCTACGATGCCGTACACTTCAGCAATAAGCGGCGATTTCAGGCTGCAAAAATTGTAAAGTGTGCTCAAAATATGAATAAATATGTGGTGAAAAGTTCGCAGTGGTATGTTTATTTGGTTCGTCAAAAAATCTCAAAAAGAACCTTCGCACGGGTCACTTTTTGCCATATTTTCAGTAAATCCCTTATTTTAAATGGATATTCTTCTATTTATAAAATTTTCATATCTTCTTTTGATATAATTTAAATACGTTGAATATAAAAACATTTCTCATTTTCAATAATTTTGTTTCTTCTTGATTAATGTTCGATTTGAGTGATTTTTAGTTTATTTCCGCCTAAAATCAAAATAATATAATAAATCGTTTTTATAAATGAACTGATATAAAAAACTATAAAAAAAAAACAAAACGAATTATTACAAACGGTTTATTTATAATTATATAATTATTATTCACAAAATGATTTACAAGTTGTTCATCCAACACCTATCACATATTTCTCGTATTTAAATAGTAATCTATATAGTTAGAATAATTCTTGCGAACCAGATCTGCGGGCCCAATGTAATATTTTCCATAAAAATATCACATTTGTTACATGATGTAGTGTGTGTAAAGGGGGTGGGGTATTTTCGATATATAAATACTCGTTTGAATATATTACACATCTCGTACGTATTCTCAAAGTACTTGACTTGGATTTAAAGTTTCAATCAAACGAAACGTCAATAATCGTCGCATCTTTATCTCTTTTTTAAAATTCTTCTCTTCACTTATTGGACATTTACAATTAAATAACATTTAATAGTTAATAAATACTAATAGCGTAACTAATAAAATAGATTTATTTGTATTTTGTACTATATTACAAGAGTAAAAAAAACGGTGAAAAATACAAAAAAAAAATAATAAAAGGAAACAATACTATTTTATCGCTATTTTATAAATAAAACACACAACATAAAAAACTTGTAAACCACTTTGTCCATAGGTTTTTCAATTCTTTCTTTCTTTTTTATAATTATCTTTGTTTAAATTTGAGAGGTCTTGGGAGTGGGAAAAAAAAATTATTAAAAAAACAGACGTATAAAACTGAAATATAATTTACGGTTTTTCTTCACAATTGTTTTTTTAAAATTATATTTATATTTATAATATGTATACGTGTGTGTACAAATCGTGTGATGAGGAGGAAAAAACGATGCACACAGACAGGACGTATGATCGGCAAAAAATATACAATAACGTTAAGTGCTGTACAAATAATATGTATAAAATGAAACGAAATTATGTACGGGGATTACAAAGAGTGGATTATCATCGTTCATTTTGTTTTTTAAATCGTAATAGAAAACCGACAATTTTATTATTTTTTTCAGTTAATATTTAATATAGTTTTCTTTTTTAATTTATATTATCTGCATTGTGTAACATGAAACAAACAAATGGCTTGTGCGGTCGCGAGATCGGCAAGGAGAATTGGTGTGAAAAACATTTAGGAAAACAATTATACACTCAAACATCTAAAAAAACAATCGAGAGTCGAGTATAAAAATAAAATATATATAATAAAATCTTTAAGTAATTATTTATTCAATTTACACTAAAATCGTTTCGGCCGGCGAGACAACGCGCGGTCTCGCGCGATAAAAATAAAACTGTACAATAAAACCTATGGCTCTCACGATAACAATTAGTAATAATTAAAAAAGAATTGCACCTAAGCCATTTGTTCTGTACAATATCTGATGAAATTCTATAACGAGCCTAGCTATCAAAAATCGTCAACACGAATTAATCATTTCAAAATGAAATATATAAATTAGTACTATTCGCAATATATTCACAAATACCGTAACTTATTACAATATGTACAAAAATATGAATACAGACATTCCACGAATGTAATTGACTTTGTACATTGAATCCACACACAACATTCAATTTTTCCATTCATACACAAACATACCAACACGCGCGCGCGCCGAACGACATTTTATCATTCTCAGTTGTCTATTTATTATTAAATTAAATTATTTTAAAATGGCTTCACCATATGTCGATAAAATCAATACACCACAAAATTAACAAAAAATTCTCAACTTAAAATTCATTATTCCCTTAAATTTAACTTAATATTTCCATTTTATATCATAAATTAGATCTTTTTACATTTTGTTTTAGAAAAATCTTACTTTCATAATGATACAGTATGCAAAATACGAATGTCACAAATTACTCATTAAAGATATTATAAATTTCAAATATTTGATGATTTATTCTGCTTAAAGAAAGAAAAACAAAAGGAGGTATCTTTTTCGAGGACAACGAAAACCATATTCGTATAGGTCGCAAGATTGTAATTTTGTGCACATAATTGCTGTTGTACAAGACTTTGTATTATGTTTTGTCCTCGTTTTGTTGGTTAAGCACTGCTTTTTCAAGAAATTTCAAATAAATAAAGAATAAAGAATAAATAATAAATTTTCATATAATGCAGGATAATAAAAAGCCAGAAATCATTCATAAATAGGATTAATAAACAAAAACTCAAGTTGTAAAGGCAGCTGAGATTGTATTTTTTGCCGCTCCAAAAGAGCTGTCAGTCTAATATCTGACTTTCGATCTTGTGCAACACCACACAAAGCCCAGATCTCAATTCTATTGAGAATTTATGGTCAATATTCAAGATACAATATTAGAAAAGTAAACCATTTAAAAAAAGCGGTGAAGACAGAATGTGCTAAAATACCACCTTAATTAATCAGTAAACTAGTAGAATCGATACCGAGGCGCTTAAATGCTATTCTTAAGCAAAAAGGCTACCCAACAAAGTACAGTAAAACCTCAACATAACGGAACTCGTGAGAACGATCTTCGGATATACTTGTAATATTTAATACATGATCATAATGTCAACGCATATAGATTGAATGTAACACTCAAGGTATTCCCTTCATAGACTATGAACATCAAATAGAGCCAAAAAAATAAAATCAAATCAAGCCTTCAAGTATAAAAAATATCAGTACACCAAAGAAAGAATATCAATACTGCTTTGTGTTAATACCGATATATCGCATAGACTGACGTCCGTCATGATTGATCCGTCATATGATGGAATATGAAATAGCAGATGAAAATGAAAATAACTGTGAAAGCGAAAATAGCGAGAAAGATTAAAAATAAGCCTAAACATATAATTATCAACGATCAGATCGCATCTCGATGAAAGAAATGCAATAGTATGGTACTATGCACATTTTCGTAATTTAAGAAGTTGATTATAAGAATACAGCAAATCTGAAAAATGCAAACTAAACATATTACTTCGACATCTAATACATATAAATATCATTTCAGAACGAAAGTGTGCATAAGAAGATCAATAGACATAAGTAGCTTCTTTATAATTAATATGTATATAAAAATTAAGTGTTAAAAAAAATGTTTTGTATTTGATAGGAAACAATTTTGGTGAGTAATATTCAAGAATATATTTTTATTCCCCGTATTAGTCCATTATAACGAGGTTTTACTGTATTAATTTTATTCCACATAAATAATTTTCTTAGTTTTATTCTTAGCACGAATTCGGTTTTTGCTGTCAACTGCAATTAAAATGTCCTATAGCGTTTAGGGGTCGAACTGCATAGGTAAGCAAGATATCTACTTTTGCTTTTACCTTTTTTACTTAAGTGAAACACATCATCAAAAATTTTGAAAATTGTACTACCTTTCTTGAGTAATTCGTGATTTTCTAATTTTTCAGTGGGTGTACGAATGCGGATTTTCCATACTATATAAACATTTTTTTACAAAATTAGACAAAATGATTAAAAAAATATTCAGAACACTTACTATTTTGACAAAACATGATTGTCTTTATAAAAAGATTGTTATGATATAGAAAAAATAGAGTGCAATTTCTATTATTAAACCATCTTCAAAAGCTTTCTTATTCTGTTCGACTGGCTGATTTTGATACATTTTTCTATAAAACCCTGAAATTAAAGATTAATTGTCTTATTTAAACAAAACTTTAAAGTTAAATAACATTTACGTATTGAATTCTTTATTTTAATTTAAAAGTTAAATTTTTTAATTTAAATTCAATTCCATTCATTGAGATTTTCTTGTTAATTTGTAGGAAGTATCATAAAAGGCGCTTTCACCCTCTCTGTACAATCGGATCTGTTCGCGTCTTCACTGGTCAACTTAAATACCTAATAATAATTACAAATTACAAGATACTACCTATTGTACACGCTATCATCTAACTTCACAGTCCTTGTTTAGTGGCAGCGGAGCCGTGGAAAGTCCGCTAGCTACGACGGGAGAGTCCTGAACCGGACCCGTTGGTACCACTATCGCCGTGGCAATCTCGATAGGATCGGCTTTGCCATTTTCGCCCTCGGATGTGATGGTCGAAGAAGGTGGTGTAGGAGGTGTAGCGGTTGTAGGGGCTGCCGTCGTTGTAGCCCCCGCTGCAGACATTGTACCCGGAGCCGTTTTCATTACGTACCCGGAACCTTCTTGACACCGCGCTAACTTTAATTTAATTGGTACCACTTTAACCGGATCCGACGTCGCACTTTGTTTATCAGGGGTAACGTTCACTTGCACAACCGCACTGTTACCATTCTTACTACTAGTCCGATCGTTATCGTTATTAGGTTTTTTGTGCAAGCGGATCACTAATTTCGTCGTTTCTTTAGAGATGATTTGCACTTCATGTTTTCGCCGTTTCTTTTTCCTACCGCTTTTATCTTTCTCTTTCTTTCGTTTTCGAACTTCCCCGAAATCGGCCATCACCTGTTTTCTAAATTTCATGCTCTCGCGTTTTAGATCTTCAACGCTTGGTTTAGCCACCGTTGGCAACCGTTTCTTCGGTGGTCGAATCGCGTCTTTTTTATTCTCGTCACCTTTCGGACCTTCTATTATACTATTGCCGCTAATACGAATTTTTAATTTGTCCACTTTTTGAGTGACGGCCACGGTTCTTGGTGGTCTTCCCCTGCGTCTCTCCATCGACCCGGAAGAGGCACTTCTTCTTCGTTCTAAAGACTCGTCATCCCCTAATATATCTAATTGTCTTAATTCTCGCGATAATTGCGATCTGGCTTTGTTTTCTTTGCGATGTTTCGTTTCCGTAAGATCGTCATTCGTTCGATAATCGCGATAATCTTCCTTAGTTGGTATGGAAGTCATCGAGGCAACGGCTTTAGGAATGGTTATGATTGTACGATTGAGCGCGGGGGCTGCTGGGGTGGTTGATGTAGTGGCCGAAGGATCGTCCATATTCATATCTTGCATACAATACCTCCACAGTAATTCTTTCTTTCTCATGCGCCAATTTGTTGCGCTTGGATTCGTTGTTACTGAATTCGCAACGCTGGGAATGGAGTTTGAAGAAGAATTTGATAATGGATGAACAGCTGGAGGTAAAGGCTGCACACTGGACGTGTAATTAGCAATTGGACCTTTAATTTTAACTTTTAATTGATTTCTAGAGTCGGAGAGCGAAACTTTGATATTTGATACTTCCGGTTGCGGTGGTTCTTCTGTTTTCTTACTGAGAGCTGTTTGTAATTCTTTCTCAAAGTCCTCATCCATCTCATCATGAACTTGTTGGGGTGGTGCCCCCGGTGCACTAAAAGCACCCAATAAATTTGATTCGCTGTATGTTTGTGAATCGAAACCACTATATGTCCGCATATCTACAGGTCCCGGTAATACTGGCGGTACGATATCAGGGAATGTTTGCGTTATCTCTTGACTTGGTAGCACGTTGGCGTCTGATTTTGGTTGGTCGATTGGTGTGGGAGGTCTCAATTCACTTAAATCGGCATTAAATCGCTTATGAGACTGAGAAGAAGGACTTGTGAATTTAGGTGACATAGAAGAATCTCTAGAAACGTCAGTTTTACCGCGTTCGTGCACATCCAACGATTTCCGCCTCTCTCTCATCGCTCTCAAATCACTCATACTCTCACTCGTCATATCATCGTCGAAATCGAGATCGTAAACTGTTCCAACTAATTTATTATGTATGGTGTTTAGGTCGTAATCGTTATGATGAGCATAAGAACCTCGTCCCCTTCCTCTACCTCTACCACGACCTCGAGATTGAACCTGACTTCCTCTTCCTGTAGATACTTTAACTCCTCGTTTATTTTCATTTCTAACACGAGCAGAAATTTTAGGCGCTTCTTGTCGCGGACTTTTACCGGGACTTTTACTCGGCGATTTACCTTGTTGAGATTGAAATCGAGCCGATGTTCTTGTTGGTTTAGAAGGTGATTTTTTACCTGCGGAGCTATTCGATTTCAAAGATGGATTCGGTGACGGTTGAATATGATTTGATGTTGGAGTAGAATTACTTAATGCAGGTGAAGGCGGCACTTCTTCGTGATTAATTGGTATGACCTCTTCCGGTATCTGTTGAGATGGCGGTTGCGGTATAGAAATTACTTGTTCTTGAATCGGTGGTAAAGCTGGCTGTGGTAAACTGGTGTCGTGACTAGAATCTTTTTGCGTAGCCGCTTGGGTGGTTTGCGTTGGTGGATTAACCATTGCGGCAGTCAAAGCCATGTTATGTTGTGATGAAGTAAATGCAGCTGTACAAGGAGACGGGAAATTCTGTTGGTCTTCTACAGGTTTCAATCCGGCATTCATCATTGTATGCATAGCAGGAAATGGGGCGCCGAAGGGAGGAGGAGGAAACATACCTGCACCTGGGGAAGGAAAAGGTAATTGATTACTTAAATTAGGAGGAGGAAATAAACTAACTGGTCCGATGCCACACGATTGTGGATCAGGAAAGGTGGGGGCGAAGTTATCGAGTAAATTATGACCGATATGCATTCCATGAAAGGGAAATTCCATTGAATTAACCAACATCTTTTCTTGTCGTTTTATTATATCTTCTTCTTCTGGTTTTCGTTGTGGTGAACTAATTGTTGATGCTGCAGAGCTTGATGATGATCTTCTACTCGGCATAACGTGTCTATCTGCCCATTTAGCTTGCGGGTGCACGTAAGGGGACGGACTGGGCATGTAATCCATAGATGCAGTATCAATAAATGGTGTTTGAGTCACGTTTGGTGAAGGTATTTTATTAGTTTCGACTTGTGGTGGCAAAATCGAATTTTCTACTTGAGGAATATTATTATCGATATGAGTAGATTGGGTATTAATAGTATGAGTATCAAAATTGGACATATACGCAATCGCTTCAGGTTGTGCATTGGTGTGTTGAGCACGATTCAAATCTAACCCTTGCAAGTTTGGATACGGCTCGCTAGGAGGCACCCATCGTTCATCAGCTTCCGCAGTTACAGTATGATGTGAATGTTGGCTGTGTTGATTTAAAATATCATTTGCATGTACGTTCACCTCTACAGAAGCAGTATACCTCAATTCCTTCGCTTCTTCGATCTCCTTAAAGTCCTGAACATGCATTTCAAATTTCATATCAAGAGATACTCTTGAATTGGTCTCTATTATGTTATCATCTTTTTGTAACGTATCTTGAGTAGATGTAGACACGGTATGTTCTGCGAATTCGTTTCGGTCGATATCGTTTCTACCGGATGTTACGCTGGCCGTATCATCAAAATCGTATCCAGTTGACTTTTTTGATAAACCCATACGTAGTTTTTCGACCAAATTTAAAGTTTCTCTGGCGCTATCTTCTTTCGTGTCTTCTTTAAACGATGGGATGTTGTTAGGAGGAATAATGGAAGGTTTTAAAATTTCATCTTTTCCGATACCATACAAGTTTGCGTTTAAAATATTATCGAAATCATCAAACAAATCGTTTTCTTTGTCATGCCGAGGTTGAGGTGAAAAAATAGATCTACTTCCTTCTTCGATTATATCTTCCGTCTCGTTCTTGTGAGAATTTTTATTTTCGTGATTGTCAAACTCTAATTCTTCTTTCTTTTCGTCTATAATGATAATATCTTGTTTGACTTCAACATCATTTTTAATTTTCGTTTTAGTTGGTGATTTTAAAATATCTTTTTCTTTGGGCTCTTTGTTCTCTTTTGAGGGAGAACTTGATAACCTTTCGAATGGTGGTTGATGTTTATCTTCTTTTAATCGTTTCTTATCCGGAGATTTAATAATTTCATTTTCTTTATTTTTGCTAGGTGATTTAGTTAATTTATCTGATAAGTTGGGAGAACGGGCAGGCTTTTCTGGTGATTTTGCTTTCTGGGGTGATTTACTTAATCTTTCCTTCTTTTCTATTTTATTTGGTTTTTCGCCTCGACTTTCACCTCGATCGGGTCCAAATAATCGATCTAGTGTAGATTGAGAGGTTGAAGACCCACGCCTTTCAATGATTTCTTTTTCTAAATTCCTTGTTGGCGATACATTTTTCTCATTTAACTTCTTCTCCGTTTTCCTGACCGGAGATGATACGCCACTGGACTTTCTTGTATCTGTTTCCTTTTCGGCCAATTGTTCTTCATTTGATTTTCCCTTTCTGCTCTTAGACTCCTTTCTGTCAACAGGGCGACGTTGGGTTTCAACGACAGCTCGAGGCCGGACATTAACATCTCCGATCCGATCACTATTTGATGGTGGGGGTTTGGAGTTGCTGATTCTAGGGCGACCTCTACCTCTTCGTCCAGTACCTCTACCTCTACTCGATTCCTCTCTTTCAAGTGTTGTCGAAGTTGAGGATAATGTTGATGTCGATTTTTTGTTGTCAATGCTTTTTCTAGCTGGTTGTGCTGGTGCGGCTTTGGGTACTTTAGGTGGAGTAGGTGTGGATGGTCGACTGGAATCACTCGAGTCCGAGGAGCTACTAGTAACAGGGGATTTGGGTGCCTTGTCAAGAAAGGGCCAGTCCTTGTTACTAGACCGCTTAGTCTGATCTCGAGCTGCCGCCGAGACTTGACTCTCCGATTGCGGTTTATCATCGTAATCTTCGCTGTCCGAACTAGACGTTGATGACGAATCAGAGGAAGAGCTTGAACTGGAAGACGTGCTACTGTTTGAGGAAGATTTTCGTTCAGACTCGGACACTTTAGTGGGTTTCTCTTCCTCTTTTTTCTTAATTTCATTATCTCTCTTATTTTTGGTTACGTCGGCTATTTTATTATCGTTTTCAACCTTCGTGCCAAGACCTTTCATACTTTCAGTTGCCTTTTTGGCTGCTTGCCTCTGAGGAACATATGCTAAAATTTCTTGATTATCACCTTTCTCCACTTCCTTATCTATATCAAATATATCACTTTTAACAACTTCCTTTTTGGACTCAGTCTTTTCTTTTTCTTTAATAATCTCCTTGTCTTTTATTGGTGGCCTGCCCTTCGGTCTTGGGGGTTTATTGCTTTTCTCTTTATCTCCAACATCGATTGGTTTTCTTTCTGTAGTTTCTTGATCGTTTTGAATTTGCTCTTTTACTCTGTTAGTAGATGTTTTGAGGTTTTCAGAAGCTTTCTTAGCAGCTTGTCTCTGAGGAACGATGAGATCTGAAGGGACGTAATCCTTCTTTTTAATAACAGGTTCCTTTTTGCCTTCTTCTTTTGTTCGCTTTTTATTTTCAGGACTACTTTTATTGGGTGACTTGGACGTTGTTGGTTTATGAGTGAAATCTTTCATCGCGGCTTTTGTGCGCATTTTGCTTTGTTGAGAATCACTTGCCGCGTCGTTACGCGTTGAAGCGTCGGAACTATCGCTGTCTGAGTATATTAAAGCCATTGCGTTCGTCGATTCTTTGTGTTTATTTACAGGTAACGGCATAAGTTCGTCGCTATCGCTGCCCGAAACACCCAGCTCGTTTTCAATTTGAACTAGTCTAGATTTCGGTATCGATTTCCACTTGTCGTTTGGTTTGACATCTTCGTCACTGCTTGTCTCGATTTTAGGTTTCGATATCCTACTTAGTCTTTTCTGACGTCTTTCTGTGGTCTTTGGACCTCGTTTGTTGACCGACTTAACTCCATCGTCAGAACTACTGTGTACTCGATTTTCTTTGTCATCTTTAGGACGCTCGTCACTACTGCTACTACTAGACATACTGCTACCATATAAACTACTACGTTTTTTAGATCCGTTAACGTATATCTTTTTGTACGGATTATTTTCTTTGAAAACACCATTGAAATCAGATCTTTTCTCATCGCCGGACGCCTTGAGGCCGGCAATTTTCGCTAAAATACTATCAAAGTCTACAGTATGATCTTCAGCTGCAGTATGAGAATATAGGCGATCGTATATCGACGGACCGTGATTTGCCTCCATGACAGCTTGTACAACCGTGGACGATAACGTATTTCCGCCCGAACTAAGCACCGCCACTTGTTTATGAAAGGTCTGTTCGCGCATACGAAAGAATGTCCGCGATAACTTTTCTCTTCTGCTCACCATGTAGCACAGATTACGAACACGTTCGAGATCCTGCCTCAACTGTACAAACATTTTCATTTTTTCTATATCCGCTTGTTCTTGTTTGTGAGAGAGCATGTCAACATCATCCGATTTCGGAGGAAGAAGAGGTTTATTATTGCCCGCTTTTCGTTTCAACCTCCAGTAATTGTATATTGCATTCAACGCTTCCATATCAACATCGATTCCAACTACGACATCTTTAACTGTAACATGCACATAAAACTCGGCTTCAATCTCTTGTAACCTTGTTGCTCGACCCTGATTATTCTCCTCCGTATCTTTTCGTTTTTTCAATTTATCGTCATCTTCGGATCCCGAATACATGCTAATCTTTTTTCTTTTTCGCAATTTACTATGTTTTTCACAATAGGAACGCAACCGGACACCTTCGGCCGTATAATCGTCCTCGATGATCGCCCGCATCTCAAGTCCGTGTTTGAATGCACACGTCACGTGATACGCAGTTTTACACGACCGCACCGAACATTGAATGCAAGCTCCCACACGTTCTCGACAAAGCACGCAAACGAGGGCCCAACGAGTTTGTGGTATACTCGAAATTTTAGTTATTGGTTCCATTCTTTCCACGCACCCAATACTAACTTCGGGGATCCATAGAGAGCACGAGACATGAGCGTAATGTTTTCCCGATCGCGTTGATTTCATCGCCCCGCCCGGATTTGGACACAGCACGCAACACGGTTTCACCGCTTTTTCGGCGCACGGACCGCACAACCATTGTCCTTCCGGAATGCTCATAATACCGTAGCAGGCTTGATGTACACAGATGTTACAACTATCACAGAATACCATCTCATTGCCGTCCTCCGAGTCTGGAGATCGACATACGTCGCACACTACGTTTTCGTCGTACTCTATACCTAAGCCCTCTTCATTTTTTAAGATTGACTGGATCTTGTCCCAGCACCTCACCTCCAACTGCTCAAGCACGCGTTCCAATTGATCTTCTGTGATTACAGGGAGTCCCATGCAGGATCGTTCATCGTTTATCAATTTTAACCACGTCACGTCGCATTCGTCCAGGTCATACGAACACGCTGCCTCCGCCTGTTTTGGCACCTTCGACAACACGTGATCTTCCGATTTGTATCTGTCATCGTTCGTTATTCTTACGTATTTGTTCTTCGGCCTAAAGAAAATTAATATTAGCACAATATTCTTGCAGAACAATTAAGTTCCTTTTCATTTCAATTTGATTACTTACAATTTAAATTCATGCGGCGACTTGTAACTGTTGGCGCAGTGAGTGACAGTTACGGATGGTTCCGGCAGCGAATCCGGATTGACAGGCACCTGAACGCCCCTCTCCCATTCCTGCTTCCACTGATCGCAAATCACCCAATATTCGTGAGCAGCGAGCGGTTCAGAATCGGGCAGTTTCATGGCACTAATAAGGTCCTTTCGAAAAAGCTCGGCGGGAGCTTCGGTGGTGGTGCGATTGTAGATGCCCTTGAGGTCGTTGAGGGGCCGAGGCTGCCATGAAGCCACGGAGGCCGTCTCTTCTTCTTCCGGCGCCGGCCGCTAAAAATTCAATTATACTTTAGTCAGAGAAAAGATTAACTTCTTGATCAAACTAGTTTTAATCAAGGAATAGAAATTATAATTATTAAATATTTAATATGATATTTAAATGATAAGTCCACAACATGATTGTAATAGTAATAGAAATACAAGGTAAACTTATTAATAATATAGTTTACAGGATACATGAATAATGCAATATAATAAAGCATAAAATTAATTCCAGCAAATACCTTTAACAGTAAATACATACATCTGTCTCTTATTGTAATTACTGACAAGTATTACAACTATATCTGACGAGTGTGATTGCAACAAAAACTCCTTTGGCAGTCAATGTGCTAAGGTATTTTTCAATAAGAAATTCAAAGTATTCAAGGACAAACTTATTCAGGAGCTAAGATCTGACATTGCAAGATGCAAAAATAGAGTACAGAGTGATCCAAATTTGATTATTGATCTTCAGTTATCAGTTATTGCTCTTTTTCAAGAAAATTATCATACCGAAAACCTCCAAGGTTTTTATTTTCACCCTACAACAAAAACTGTGAATTTCATAGGCACAAAATGTGTACATTTACTGGGAACTGTATACAATAATAATAAATTAGTCTGCGAACGCATATCAACAATATTACAACTACAACAAACGCACATTCTATAACTGACTTTCCTTAGGTTGTACATTTCCTAACAGCTGCATTTTTTAAATCCTTGTCCATTTGTAACAGATAATAATCCTATATTTTGTTATTGTTGTTCTTGTTAACATTGTTGGAATATTTTTTTTAGAATAGCATTTGTCGAACTATTAAGATTTACTGTAAAAATTTAGTTTGTTCTATGTAAAAATATCAGAACTGTTTAGTAGTAAAGTGTTTCTTTCACCAACAAGACAAATCTAAATGTTCATCTAAATATATTTAGAAAAAATGTTTAGAACTTTAGTAACTCAACAAGTTTGAATTGGACTGCACCTCTTAAGTTATCCATAATAGATTAATTTATAGTTTGTAATTTGGTCCCAATTTAAGTAGATGAAACTAACATATATAATAAGCTCTCATTGAAAAGTGATGAAAACTTTCTACAATTGTCACTTTAAATATGTATTGATTGGTGATAACTTTTTAAATCCAAGTTTATTTTGATCCAAATAATGTTTCACATAGCGTTTCCACAAAGAACTATCCTTTATCATCCATGTATTATTCTAATAGCGACCATTAACTTTATTTATAAATTTCCTTATGTTCACATCAGAAAGTAGCTAAAGCTCCTAAGAGTCACAAACCATCTATTTAAGATTTCTTTCAATAATTTCTTCATTTAAATGTGATAAATGGGAAATGAAGAGGTTGAACTGAGTTGAATGTATTGCTTGCAATCCATTTCACGTATATTTGAAATCCAATCTTTCATCATTCTTCCCCAAAATCCCCTTTATTTCGATTTTCAGTATGTTTTGAGGTATTCTGACTCCATCTTCCTTGTTTTTCACTTCTATAAGCCACATTTCCAATGAAAATCCACATGAGTATGTAAGAAAGAAATCCTTATAGACACTTTGCAACAAATTATTAACTATATCATTAAAATCCGCAAATTTGCACATACAGAGGATATATTGAACTTTAAACACTTTATAAAATTTCCATTGACCATTAATTTTCACAATCAGTTTCCACAAATATTTCTTCTCTGATTTTTGCGTATACAAATTTGGGACACAAGTTGATTAAGTAATCATTGTGTTAATCACTGTGACTGCGCCTTTCTTTTCTCACATCACAAATGGTTAGTTGTTTGATTTGGTGAATTTGGTTTCCATCCTAATAAAGTGACCAATCATCTATTGAAACAATATATAAATCAATTTCTATTTCAAACTTAATTAAATTTAACTTCTTACCTTAAAGCGGTTTCAAATTTAAATTTTCCATTCATTTCAGTGGTGCAGTATATAGTTCCCTTCTTTTCTTGAAAGATAGTAGACAATCCTGATTTTTCCTTCTGTGTTGTGCCTTGTGTTAGAATGCCAAATCATTCAGTTTACTGGTAAAGTTAAACAGTTTCCTTCAATGGTCGAAATCACTTTCATAATGATGAATCAAACATTGCAAGGTATTTGCAATTACACCTAAACCCTATAACTGGCAGTGGATCATTAGTTGTATGTTGTACTGGTTGAGATATATCACAACACTTATACTGGGCTAGTTTTCTTAAATTTACACAGGCGATTTTATTTTTTGGTTGTCTCCACATCATTGAGAATGAAGTTTAGTTCATTATATGAATTATTAATGAATAATGAATGATTAAACCAAGCTACACTTTTTGTATAAGCTAACTAAAACACTCCAGAAATAATGGAAATTTAACTCATTTAAGTCTATTGCAGCCACTGTGATAGTTCTAATATGGGCTTTATCATTGTTGTTAGTTCATCCTTATTACAATATTTGATTATCTAGTCTTCAGTCAATGTTAACACCTGCAAAGATCATGTTATCATGAAATATATTATGAATAAAGGTAAAATTATGCTTACTTCAATGCAAATAGTTTTCAATACTTACTAAAAATGTGTAACAATTTAAATAATTCGACATTTTTTACTTGTCCCTATCCCAACTTTTGGTACCATTACTGTAAACTATTTATTTATCACTTTTCAATACACTTTTCCCTAATTTTCAACTGACATCTATTACAAAAGAAAGTAAATGTACACATTTCCCTAAATAATTACAATCGATGTATCATTAACATAAATAAATATGTTGCTTAGTTGTTTATGATTTAAAAAAATAGATTTGCATGTAAATACATCGAATTTGGACCACACTGTACATATATATTTCTGGAAATCTCTCAGAGGTATTCAAATATGATTAAAAAATCCTTTTGGTTATAATACCCTATAAAAAGCAAGGCAATAAAAATATTAGTTGCTTCTATTTAACCACTTATTTTTAAGACTATTACAATCAAGAGAAATTCAATAATTTCAGAACTAATCATTAGTTTACCTAAGAATTTAACTAAAACTTGTAAATAACATTGTTGTTTAGTACAACTAATACAAACTAAAAATTATTAAGAAGCTTTGCATTAAATGTGATTAATAATATTAATCAAATCTAGTAATGGATTCACACTTTTTGTTTAAAAACGCTTATATATTCTGTAATCACTAAATCATGAATGAAAAAATCATTAATTATGTTTGAATAATCAATAACTTTAAGTTAAAAGTGCTTACCTTACGCCTTTTAGCAGGAACCGAGCCATCGTCACAACGATTAGGCCGCTTTACTCTCTGTGACATCGCACAAATATAGTGCAGGTAATGAGCTTACGCTGCACAACCTAAAAATGTGAATGAGTGAATTAATAATGATTTCTATTAGAGGTTAACCTCAAAATCACTTACTACATAGTTTCCTTGTAGCCCTAACATAAACTCGACTGGGATTTATGTCTGAAATAGAATGAACAGTATGTAAAACAGATTAAATTGGATATATAATGATAAAATAGATTAAGAAACAGCGTTAGGACGTGAAGAAACATACAGAATGTGGATGGGTAAAAGAAAAAAATAGTAGTGTTTAGCCCCTGGCTATGTAATATCTGTGCCCATAACAGAGTTTTGGGATCGTTTGGGGTTTCCATTAAGACTCTAACGCAGATTGGATAATCCTAGAGTCAGAAATTTCCCGCGATTTCAAGAAAATTCGCAGTAATTCATTGGTATAGTTTGACAAACACTAAAGGTGTCTCCCAATGTCTAGGTTGTAAACATTTACATTTAATGGGCAACACATACACAAACACTAATTTTCACAACTGATACACAAATCACCCAATTAAATAATCAATTCTATTACCATTTTCGTCGAATTTTGGCCGCTTTAGTACGGGTTTCAGAGTTTTTTCAATAAATCGACTTCATTAGACTCCATTTGGTAAGCCTAACAACATTGACAGTATAGGTGGCGCCACCGTCGGCAGACACACAGCAGCAGCAGCAGCACAAGTAGCTGAATTATTAAGCGTCTATCTCTCTCAGAAATCGTCTCGATACGGCGATAAATTATCAACGTATCCAGTAATTTGTATTTTTTCGTTTGTACGCGATGCACGGTACGTTCACGTTGCCGTAAAGCAACGAAAATCTTTTAAACGTGCGCATCCTAACGACGAACCGTCCAAAAACTCTACTATTGTCGTCTTTATTTATCATAACCAATATGTCCTCATTACGCATTCCTAGCGGTCCGAACGAGTTTCACTCACCGCCAAAGCAGCTACTACATTCTTATTTTTCAAGTTTTTATTTTGCGTTATCCGTATTTCGTTTTTAAAATTCGGTAAACGCATAAGAAATCGAAACACTAAAATAAAAATCCGTTTTTCGCACAAAACTGGTCAATGTTATTTGGCGCCATCATTGTCTAAAAAAATAACTGACCGTACTGGTCACGTGACATCAATACCGTGTTATTTTTTAAAATCAAGTTCAAACGTTTATTTTTTAATCTAATCAAAACTTTTCTGGTGCATTACCTTTAATTAAATCATTAACGATTTTGGTATTTTTGATTTAAAGAAAGCTTATTGTTTATTTTTAAATCGGAAAAATGTGCTCAACCGGTATAATAGTTTCCTAATTAATCTGACGTTATTTATAAATGTAAACAATACGAAAAATAACAATGGAGCAGGTTTATTAATTATTTTATTCTAAAGTAACTCATTTCTATTTATTTCTTTTAAATTGTTAGGTACAAAGTCTTAAAGGTAAAATAGATCAAGCAGTTCGCACCGCTGAAGAATTCACAAAATTATATTACGATACTGTTGACAAACGAAGGCATGTAAGTTACATAACCTCAATCTTATAAGCATCCTGGTTAATTTATTTCTAATATAACGTAGAACGTCCGGTGAAAGAAAGTTTTATTACGAGGGCGTGATTCAAGGTCGTCTCTCGATTTTACTATTAATATTTTACCTTCTGAATTAATTACGTTTTAATTGATTTTCTTTTTGTTATTTAAGTGTATTGCAAAATTGTACTTGGACAATGGATTGCTTACGTGGAATGGAAATGGAATATCTACCAGTGATAGAATACAAAAATTTTATATGGATTTACCTTCATCGGAACATTGTGTTATTACATTAGATTCACAACCAATATTAGGTATAAAATTAAATATCTATTTCTTAACCTCTTAATGCAACTAAAAATTGAGAAGAGATAGTTTGTGTACCAATATTTTGATACACTGAAGATAATTGCACTTTGCTGAGCAGAGTTAACTTAGGCAATAAAAAATGCTTGAAAATGATCAAAAAAAAATTGAAAAATAAATTTTTAGTTAAAATGGTAAATTTTAAAACACATAATGACACAAAAAAGGATGTAACATTCACCACAACGTACATATTTTTCTTTGAGCAGAGGAATCATTGTTGGATTTTCTCACTAGTGTTTGATGGCCATCTTCTTAAGATACAATTTGAGTTCAATTACTTTCAGACAAAATTTGAGTGATCAATTTCTCCACCAGATTTTTTGTAAAGCATGAAATCGTTTAATATTGCCAAATTTAAGAGATGAAAAAAAAATTTTTACCAATGATGGTAGAATTTAAGAGGACTGCTACATCTTGAGAATAGGTGCACAGCTTGATGGCCTATTCATAACATCATGCATTGGTAGGCAACTACTATTCTATTTCACACTTTGAATTAGGCTAGAACTATCATAGTTCTATGTCATAATTTATGTTTGATGAAAAATATTACAGTGCAATGTACCAAATAGTATAATAGTTTAAATATGATCATATGTCTATGACCATATGTTCTCATCAACAGAACATATTATATTTGTAACCAAAATGGCGTCTGTTCAGTTTTATAGCACAGTAATTGCCACCAAATTGTTAATTTCCAAGTATAAAGCGAATGAAATGTTGTACAATGCCAAATGGAATGTCTATAAAAACAGAAATGAACGTTTACTTGTTTATCAATGGATTGCTGAGGTTATAATTGATATTATTGAAGGTTGTATCTACAGTAGCAGATGTAAGGAAGAAAATCAATGGATTAAGTTGCTAAGAATCAAAGTGTTACAATATGGTGGTTTTCCACCCTTATACTGTTTCTCAAATGAGTATTTTTCTTTGAAATCAATTTATATGCTGTAGACGCCAAGTAACAAAAGCTTGTCTCACCCATTCTTAAATAGTTCTAGTAATATTTTGGGTTTTCACTTTTCAGTTCTCTCAATAAAATATTTTGAATTTCCAAATTATTACGCCCAAGTCCTAACCTACACTCGTTTTTCACTCTATATGTTGCTTTTCAACAATAAATATATTGTAATTATTGAACTCAAACAGGCACCAAATACACTGAAAACTGAAAAATACTATTGTTCATCCATTTTGTATAATTATGTGATAAAATATATTACATAGTGTAAATCGACAACATATTTTCCATAATATTTTCTCATCAAACTTTATACTACAAATATTTGATAATATCTATGACGTAGAACTATCATAGTGTAATACCGGCCTTAGCAAATGCTTAATTTATTCTATTCGTGTTTTGTAATGTTGTTAGTTTGACATTTAATAAGGTTAATAATATAAAAGAAATCTTGATGCAGTTTAACTATGCGTCTCTTAAGACAGCTAAACCCGAAACTTAGTTAAACTAGTAGTAGTTAAACTTACTAGTTCTAGGCCTAGAGTAGTTAATAAAAGTAAACAATAATCAAACGTTCAATAACAACTAAAACTAGAAGAGCTAACGCTAAACCTAGAACTAGAAACATTCAGGTTTAGCCTTTTGTCTCTTAAGATGGCTAAACCCGAATAATTCTAGTTTTGTTTTAGCGTTAGTTTTAGTTTTAATTCAATAAAAATATACAACAATCTAACACTGAATAAAGAGTAAAACTAGTGCTAACACTAGCACTAGAACCTACACTACACCTAGAATTAGAAATATTCGGGTTTAGCCGTTCGTCTCTTAAGATGGTGATTTCTAGGTCTTAGTGTTAGTTCCACTTTTAGTTCAATAAAAATATACAACAATGTAGCGCTGAATAACAATTAAAACTAGAACTAACTCAAGACCTAGAACTAGAAACATTCGGGTTTAGCCATGCGTCTGAAGACGATATTGGATATGTGAGATATATAAAGATACGAAATCTTTCATTACACACACTTCTCGCCGTCCTCTCTGAAAAGCAATTGTTTTTCCAACTTTTATTGTTTTACTCTTCAACTCACTCACTACCTCTTTTCGTGATACGTGCAATGTTCCATAAACATCAGTTTTACTTTTTTATCAATAGATTAGCTAGTCTAGATGAGTTCCTTTATTCAATAACGGTCGCATCAAAATTGGAAGATCTACAAATTCTCTGTCGTGAATGGTATTTTTATGGTATCAATTGTTTATTAAAATCAAGCTGGAAGAAATTTAGGCAACTCTAATCATCAATATCAATATTTTTAACCCAGAAGGTGGAGCGAATGGTGGAGGTGAAGCAAGAGTGTGATAATTGTTACTTTCCTTGAACAGGCATTACTCTTTGAATTATTACCACTGGGTTGTAAAACTTCATTTTCTGAAGTAAATAAGAACAATTAAGACAAAGTAATAAGAAATGAACAAATGTGTGTTTGCACATGGTAAAGATTACATACGTGTGGCAAATTTTCTTTTGCAACCTATTTGCTGTATCTAACACATTTGATGCTCAATTGTTTCTTTGAATATGGTAGATAATAGAATATTAAGTGTGGAGCAACATTCCTTCTTTAACATTTTGTCATATCTTCAACAATAGTCGAAATATCTTTGGTGACAACTAAAATCAAACACACTGGGTAATAAGGGTTGTGAGTTGTGACTATATACCAATGCATACCGACGGTAATAAACTGTAGCAATATATAAACTGAAAATATGCAATTATTGCATTTATGGCACTATTGAACTAGATGTGCGATATGTTGGGAAAAACACAAGATGGTAACTTTATGCTGTAGATGAAAGCAATGTCTGTGGGCCACATTTAGTACACTTGGATATGAACCTGTTAAAAGTCCATTTACATGTTTTTATTGTGTAAAATGATCATATTCAGAATATGTATAACAAAATAAGCAAACTGTTATTTCGTTATTTTTTTCTTTACCCCTCTGTGTACTATCATAATGTGGTCTATTTGGTTTGTTGTGCTTTTATGCGGTGATATCCATGTTGTTTTTTGGATGTATCTGTGGGGGAATCATATTGAGGTTATCGTTATATCTTTACTTGTAGCAAAGTTTAATACAAATTCTCTATTCACATTTCTCTCTCCGTGCAATGACGCCTGTAAACTGTGCATCTTTTCATAGTTTGGCATTTATATCTTCCACGATAAATTTGTCGTTGTTTGATCATTTATCATAGAGTTCACTATTATAAACCAAGTTTTAAGAGTAGGTAAAATCTTTCTTTAACAGCCTCCTATTGCTCTTTTTTGAGGCAATGGACATATTTATAAGTTAGACTACATTATGGTTATAATTACTTTTAGGTTGAGATATGTTGGAGTTTTATTGCCTGAGGTTGACAGGAAGTGTTGATAAACTCACCATTTTATACATATAATAAAGATTTCATTGATATAATTTCAAAAAAAAAATCTAGCAATGTTTCTAAGAATACTTTTATTAAGATTATTTCTTTTTAGATGCAGCAGTAAATGGTCAATTAACATTTTTAATTCAAGTAAGCGGAACTGTGAAATACCAAGATAAGCTACCAAAAACATTCCAACAGAATTTTGTAATAACAGCGCAAGGAGATAAATGGAAGATTGTTAACGATTGCTTTAGGTTACAAGAGCCTTTGAATGCAAGCGATAAAAATTAATTTTATAAATAATTAATCTTATATGATAAGGAAATAAAAAAAAACTCAACTTTTTGTAATAAAATTTATTTCATTGTTTCCAATATACTTTTCTCTTTGATTATCACATCAATTACATTTCTGAGAAAGATAAAATTTTTGTTTTAGGCCTACAACAACTTTTTTGACATGGAATTACATTTTCTTATAAACAATGTAAATGTCTATATAAATTTTTAAAATAATAAATTGCTGTGAGATTATTAGTCAATTTAAAAACTAATGAAACCTATATCGCTTATATAAAATATATACATACAAATTAAAATTCAAAGCCAATTAAAACAATATTTTGATTACAAATATAAATGAATGAAAATAAAATTTTTTAACCCATAAACACAGTGCTTGATTAAATTTAATCGAAATGAGCCCCACAATTTGAACACCTCTTTGTTTTATCAGCGAGACAACACAAAATTCCTATTGGGAAAAAGAAAATAGCGCAAAGCAATCCAAAACAAGTAAAATGGTCTTCCAGAATCCCAATCCTACAAGCTGGACAGGCACCGACAACAATAACTTCTGGTGGAACTATAACGGTGGTATGGGTACTAGTACCATAACTCGGAATGAAACCTTGATTTAAAGGGGCGGATGGTTGATATGGATAATATTGCGGTTGGTGAACACCTTCAAATTGTTTTTAAGTTATTTTATTAAATATAGTAAATAATGTGCGTTGAACATATTAAACAAAAAGAAAAATACCTGGTTGAATGGGGTTTGGCCCCGGATATGGTGGCGGAGGGTCTGGTTTTGTTGACATTATTTATCTTATATTTTACAACAAATAAAAAACATAAGTTGTCAACCTCAATTACTGTGAATCATACGTCAATTAAATGACAGTTCAAAACAAGAACAATATACACACGAAAATTTCTTTTAATTTAAAAGAAATCAAATACTTAAAAAAACTGACGAACTAAATATAAAAATAAAATAAATAAACAAGATTTGTTAATTTTTATTTATTAAATAAATAAATAAACCTAAAATTCAAAATGGAAAATAACCATTTTCGTTTGTTGTATGTAAAACGAACTTTGTACGAATTTCAATGCAAATATCTGTCAAAATCAAATGATGTGTCAGTTTGACATTTAGTAAGGTTTTGTGGTCGAGTTATAATTGAATAAAGTATAAATATGTGGTGTTAATGTTGGTGTGTACGTCTAAAAATTCTTTGATTTCGATTATAATGCTATCGGAAACAATACTTTAAGGTTAGAACGCGAGAAATGTGCTAAAATCAGATAGCGATACACGTCACGAAGTATGGTCCTTTCATTAACACGGTGGGGCCTTCCATGAAAACATCACGCCGATTTTAATTAACGATGCAAGCGAACCTTAAAACGAAGGAAATGTTTATCTTACGCGCCCTAGAGAAAATATTAAATGATAAGGAAATCAAGAGGTCGCATCACTCCCAATTAAAAAAGGCTTGCGAATCAGCTTTAGGTTTATATTAAACATTATTTTGTTGTTGTTTGTGTTAATTTTTACGTGTGATTGTAGAGGAAATCAAGAAAGAGTTATCCAACGTTAACGATAATGAAGAGGAAAAAGTATCTGATGCTCTTCCGATACCAAAAAGTGGTGATGCTAATGTTTTAACCACCGAAAAGTATTTTTTACCTTTTGAACTAGCTTGTCAAAGCAGGTCGGCTCGAATAGTAGTCACAGCGTTAGATTGTTTGCAAAAACTTATTGCTTATGGGCATTTAACAGCAAATGTACCCGATTCAACAACACCTGGAAAATTACTTATTGACAGAATTGTTGAAACAATATGTGCATGTTTTTCAGGGCCACAAACAGATGAAGGTATTATTTAAAATTATTTATTTAAAATTAGTAATTTATTTTTAATAATTTTTATAGGTGTCCAATTGCAAATAATCAAGGCTCTATTAACAGTAGTAACTAGTCAACATGTAGAAGTACACGAAGGAACAGTCCTCTTAGCAGTACGGACATGTTACAATATATTTCTGGCCAGCAAAAACTTGATCAACCAAACAACAGCTCGAGCAACTTTAACACAAATGTTGAATGTAATTTTTATGAAGATGGAAAATCAAGCGTTAGAAATGGAAGTTCACGCAGAACAACAGAAGCAACACATGCATGAAAATAAGAATGAAAGTCTCGAAAGAGATACAGGGACAATTGTTGAAAATGGAAAGAGCGATGAAAGTAGTTCGGATGAGAAAAAGAGCGTTGAAAGTGAAGTTTGTAGCGAAGACATTGCAAGAAGTATTATTGATGGTATAGTCGCTTCTTTGGGTGAGGATGATACACAAAATGGATCTGATCGAATGACGGATACTACAATTGAAACTGATGGTCAACACAGTATTGTTAGGTATGTAAATAATGGTGAAATTTAAATTTAATAACATTTATTTAAATTTTTCTCTAATAATGGATTAAAAATGGTTGCTTTTTTGTATAGATCATGGAATTAACCTATGTATTAAATAATACAGACATAGCTTTGAAATATGCAATAAAAAATCGCATATTTTTTTGGCGTTACTGAATGTAAAGAATGTAACAAAAATTTAAATTATATTGTTCATGGGAGTTAAAGTTATTTGCGTTATCTACATTATGCAAAATTTATTGTTGTATGTAATTGGGATTGGTTTTATATTCTTTTATCGCTATTGGTGTATTAATATAAAAGCGGATTAAAAAAAAATTATGTTTATTGGTGATATAAGAAAAAATACGTAAGATAAAAAACATACAGTTTCTTCATAGAAAAAACAATAGTTTTCTTCTAAGGTGTAATTAAATTAAATTATTAGAGTTAATTTTAATTTATGATTTAATTGAATTTTTATTTATATTATACAGGTGTCACACAAAAAACGCCCCAAGCTGTAACTCTATTATTTACATTCCGATTTTCATGACCCAGGTATCAAAAGAAATGTTTTTTAAATTGCTGCGTATATTTTTCTTCACGTCATTGGATGGAGATTGTTTATCTGAATCCATTGATGTACAACATATCAATTTGAAATGTTATTTTAACAGAGAAAAGACACCTGTATATACAGGTTATCACACAAGAATGTCGCAAGCTGTAGCTCTGTCATTTACATTCTGATTTTCATGAGCGAGGTATCAAATGAAAAGGTTTGATGAATACTATGATTCATGCTACAAATAAACTTTTTCCAACGCCATCTTCAATTTCAAGCGTTATCTACTTTTGATTTTCAAATTGCTCGGTATGTTTTTCTTCACTTTATTGGATAGAGATTTTTTTTCTGATTCTATTAATGTACAATATATCAACATTAATTGTAAGTGTAGCAGAGAAAAGCATTAAAATAGTTTCCGAACATTGATACCTCGCAAACCATTTCATTTGATACTACCTCGCTCATGAAAATCGAAATATAAATGACAGAGTTACAGCTTGGGGCGTTTTTTGTGTGACGTCCTGTATAAGGGTACAGAGCGGCTGTATTTGAACAATGGTAAGGCCTAGAGATTTGGGAAAAAATCCTTATAAGCAAAGTGGACAAGAGCAAGGACGGTAGAATCTAAAAGGAGTGCTACATCCTTTGTTCTTTTGCAATCTTGAAAATGACGTCACACAGTGGTCTGAAAACACTCAAAACCCGATCGAAAATCCATTTAAAAAAATGTTTTTGTGTTGTTTTTTTTTAAATGTGACATATATTTTAACTATTAATAGACTCTCATGTTAGTGAAGTTTATGAAATCTTAGGTGTTTTATAATAGCTATTGCTCGAAATAAATTGCTATTACAATTTATTTTATTTTGTATAAAGAAATTTTCTAGAAAACGACACAGCTTTATAAAACAAAAAAAGATGGTATATCACTGCTTGAAAATATTGTGTCGTTGGTTTCTTATAAAGTACAGAAAGGTCTTCATTTTATGCCTTTCCAAATTTCAAACAATGTTTGTTGAAAAAAATTACAACCATTTCTATTAACGTCAATAAATACTTATATTTATTTGACAATTCAATCTCTTAAATTAAATATCTTGTGAAAGAACAATTTTAGCCAAAATTGGCAGCAAAATGGCAGCCAAAAATTTATTTAACACATAATTGGACCGCGTTATGTATCACTTGACTAAGTGACAAATGAATAATGTTGAGAAAAATGGGATTTTCGTTTTCATCTCTCTAAAAATATAAGACAGAACATTGATGACAGCTATCACAAGCACAGAAGCCACTTGGTCACTTGTTACATTTTACAATTATACAGGCTGTTTCTGTAAGTCGTGGCATAAATTTAATCACTAAAACTAGAGACAAAATGATGACGTCTAAATGATTCGTCTAAAAATTTTTGAAGAAAATAATCTAGAGTTTGATTTTGTACCTTTAAGCTGGTTTTTATTTTATATAGAATTTAAGTCTAACCATTTTCGGCCCCTCTCATCTTATCCATTTTACAAACACATATCAAAGTCGAAATCAGATTATTAGTTCCTACTTTACAAAATTAAAGTTTAAAAAGTTATAAAATGAAATTAAGGACGAAGTGTTGCAAGATTACAGAGAAAAATTTAAGGACGCTTTTTTTTAACAAAAAAAATATTAAGAAACTTGGGAAAAATCATCATGTGGCTTAAAAATCGACGATTTTTTTAATCAATGTGAAATGACCCAAAAAACACGTTAAAAATAAAAAGAAAGGGTGGAAAAGTGATTAACACTAGATTAATTTCAGTTATAAAATTTCAATTATATGATAACTAACTTCAGGTTTAAAATGTGAACCTCAATTTTGACATATTTGTAATCTTTATTAAAAATCCTTTAAAATGAGTACAAACACGATACGTTTAATTCTAATATTACTCGAGATATAAGTAACTTCCGGTTTGAAATGTCAATGTCATTCTAAAAAAATAAAAAATTAAGCTTGGTATTAATATTTAAAAATTAAATTTCTATCTTCATTGTTGCTAACTTCGAGTTTAATGTTTTTTATTCTAACGTTTTTGAGACAAGTGCGTCATCTTTGGTCTCATTTTAAAGGTTTTTTAATGAAGATGACAAATATGTCAAAATTGACGTTGACGTTTGAAACCGGAAGTGATTGTATTTCCATTAATATTATTAAAGTTAAATATGTCGAGTTTGGACTCATTTTAAAGGATTTATTATGAAGTTGACAAATATGTCAAAATTAAAAGTTGAAAGTTCGAACTTTTTTGTTTTTTGAGATAAATGCCTCAAATTTGGACTCACTTTAAAGGTTATTGTATGAAGATTACGATTATAATAATAAAATTAAAGTTGACATTGACAACTGAAAGTTTTTTTCACGACTAAACCCGAATGTTTCTAGTTTTAGTTCAATAAAAATATACAACATAGTAATACACTAGATGTAACACTAGACCGAGAATTAGAAACATTCGGATTTAGTCCCACGTCTCTGAAGACGGCTAAACCCGAATGATTCTAGGTCTTCGGTTAGTTCTAGTGATAGTGCTAGTGTAAAACTAGAACTAACACTAGACCTAGAACTAGAAATATTCGGGTTTAGCCGTCTGAAGAAATGCATGGCTAAACCCGAATGTTTCTAGTACTAGGTTTAGTGTTAGTTTTAAGCCTAGTGTTAGTTCGAGGTCTAGTTCTAGTTTTAGTGCAATAAAAATATGCAACATACTGATATCTTATGCTAACTAGCGCTACCTACCGCTGTCGTTTGTAAAATGGATAAGATGAGAGATGTTAATCTATTTGCAGAGTCTCTGGAGATGGCCAAGGGCCGAAACTAGTTAGACTTAAATTCTATATAAAATAAAAGACATAAACTTTCAATTTTACACTAACATCTAGAAAACGACACTGGCCCGAAATTGTAGATTCATCTATTTTTTCTATTGTAGAATTTCTTGGTGTCGTATCTAAGTCGGTTCTTAGACGTATGATGCAAATCGGACTTGAAATCGTATAGCGTGATTGGCGCTTAGCTTTATCCTTTAAAACAATTAGTAGTAGTATTTTACGTCTTTCGTATTTATTCTGCATTTTTTCTAAGATAAGTTACACCTTTACCTATGAGACAGCATGAAAATCTCTAAAAGCGATAAAATGTCGCTTAGTCAAGAGATGTATAACGCGGTCCAATTGTGGATCTTATTTATCCTTGCTATGATTTTCTTTATTTTGTTGCTATGTTTTGAAAATTATTTGACTACGAATTATGGTCTCCAACATCAATTCAAATTAAGAGCGATGAATGGTGCTGTGTTTTGTAAAATTATTCTTGAATAGTTTTTAAAACATTTTTAGTAAAAGCTAGGTAAAATTAAGCTAACTAATCTAATGTAATATTGCTATTTCCTGAAAATAACCTTATATCAATTTGCCAAATATCAAATTATTCGCTACTCATAGTTCCTCTATAAAACAATTTAAATATGTATTTAGGAATTTCCGGTCACGTAATTTCACGAAAAAATGTGAAATAATCGTCTAATGTCTTGCACGAAATTTTATAGTAGTATTCTTCTTTGAAGTACTAATTTACATGAAAAGAAAATGAGAATGAATTTAAGTAAAGTACTACTTCCGGTTGACGAATTTAATTCAAATTTTGACACAACATTTCCTTTTTGGTCTTATAATCATATGCCAAGTTTCATAAAGCTAGCTAATAACAGCTAAATAATATTTTCGATACGTCACACCACTTCAGTCATGGGTCAAACCCGACACTTTCTAGTTCTAGTGTTAGTTTAATTGTTATTGAACTGAAAGTACAACTATATAACAATTTTGTTACTAATAATATTTTTATATCGATATTAATTAAATTATCTTTCATTTTCAAAGTTTTTCCATATTTTTGATTTTAGCCAGGCACATTTTTTAAATTTAATTTTCCTGCCAAACGGTAACTTCTAGCAACTTGACACGTGGCAAGTTATAAGTCAATAGAGATTGAAACATTTACAATTGACTTGTACTGATCTACTCCACTTACCCTGATTAAAATTTATTAAATAGAATCTTTTTGTTTTTCAGAGTGCCTTCTCAAGAAAGTGTAGACACCCACAGTGAAAACGACACAGCAATTACAGCAAAATTCACTCATATCCTTCAAAAAGACGCCTTTTTAGTTTTCAGAGCATTATGCAAATTATCTATGAAACCTTTACCAGATGGAACGCCAGATCCAAAATCCCACGAACTCCGATCAAAAATTTTATCACTACATTTACTACTCTCAATCCTTCAAAATGCCGGTCCAGTTTTTCGTTCAAACGAAATGTTTATAACTGCAATTAAACAATACTTATGTGTGGCATTATCTAAAAACGGGGTTAGTTCAATTCCGGAAGTTTTCGAATTATCATTAGCAATATTTCTTGCGTTACTATCAAATTTTAAAATGCATCTAAAAAAACAAATTGAAGTTTTCTTTAAAGATATCTTTTTGAACATATTGGAAACTTCGAGTTCTTCATTCGAACATAAATGGATGGTGATTCAAGCGTTGACAAGAATTTGCGGAGACGCTCAAAGTATCGTCGATATTTATGTGAATTACGATTGCGATTTATCCGCTGCGAATCTTTTCGAACGATTAGTTAATGATTTATCGAAAATTGCTCAAGGTAGACATGCCTTGGAACTAGGGGCGTCGCCAAATCAAGAGAAAAGTATGAGAATTAGAGGATTAGAATGTTTAGTTTCTGTACTTAAATGTATGGTTGAATGGAGTAAAGATTTGTATGTTAATCCTAATTTACAATCAACTGTTGGGGAACAACTAATAGTTAGGGAACCGGATACAACGTCTCTGAAATCTCATGGTGGATCAAGTACTAGTTTACATTCTAGTGAAAGCTCCGCTGGAAATAAAGAAATTTTGGATTCTCCTGAACAATTGGAAGTGCTTAAACAACAAAAAGAGGTAAGATTTGTATTAATTTGGATTTTAAACTTTAAAATTTTAATATAAATAATTTTAATTTTTTTTGTAAGGTTTGGGAAGCTGGAATTGATATGTTCAATAGAAAACCAAAACGAGGTCTTTCATACCTTCAAGAGCAAGGTTTATTGGGCACCACACCACCGGAAGTAGCAAAGTGGTTACTTTCTGATGATCGCTTAGATAAAACATTTATCGGCGACTTCTTAGGTGAAAACGACGAGTTCTGCAAAGAAGTAATGTACAGTTACGTGGATGAAATGGATTTTAACGACATGGACATTGTGGCTGCTTTAAGACATTTCTTGGACGGTTTTCGTTTACCAGGGGAAGCCCAGAAAATCGATCGACTTATGGAAAAATTCGCCAGCAGATACTGTGGATGTAATCCGAACAACGGTCTTTTTGCCAGTGCCGATACCGCTTATGTACTTGGATTTTCAATTATAATGTTAACAACCGATCTTCATTCGCCGCAAGTTAAGAACAAAATGACTAAAGAACAATATATTAAATTAAATAGGGGAAATACTGAAAGTAAAGATGTGCCAGAAGAGTATTTATCGCAAATTTACGATGAAATAGCTGGACATGAAATTAAAATGAAATCGGTTGTAAATAAACCTGGAAAACATCAAATAAATAGTGAAAAAAGGAGGAAGATTTTATGGAACATGGAAATGGAAGTGATATCAACGGCAGCTAAAAATTTAATGGAAAGCGTTTCGCATGTTCAAGCACCTTTTACAACTGCGAAACACTTAGAGCATGTTCGTCCAATGTTTAAAATGGCTTGGACGCCTTTCTTGGCAGCATTCAGCGTTGGATTACAAGATTGCGATGACCCGGAAGTTGCTTCGTTATGTTTAGATGGTATCAGATGTGCTATTAGAATAGCGTGTATTTTTCATATGAGTTTAGAAAGAGATGCTTATGTCCAAGCTTTAGCTAGATTTACTTTATTGACAGCAAATTCGCCCATTATGGATATGAAAGCAAAAAATATTGATACAATAAAAACATTAATAATGGTAGCACATACTGATGGAAATTACTTGGGAAATAGTTGGTTGGAAATTCTAAAATGTATTTCTCAATTGGAATTAGCCCAGTTGATTGGAACAGGAGTTAGGCCACAATTTTTAGCTGGACCTGGACATAAACCTCCTGATCCTAGTTCGAAGGAACATATTGGTCAAACAAGTTCTCAAAGTGTTGTAGTGGCTGTAGATAGAATATTTACAGGGTCAACAAGATTGGATGGTGACGCAATTGTAGATTTTGTAAAAGCACTTTGTCAAGTATCATTGGATGAATTGGCTTATCATAGTCAACCAAGGATGTTTTCTTTACAAAAGATTGTCGAAATATCTTATTACAACATGGGAAGAATCCGTTTGCAATGGTCGAAAATCTGGCAAGTTTTAGGTGAACACTTTAACACGGTCGGTTGTAATTCAAACCAAGATATTTCATTTTTCGCCGTCGATAGTCTTCGTCAACTTTCGATGAAATTCATTGAAAAAGGTGAATTTGCTAATTTTAGATTTCAAAAAGATTTTTTACGTCCATTTGAACATATAATGAAAAAGAATCGTTGCTCTACAATTCGTGATATGGTCGTTCGTTGTGTTGCGCAAATGGTTAATTCTCAAGCGACAAACATCAAATCTGGTTGGAAAAATATCTTCTCAGTGTTTCATTTAGCCGCAAGTGACCAAGAAGAAGGTATTGTTGTATTAGCTTTTCAAACAACAGGAAAAATTATCAACGAATTATACGAAAAACAATTTTCTTCAATGATCGATTCCTTCCAAGACGCCGTCAAATGTTTATCTGAATTTGCGTGTAACGCACGATTTCCTGATACAAGTATGGAAGCTATTCGACTTGTTCGAACTTGTGCATTAAGCGTGCATTCTGCTCCACACTTATTTGCTGAACATGTGGGGATGGAAAATGATGTCGCTGTACCGGAAGATGATAGAGTTTGGGTACGCGGTTGGTTTCCGTTATTATTTTCGTTATCTTGCGTTGTAAATCGTTGCAAATTGGATGTAAGAACTCGAGCATTAACCGTTTTATTTGAAATTGTTAAAACGTACGGAGATTCCTTCAGTCCACATTGGTGGAAAGATTTGTTTAAAGTTTTATTCAGGATCTTTGATAACATGAAATTACCGGAACATCAAACGGAAAAAGCTGAATGGATGACGACGACTTGTAATCACGCTTTATACGCAATCGTAGATGTTTTTACACAATACTTCGATGTTTTGGGGCCGTTATTATTAGAAGAATTATACGCCCAATTACATTGGTGTGTACAACAACACAATGAACAATTAGCACGATCAGGAACGAATTGTTTAGAAAATTTGGTGAATTCAAACGGACATAAATTCGACGAAAACACGTGGGATAAAACGTGCCAATGTATGTTAGATATATTTAACAGTACAATTCCCTCGGCGTTATTAACTTGGAAACCCGATCCAAATCAATCTAATCCAACGATTGTTGAAAATGGTGATGTTAAACATGGAATTCTTAAGCGTCCCAGCATCCCGTACGATAATAATAAAAACACTGATGCGGCGTTATTTAACGGATTAGTTATAAAAACAGCCGTCCAACTTGAATTGATACAAACGATAGATAACATCGTTTTTTATCCGGCAACATCGCGCAAAGAAGACGCCGAAACTTTAGCTTTGGCAGCCGCTGATATGACCGGAAATGGAATTCTAACAGAAAGCCAACGAGAAGAACAAGGAATGTATAGATTAATAAGCTCCCCTCATTTATTACAACTCACAGATTGTTTATTACAATCTCATCGATTTGCCAAGGCGTTTAATATGGATCACGAACAAAGAAATTTGTTATGGAAAGTTGGGTATAGAGGGACCGTTAAACCGAACCTTCTAAAACAGGAAACTCAAAGTTTGGCTTGTTCGTTGAGGATATTATTTAAGATGTATTGCGATGAAGGAAGGAGACAACATTGGCCTATTATACAAAATCGACTTATTGCAGTGTGTCAAGAAGCTTTGGAATACTTTTTGAGATTGCAAAGTGAATCTCATAGAGATTCTTGGACTTCTTTATTATTACTTGTATTAACAAGACTATTAAAAATGCCGGATGATAGAGTAAGTTCAAAAATGTTGCGTGTTTTAAATAATCAAACTAATTTATTTCTTTTTTAGTTTGCTGTACATGTATCTAGTTACTATCCTCTATTATGCGAAATAGTATGTTTCGATTTAAAAGCAGAGTTGCGATCGATATTGCGAAGAGTATTTTTGCGAATTGGTCCAGTTTTCAGGATAACAACCACTTAAAGAAGATTAAAAACAGTGAGATATACATCAAAATACATGTGATTATAACAATGATAAATTCAATTATTATTACTACCTAAACAAAGTATAAAAAGAATAAATCGAAAAATTCGTAGAAAATTCTTATAAAAGGAAAAAAAATAGTAATTAGGTTACATTCCAGGTCTCCTAAAAAATTATTTCAATTAACCATAAAATTGAATTTAAAAAAAAATAGTGTTTATGTCTTTCTCATATACAAATAACCAGTTTATAAAATAACACTACTTTTCTACTCACTTAAAAGAATGAAATTTTATTAATTAATTCGTTTTGAATAAATAGTAATAATCTAAAAAATGTATACAATTTCAAACAACAAAAAAAAAGTATGAATTAATCAAATAGTTTCTATGTTTAGATAAAGAAATAAACTTTCATGTACGTTAGTCCGTAATCGATTTAAATAAAAACTTAAGGATCGTCTCGCAATTCTGTACAGGCTTAGGAAAAGGATGGCAGAAATATGTATTATGTGCCTTCAAATTGAAACAAAAAAAGAACTTAATAAGTAAGAAGAACATAACGTGAATGACAAAAAAATGTTACATACATAAGAATATAAGTTTTAAAGTTGTTATGTACTTCTAATGTAAAAAAAAAATCAATATTTATAGTCTTTATTTAATTAAAACACTTATGTATCGGTTATGTTGATGTAAATATGTCCACATCTACTATTAAAGTTGTATAATTAACTAGTGACATATTTTATTGTTTTTCCTATTTAAAAATGTATCAGAAAAATAACAAAAATTACATCATAAAACTATACATTTTTTAAATACGGATAGTAATACTTACAGATATATGCTCTAATAGAAGCAATAGAAAAAATAATAATGGTAATACTAAATAACAATGATTAATTTTTGTGTTGTAAAATAGCTCTTAATAGACAACTCCTACAGCGATAAAATAGTACTCAAGTTAAGGTATGAAGTCGAAGGAAGAGCACACAAATCAATGATGGACTATATAACGTACACAAGATTAATGAGATATGCATAAGTATAAGGCATTAAAGTCATTAGAAAAGTAGAATTAAATACAGATTATTGATTACTAATAACTGATACAACTATCAGAACGCTAAAAAAGAAGAGTTAGAGAAGACCAAAAAATAACGAGAATACTAAAATAAGTTAATGGATATTCTAAATACATGAAAACACACAAGCAGGCAGAGACAGAACCACATAGTATATTATATACAATCAGAACACACTAATAGAACAGTAGAAATGAGTAAGGAGCTACATCTAGCTTTTGTGGAACTAAGAGCAGCGGTTGATACAGTACTGAAATAGATTATTACTGACTAACACTTATGAACACCTTCGATCTAATCTATGCAGACGATGTAATGTTGATAGCAGGTAAGAAAACTGAACTACCAAGAAAAATTATCATCTGAAGAGCATGCTCAATGTAACGAAAGTGGAAGAACATAAAAACATGAATGTACCATTACTATTAAGATTGGGAAAATAGACAAAAAGATACAAAACAGAATACAGAATGTAAGTAATACCAAATCAACAACATAATAGTTAAACCGGAAGTAAGAACGAATACAAAAATAAGAATTTGCAAGTCGGTTTGGGTGGACTTCAAGGCAATTGCTTCTTTTACAGTAAACATATTTAAGTCTTGATGTAAAACGTGATTTGATAAGAACCAGGGAACGTTACATAATAATAATAAATGACTTTATTCAGATAACAATACAGAATTTACAATTATAAGTACCTTGAATAGGCGAAGTTCAGTCCAAGACTACTTTTCAACTTAACCAAAGTAGAGTTAAAAAAAAAAATGTTGAAATTATATTGTACTGTAGTAATACTAGAATAATTATAATTATAAAGCTGGTGCGTTGAACGGAAAAACAACGAAATTGAGAAAAAAAGAAAATAATAGTAAAACTAATATTAATAATAATAACTGAAATCAAAAGTTAAGTACATATTTGTGCAAACAAAATTTAAATTATGCTTGTAGTTTCCAGCGGCCGCATGATATTATAAGAGCACCTTTGATTATAACGAATTCTGTAAATACTTCGTTAAAAGTCGGTAAATATATGAGGTATTTCATAAAAATTACATAACATTGAAGATACTGAAGTGCTATCATCTCCTACTGTTATTTGCTTTGCTGATTTCCAAAATGTTTCTATATTGTTGTTAAAGTTTTGCATTTTCTTATAGTTGCGCAATAATCCCCATTGGAAATGACAACCCGGATGTGAATCTTCATCTCGTTGAGAATTGATGCGTTTCTTCTTCTTGCTGCACAACATCAGTTCCCAGCACTACATTTCAAAAGCGTCAATTTGCATTTGTGGTGGGAACTGTTGTATTTGTAGCGTATTTCTTCGGTCCACTATCCTTAGTTTAGTTTTAGCGAGATTTATTTTCAACCACAGTACGCGGCTTTAGTTAGTACTTACCGGAAATATTTCTACCAAATCGATGGCTAGTATACTCGTATCTTCCCGTTTTTTATCGAAGAGCTTTTTTGCGAGAACTTTTACTTTCTTGAATCAGTCGCGGATTTCGTTTCAGTTCTGCTATTCTTCTAGTTCATCACATATCTTCTTAATGTACTTGTTGTTTTTGTCTTGTCGACACTTTTTCTGTATTTGCTTATATAATTGTCTGTACAAGGTTCTATCTTCGTGAGTGTGAATGCCTCATCTTCACTATCTTCTTCTGTTTAATGAGCTTTATTGTTTCTTGGTCCAGTGCTTTTGACTTGTGGCGTTTTTCTTAATGTTGTTTAATCGAGGCTATATTTCCGCCCTGAAGATCTGGATTTCTTCCAGTATCATCTTATTGGCTTTAGGTGTCTTTTTTATTGTTTTTAGTATTAATCTATGTTCCATCACTCAGACGGACGCGCAATCGGCACTTGGGAAGGTTTTGCAGTTGGTTACTCATGTTTTCCAGCCTCAGTCGACGATGATGAAATCAATTTGATTGCTGAATCTGTCCCCTGATCACTTTCAAGTATAGTCGGCGCGAATGATTCTTGGGTAACTCCTTTAGTTTGAGACTGTTTATTCTCGTTCGTTTTTCCTGAAAAATATACTGTGGAGCACATATTATGATTTTATTTGTATTTAAGCTAAAATTAAATTTATTGAAATGGTTTCAATTATTAAAACGCCAGTTTGTATGGATTTTAGGAAAATTCTAAATAGAATTAAATAAAGTATAATAAAATATATTTAATATTTTAAAAGATTTATTGGATTGACATCTTTAAGCAAGCATAAAATGCACTAAAAACGAGCCTAATTCTAAATTTGGCATCAATATACATAATTATTATAAAAAATCATCAATTTTAATTAAATTGCTTTTTTTTTAATTGATTTTTTACCATGTAAGGCCACAGTCATAAGACACAATTATTAATTACATAGAAATGTTACATGTCAACAATAATTCTAAATTGTTAATTAGATGACAGAAGCAATAAAGAATTATTAAGTGATTCTATTAAAAGGGCTAACTTAGTCTAGAATGTCTAGAACTTCTGGAAGTCCTGCCTGAAATTGACCCCTTTGATCTTGGTCTTTTCAATTTTTCCTTCAATCTCTCCCTATCGATTCTTATAACAGACATTTTTTCTGAAGTTGTTATTTCGAAGAAAACGCGATGGAAAGCTTCAACAGCAGCAGAAACCTTAAAAAAATAAATTGAATTATTAATTATTTTTCGATTTAAATTTTACCTGTTGAATAAGCCTTCTATGTAATTCAACATCTGATTCATTTATATTATCAGCACATTCTGAGTGAAGTTCCATTGCGCATATTAAAGCATCTTTTATAGTTTGTATAAGTCCTTGAACACGTTCACTTCTTAATAATCTTCTTGTTAAGTACCCTCTAATGTGTGCTTGAATTACAGAAGCAGCCCAATTCTAGTCCAGAAAGAAAAAGAAAATAATATATAAATAAATAGAGGATAATTAATTGATAAAATACCATTTTTATATAATTGTCCCTATTTAAATCACTAAATAATTTCCTATTGCAACCTCTTAATGTTTTTGAACCTTCAATAATCGAAGAAGTATAAACAACTTTGGGTTCAATATCAATAATATTTATAGGAAGACTATCAGTAAGTTTATTGTGATCATTAATAATTTGGATGTTTGATGATAATTTGGATGATAAACCATGAATTTGTGGAGATTCAAAAGTGTCTGGTGTATAATATATGCTTCTCTCTGATTGTGGATTATAATTTAATGGTTTATTATTAGCCGGTATAGTTAAACACTCTTCAGTTAGTTTGGTATAAGATCTTAATCGAATAGTTTGCTCCATTCTTTGTTTCTCTAATAATTCTAAAATTTGTTTCGAATACGATTCTGGAATCGCATTTAAAATATTTGTTAATTTTTCTTGATCATTTTGATCTAATGATAAATCTTTAACCAATGGAAAATCCCAATGATTTATTTGATTTTCTTCAATTTTTTCATCACATTCTTTATTTTCATTATCATATTTGTCATGATCCTCATAAAAAGTTGTCTTTTCTATATCTCCATCAACAGTAATATCTTTAGATAACACAGTAATATCACCTTGTGTTGAATGACTTGAATGATCAGAGATATTTTTTAATTCTGATTCAGTTTCTGAACAAAAATCAGATTTTGTTAAATTTAATTTATCTTGACCCTCTTCGTTTGGTGTTGAAGCAACAAGTCCTTTTATTGGAACATTATTTAATTGAGATTCATCATTATGACGTTTTAAATGTTCCAATAACATTGGGCTGGGAGTCTCCAACACATAAGAATCACTTCGAATTAATTTTGGTTTTCCAATTTCATCATTTGGCATTATTTCATCAAGGTTAGAAGTGGAATCAATTTGTGGTGGGGTTTCAATCTCATTTTCAATTATATTTTTGATTACTGAAGTGTTATTTTCAAAATTTGTTATTACTTTAAACTCGTTATTTGTATATTGAGATACTTGCAGATCACAACACAATTTTGATTGTTTCTTAATACTAATTTCATCGCTTGGCGTTGGAAGCAAAGTGTTCTCATCAAAAAATGATAATTGATGCTCTAAACTTTCTGTTAATAAATTAACATTGTCTAATTTTGGAAGATAATATCGAGTGATGTACTCTCGAAGCTCTCGTTCTCTCTTCAATCGTTTCTCAAGTTTTATAGCTTGGTGCTTATATTTCAATAATTCTTTTCTTTTTGCGCTCGTTACCTGAATATAATGTAAAAAAATTATATCAAAAGAAGAAAAAAGAAATTATTAGTAATTACCACAGGTGGTAAAATGGGTACGCCGTTAATTTTGATACAGGAAACATATTTTCGCTTTTCATTAACTATTTTTTCTAACATTTTCATCGATTGACAAGCACTTTATCGGTTTATCAAAGCGAACATTACAAAAAGTTTGTTCGAATTTTATTGAGATATGTCATAAACAAGTTGTTAGGTTAGGGTTTTCTGTTTTACCGGCTCATTTTAACGTTTTTTTAATGGCTCCATCTATCAGATATAGATAAATCTATGACTTTGAGAGGAAAATTTAAAATTTTAAAGAAATGTGTTATTTTAATTCTTTCTTTTCTGTGTGTTTGGCGATGTTAATATATAATATACTACTTCATTGAAAAAGCTGTTGAAAAAAAAACACATAAAATATGTTGAAATGTATGCATAACGAAAAGACAAAAGGAAAATTCTTGGCATGAGGAAGTAATAATAACAGCTCACAATACTAAAGATTTTCTGAAACTGTTTCCAAAAGCAACTACGTATACAATCAATTACTTGTAAATTACGACCTGGGCAAGCAAGTTCCACCCACAAAACATTCATAATGTTGTTGAATGTGGTGTAACTAAATCAGTAAGCCTATAATGTGGTAATGATATGGGGTATGACCAGTGATGGGCGCTGGGTAAATACCCGGCGGGTAGGTATTTATAAAATGGGTATTTATCTGGGTATTTACCCCGGCTCAGGGTAAATATCCAAACAGTACATATAAAAGTGATAAGAAAATCACAAATCATAAAGGAACATGATGAAATGGGCGTTGAAGACGAGGAATTGTCAACGATCGAAGACGTATTATAATCAGGTAACCACTGCTCATTCTTCATTCTTGCGATGATGATCCACCCAGTTCCACTTGAGCTTTGCCACAATTTTGACCGCATCATTTACGCCAGTTTTTCTTCGTAGGTCATTTTGTATGTGGTTCCTCAGGGTTTCACCCAGCATCGACCTCTCCATCTTTCTTTGCGTTACTTTGAGCCTTCTGGTAATGGCCACCGTTAATGTTAAAGTTTCGGAACCGTATGTCATAACCAAAGGAGGAAGCACGCATTGATTGAAAGCCTTCCTTTTCAAATATACAGGAATATCGCTGATGAAGATGTCTCTAAGTTTCCTGTATCGAGCTTCTTGAGTATCGTCCTTCTGTTTAGTTCGCGCTTGTTTGATTATTATCTCTCGATACGCCTCATGGCCAAGATATATGGATGCGATGCGAACCAACTGAGATGAGTATTTTAAGAACAATAGTGGAAAAGACAAGAAGAGATAGAGTTAGGCACAAAATTGTAAGAGAATTTTGTGGATTCGGAGATGTCATGAGATTTGCTAGGGGAAAAATAAAAATATTTAATGAATATTTCCAAAGAATAGAAGAAATCTGGCTGATTAAGATAGCAAGAGACTAAAGATTAGCTAGAAAGAGATCCCGGGAGACCAGGAAGTTGGATTTCCAGCTCTAATGAAACACCATAAATGATGCGTAAAAAACAGGTTACAACCTGAATAAAAGAAGAAGAACAATAAGTTCTTAAACGAACTACTTAATTTTTAATTGGAAATCAACAATCTCATGGATCTTGGATTTGATGGAAGTGTAATATTACTAGAAAAGAATCAAACAACAAGAATTAATGAAGCACAAAAACTGAATTTAGTCATTAATATTAGACTTATACTCAATTCAGGACATTCAAGTTGTTTTTCGAGCATTAAAGAAATCGTTAAATATTTTCGAAGAGTATTACGTAAACGAGAATGGTAGTGAAAATATAAACTTTGCCGAAATATATGTACACTTTAAAGCTAATAACACCAGGAATGTGTATAAATTTGTTAGACAGTTAAGACAAAGGCACAAATCGCACACAGCTCTATGCTGAGATGGAACAGGAAAAATAATATGTGATAGTGAAATGAATGACATTTGAAAAAATTATTTCCAAAACCTATTAAGCATAGAAACTGATTTTGAAATAGACAACAGTCCGTCACACCAAAGAAAGGATAGTGTCATGGAACCTATATCAATCAGTGAGATTCAAAACGCAATCACTGTGTCAAAACATGGAAAGGCATCAGGGATTAATGACATACCATCGAAAGTATTAACGATAGAAGTATTCATTATCACCAATATTGATGTTAGAGCTTGGAACAAGATTTGTCCTAAACTTTGTTGATATTTAGCCCGACTCTTGCACACGCCTCCCGTATACGTTCAGCATCAGTTTCATCTCTCCAAGGCTATCCAAAATAAGGACTATTCGTCCGCGTAGCGCAAAATTACTTAGGTATTGCCATCAATGTTTATACGTTTTTGGGTCCAATCCAGTTGTTTAAATGCACTCTCCAGGACTGTGATGAACAATTTGGGTTCAACATTACATCGCCTTGTCTTACCTCACTCCCAATGGGTATTTGGTCAGTACTTTCATGCAATTTTACCGTCATTGTAGCAATCTTGTAAATGTTATAAATAAGTTTGGTGTATCGATAATGGACTCTGCATTCTTGAAGTACTGCAAAACTGCCACCAACTCAATTTAAATCAAATTTTATAAATACCTCTAAATATCCATCTTGGGTAAATACCCCCAGGGAATTTTCCCTTGAAAATAAATACCCGGGTATTTAACAACACTGGGTATGACACATTGGAGTACTCATTTCAGCAGAAAGGGGTACGTTAGTGACCTTTGCACAAACGCTGATGGAAATATTGTTCCTCCAGTATTTGTATTCCCAAGATCTTTTGTACGAGATGGACATACACTGCCATTCTTTTACGATGGATGCAAGTTGAAACTAGCCTTGTTTTCCTTCAGCGCTCAGAAGTTGATAGGGTTGATACTATCGCTAAACGTAAAGGGGCGAAGATCCAGAGGACGTTCACTAACTCGATGAATAGCCCAGATTCAGAAGATTAATGGAGAGTACTGACGATACAAGTTCCTAATGATCGCGATTCTCACTAATGAGAGAACGATTAGAAAGAGAGATATATTTTTATTGATCTTTGCTAAAACTTAATCAGAGCCGAGTAGTACTTGTAATTTACAGCATTCTAAAAACTTTTCTGCGATTGCTTCAATCTCTTTTTTATTATAATGTCTTAGTGGTAATGTAGTACCAAAAACAGCTTGTAATTTTTTAACGATATAATTTCAAAAAGAAAAACAATTTTTATGCAATATTTCAATAATAATGATAAATTTTATTAGGTTAATAATTTTTAACAAACATCGGGTTGTATGTTTTAATAAAGTAAATATTATGTAGTATACTTAAATAAGATATATGCCATTTCCTCTTTTGATAAGATGAATAAACGGAGATTTTGGTTAGTCATTGGAAACGTATTCTCCTATGAAAAGTATTTTTATCTATCATTCATAAAATGGCTTTTGACTTGGGTAGAAAAGAGGGGTTTCCAACTCAATATGCCCCAAATCAAACCCCCGTCACCGTTGATGTTCTAGAAGTTGGTGTAATTGTTGCTTTCGTAATTTTATATGTTGCGTTACTGTTATTTATTCCAGGAAAAAAAATAAGCACGGTAAGTGAAAAAAAAATATTTGTAATGAAATTTTATTATTATTTCTTATTGTAGAGCTTTAGTAGATTTACAAGAATAACAGTCTCGTTATTAATTGGATTATTAATTATTTGTAAGTATAAATTAATAGAAATATGTAATCTCTTTCCCTATATTTATAAAATTATGTTTTATAGTAGGAAATATTGGGCAAGAATGGGAGGTGGCTCATATAAGATCAAAAACAGCATACAAAGCTGGATCGGGAGAAGAAATTACTGCGGATATAGGTGTAAAAATTGGTCTTCGATCTGTAAATGTTACGCTTAAAAGTGGATCAATTCTAAAACAACAGGAAGAAATGATCGATTATAACGAAAGATTTTCTTGGGTTTGGGATCAAGGTCGATTTGGTTTTGGACCTTATGGTAAACAAAAATTCTGAATTTATTTTAACTTAATAAATTAACATTTTGTTAGCTGGTAGAATTCAAAGAGAATTTAGAGCAGCCCAATTCACCGGTCTTCCTTTACCGATACTTTGGGTTGTGGATTATTTTGTAATTGACGGCGAAGGTTTTCGTTATGGAAGATTTTATAGAACAGCAGGATGGTACGCTCATATTGCCATTTGGACCGCTTTTCCATGTTGGATTATCGCCAACATACTTTTTAAAGCCGTCGTACAATATGGAGCTATATTCTTAGGGCTAGCCGGTGGTTTTCTTTTACTCGGAAATTTCCTCTGGGCTGTTATCCGAAATCCTTTACCTTTAGTCATCCCATTTGAGGACGACATCTTAAAATTTAGTTACGGTTCTAGTTTTTGGATAACTTTAATAACTGGCTTAGCGTGTATCTTTATCGCAGTTGCTATTTACATATTGGATATTTATTTTAACGAGGAATTGTATATGTTTTTTGGATTGGATAATTTATTAGGTTATGAAGAAACTTATGGTGGTAAGAAAATTGCTGTTCATAATAAAAACACACTTATAGCAAAAAAAAATTATAGGCGATGATACCGAGGAAATGGTAACTCTTCGTCATGATACTTTATTACCTTTAAAAGTAATCAATTCACATAAAGAAGAAGAAGAAAACATTTATGACAATCCAAAACCAAGATATGTTAAGCGTTCTATTTATAGAAGGAAGTCGCAGAAATCGAAGAAAGTCGATTCACATTTAATGGAAGATATATATCAAAATGTATAATTTTTATTTTAATGCTTTAATTTGAATGAGTTTATCTTATATTCAATTTTTTATACATAGAAGTAGTATAGAAATTTTATTTGTGTAGAAATAGTTCGAAAATAAACAATATTTAAATCATTTTGTAAATTATAAAGTTATTCAACAGTTGTTAAGTCCATATCATACTGTTTGAGGCAGCGAATGTTAAAAACGTAGACAAAAATAATTGCATTAAAATTACTGAAGCTTGATGAAGCATGGAAACTGTAAGGGAATTAAAATCGATGGTGCAAGTTAACTAGGCTAGCTAGACTGGTAAAAATGCCTATAGTCCATCCAGGACACATCTACAAATCCTACCTCGACGTCCACGTCGTGCATCCTGGGCAATGCTAACGGAGTAGGGTGAGGGCAAGTTTCTGGAGCTTTAAAATCAGAAGAAATCGGCTAAGGAATGGCTATAATTCCTACAGAAGAGTCTCTGACCTTTAGAGAAGCCTCGGAAGTTACGACGGATAGCAAGGAAACGACTTAGGCAACGGTATATGGACTTTGATTTGAAAGTAGCACCATTAGAAGAAGAAGAAGCTAGACTGGTGCTTAACCAATTAAATAACGATGTCCACCAACTCATGTCAAAACTATCATGCAATAATTGAGCTTAGCTGTCAACCTACTCGTTTCGGTGAGACTAACTCAAAGTCCTTTAATGTCAATTACAGCAATATGCACATGGCGCCCAGAAAACTTTCGGCAACGCAGCAGAAAGACTGTGGCTTTCCCTGGGTACTTCCTCGACTTTGAAATCAAGCCTTACCTTCCATCAGGACGCTTATTGCCTCACCTGAAGATCTGAGAAAATCAATGAACCCACACACGAAAAATCTAGTTGTATTTAATCTAGTAATAATGCAATAAAATGAATGACGCTAGATGGTGGTTTGATATATTGGTGTTACAAGAACCCGATGCATACTCAAAGTAAATGCCACTACAAAAAAATGTATTCTATTTCATAATAACGATAGGAGACTTGCAGCAATAGTAGTGATAAAGACTTCACGCGGCAAGAGATAACGTTGGAAAAAGATAAATACAGGTTTGTTCAGTAATAGTTTATTTTCAATGGAGGGAGAAAATCGAGGGATATCTAATTAAGATGAATGTTATTCCTAATAGGGTTGAAGAAAAATGTTTAATTTTAGGTTCGAATTAAAAAGTATTAACGTATAAACACTATTAACGAAGTAGCTAATATGTCACCCTTACCACTCATAATGAAGAATCAAGCATTGTTGTCTGATGTTGCATTGTTGTCAAACAAGTTGTTCGAACAAGAACAAGCATATTCTGCTTCTTTACTGAACCAAAAATATGGAAGTGAACCTCATCACTAAAGAAAACAAGTGTGTCGTGGTGTGACCTTTCATACGCATTTTCTCGAGCAACAAAATCGCATGGATTAATGCTAAGTGCAAAGCGCTGACGAGAACGCTATACAGAAAGCCTTACCATGTCAATGTTTTGGAGTGATTTAGCTGTTCGTGGAACCTCTGGTTTTTTCTTCACATCACCAGTTTCCTTGAATTCCGACTACCGGTCAGGAACTCTGCCACGGGCGTAATATTGAAATGGGTATGGAATGCAATTTGCGTGGCAATAATTGAACGACCATTAGAAATGTATGCTACGATAGCGAACGCACGCTCCACCTTCATCCACTCCATGATGGATAACTTCTAACTAAACCAGGCGAAACAACAACTTTACATTTCATCGGTCCAAATGCAAATAAGAATACGTTGCTAATAACGTTAAACAGGTTCGTTGGATAAAATCAAAGATCTTATTAGGGAGAGAATAGATGTAAGAAGGGAAAGAGTGGATGGTAATGCACTTCAATAAATATTAAATGAGAAAATAAAGTTTAGGTAGTGGTGCAGGAAGCTGGATAAAAATAGAAAATTTGTATGAAACTTTAAATATGAATGATGTGGAAAATATTGGGGTATCAACCAAAATAATCTTCTAATTTTAATCTTCATCAGGAAAGATAGAAAGAATAAAATTTACATTTAAGCGGGTGGTTCGCGTTGTTTTGGCAAATGGAAACAATTGTTTAGGTCTTAACCTAAACGTTCGTTCATAACGAAGAGTTGAAAATCTCAGACAAGAAAAGACTATTGAATTCAGTGGAAGGAGTTCGGCAGTGAGTTTGGCGAAAGGAGTTCGAGAGTTTTTTCAGTGCAGTTCAGAGGAGTTCAGCAGAAAGGGTTTTTCCAAGAAGTTCAGTTCGGCATTAGTTGGTGGTCTAGTCCAGTCAAGTTAAGAAGGGAATCCAGGTGTAGAGCAGTCCAGAAACCGAAGAGTAGACGCAAACAACAAGAGTCAAAAACCAGAGAAGAAGAAGAACAGAACAGAGAAGTGAGATTTTCGGTCAAGAGAAGTTACTCCCAAGAGAAACCCGTTGCAAAACTTTATTTAAGAGTCACTAATAGCATTCTATTTCTTTGGCATGTCTTGTTCGTATTTTTGTGCTAATATTTTTTTGATTATTCTCTTTTTCTTTTATCAAAATTAATAACTTTTTATTAAATTTTTATTTGTTGAATACCCAATTGCACGCCCACATGTTAATGTAAGAGCCGTGTGGAGCGGCATTAATAATATGGATGCACGAACCAGTATTGGTTTAGTACACTGCTTTGCGAATATTTAGTACAAAACTGGGATTTGATAAATTTAGAGTCTCTAATTAATCTTTTGAGATTAGGAAGACCAAGAAAAATAAAATTACAACCAATACTAATCCGTTAGCAGTCAGCTAACCTCAATTTGAAACTTTTTAGGCATAGCCTTAAAAATCCCTATAATCCCCAACCGCACTTTGTATTAAAAAAGGCAGATCTAGCTAGTTGATATATTTCTTTATAAATTAGCTCAGATGGAAATTGAACCAGAACGGTTGGGTTGGGATTTTTATACCATAAACAGATGAGATTTCTGTCATAATGGTGGTCTCAACACTCAAAACTGTCGAATATGATCTATAGAATTTACATATTAGTTCGTACAAATCGTTCTTAATAACGAATAAGTCGTCGTGTGGAGCTATGACTTATTAATTAGGTATGTGTGGCGTTGCACATATTCCCTGCCACATTGATTTTACTTACTTTTTCAAAAAATCAAGAAATCGATTATTGAATAGACTTCAGCACAAAAGGAAGTCAATTTTTTTATTTTACAAATACAAAATCTTTTTCTAAAAAAATACTGGTTATATTATTTTATAATATGTGAGAAAACCCCCACAGTATGATACCATAGCTAATTTCCAACAGAGAGCCTCTATCTGTTGATTACTAGACGCAAATGGATTATAAAATTCCAGCTGGTTTTTGTAGTTTGTAGGCTTCCAAGATCGCTTAAGTTTGTTTAAAAGATTGTTTAAGTTTGGTGTTTAGAAATCGCTTACAAATGCAGCAAGATTCAAAAACGGCCAGGCGAACACCGTACTGTCAGCAAACTCTCAGAATCTTTTCAAACAGTTTTTTGGCAGAATCAAGCATTCGCAATGGACAAAGAAATGGATATGAGCAAAGATGTATTAAAAATTTAAACGGTTTTATTTATATTAATCTAATATTTAAAAAACAACAATTAAGTTGCACTTACTTAAAGAATAAAATATTTAAAAATAAATCTTTCATCTTATCTTAAACAAAGTGAATAAATAATTAAATTATAATTATTTTCTTCAAATCCTCGTATTTAATAGGTAACAAGAGCAGATGTAGTTCTTTTGCTTAACTTAGGTTCCTCCAAAACATGCATCCTTTTCAAATTGATATTAGTCAATTTAATTTTCCAATTATTTTCGCAAATTGGATCCCTAGCCAAGGTAAACATTTGCTCAAAGACACCTGCACATAATTCCCCTGAATGTATTGTGCCACAAGCCAAAATAACAACTAATCCATGTGGATCTATTTCTCCATGAAGTCCTTCTGAAGATATATTTGGATTAAAAAGTAATTGGTGCTCAATTTTGGCTTTGAATAAAAGCTGAACAATTTCATTAGGCAAACTAACACTTTGTTGAAACGCAATGTTTTCGTCCTCACTTTTCATTGTTAAACTTAAAACTGCATCGGGAAAAAAGTGGGATGTTTCTAAGGGTTCATTTAAATTCATCATTTCATAAAACCACTGTGTAAACTCTTTCGCCATTGTTTTTACATTACATTCATCATTTGATTTATCATTTAAAACAATGGCATTTGATTGTGCCTGAATTTCTTGGTTCTGAATGTTCCATAACATGCAAATTTGGTCGATTAGTTTATCTTTTGTTGTCGGAATGGAAACTGTGACATTATTGGCATGTAAATAATTAAATAAGACGTCTCTGGTTATGGCTCGTCTTCTAAGTATAGAAACTTCATTTGTCGAATATTTAAATATTACATCTAATGCATCTGAAAAGATCAATGACTTAGGTGTCTTATTAACCAAGTAAATCAAAATCAAACCTTCTCTGGTATGAACAGTCCCTTTTAGTAAACCCTGTGTTACTGTTCGTGCTAATCCAAATATTTGTTCATCATCTAAGTTACTTAAAATCTCTCTGATACGTGTAAAATCGGTGTCATTCATTATGATTTTTTATCAAACTTGTTCATACTTGTTTTTATTTAAAGTTAATGATTTTGAGGTTATTTCTTATTACAAAATGTTGGTAGATTGATTAGTGGGTAATGTAGAGTTCGGTTTTTTATTCAATTTGATGGTAAGTGAATGTTTTAAATTTAGATTTTAATAAATTACTCAATTTATTAATGAAAATAATAAAAATTGTTCGGATTAGTTAAATTTTATGTTATGATAAATAGTGTATAGATTTATTTAGGTTATGTTTGTGATGTTTTAAGTTTAATTTGTATATATAGATGTTGGCAGCACTGATTGGTGGGTAAAATAGATTTCAATGTATTATTAAATTTGACATATGACGATAAGTTTATATTTGAAATGTACGCAATTGACGGATGGAAATTATGAAAGTTGTTTGGTTTTGTGTTGTGAAAATAGTGTCAAGATTTATATAGTTACTATTTAATTTTTGTGTTGACAATATTTATATTTAACCGGCCAAATTAAACTTACATTGGTTATATAATTTTAGTGCCGGGAGGGAAACTGCTTTATCGATTTCAATCGCCCTATCTCCGTCGTAAAAGTGTGGTTATAAAATTTCATAATGTTGAGCGAAATATAGTAATCCTCTACGGAGCGCCGAATAAAAAATACACTTATTTGCTATGGCATATCGACTATTAAATACCAGTAGAAAGTTGGAGAAACTGTTGTGGAAAAATCTGAAAACTTACAATGTGGAAGTATTGAAGGTATGTTAACCTTCAAAGAAACTAAATAAAAAATATTTCACCCGCTTTGAATTGTCTACTATCTTGTTTTTTATATAGAATTCATCGACTTTTCACACAGTATTAAACGAATTTAGGTTATTTTGTGAAAAACCACCAAAAGGTTTTGAAAAGTATTTCAAACCAGGCAATAAACCTGTACCTAAAGAAGGCAAAGCAGCCGAAACGAAAGGAAAAGAAGCAAGAGATGGGGGCGGTAAGGATGCTAAAGCAGACGCGAAACATGAAATTCCTCCACCTAAATCAACGTCTTCTTCCTCTGGTCAACCAGGAAAAAAACCATATGATCAGTGGTCATTTGGGCTGTTTGGTGGTACTGGATCAAGGTTTGTTTTATTTCTTATAATACTATGTTTATGTGTTAATTAAGGAAAATAACGATTTCTCAATTTTGTTTATAGAGGGAGTGGTGGAAAACCTTTTGGCGAGGGTGAAAAGGAAAAATGGTATATTTTTGGAGCAACCGGTGCAATAGCACTTTTAGCAACACTAGCTTTTTGGGAAATGGGTTACAAAGAAATTGGATGGAAAGAATTTGTTCACAAGTATATCTAATTAAATTATTAATTAATTAATATTATTACTTAATTTGATTTTAGTTATTTAGCTAGAGGAGTTGTAGATAAATTGGAAGTAGTAAATAAAAAATGGGTTAGGGTTAAATTAACAGCTGGTAATTCTGCGGATGGAGCTGTAAGTTTCTTTTAATTATAAATACACTTTTCATTTTAATAATTTAACTATATTTAATTTTTAGAATATATTATGGTTTAATATTGGCAGTGTGGATAGTTTTGAAAGAAATTTAGAAAACGCACAGATAGATATGAATGTGGAACCACCAAATTTTGTGCCTGTTATTTACAAAACGGAATTAGAAGCAGCAAGTTTATCGGGTATCTTACCAACTCTTCTTATTATTGGTTTCCTAATTTATATGATGAGAAGATCTGCTGAAATGATGGGAGGACGTAAGGGAAGACGAGGTGGAGGTCTCTTTGGTGGGGTTATGGAAAGTACTGCTAAATTAATTAACTCAAATGAAATCGGAGTGAGATTTAGGTAACATAACTAGATTTGAAATTAAACAATCAATAAGGAATATTTTATGGGGTGTATTTTAGGGATGTGGCGGGTTGTGAAGAAGCTAAAATAGAAATTATGGAATTTGTAAACTTTTTAAAGAATCCTCAGCAATATATTGACCTTGGTGCTAAAATTCCTAAGGGTGCCATGCTTACAGGTTAGTATGTAAATGATTTATTGCATAACAAATGTTGATGGTTAAACAAAAATCTAATTAAAATTTTAGATTGTTCTTTATCCATGATTTTCTAAAATGAATGAGTAATGTAGTTTTATGATTTATTGTATGCTTTTTTTATGAGTTAAAACACTTAAAGTATAACCTTCAAAATTTTTATAACTGGAATTTTTTAGGAAACAGTAATTTCACTAATATTAAATTAGCTTTGGTAATAGTTCACTTAATTGGATATACAATTTTTTTTCTATTGAACACTGGGAATTGTATAGGATCCACTTTCTTTTCAATTTTTGTCCCATTTTAGGCGTTCTTATTTATTTTCTTATTTCTTAAGTTCTTTGTTGTAATTTTAAGGAAGGATTTACAATTTCAAATGATTTTTAACAAATTTTATTATCAACAAGAATTGATGCTCTAATTTCTATATGATTTGATATGAATTTTTAAGTGTTATGCTATATTCTTACATGTTTAAACATTGATATGATTTGAATTTATGCTATAAGTGATAGTAAAACTATTTTATGTTTTGTGAATACTTTTTGATTTATTCCATACTACTTATAATTACTTTAAATAAGTAGAATGGCGATTTTTGACAGATGCAGTGAGATGTCCCCTGAATGAATTAACGACAATCATCGACGTTCATTTAATAATTCACTTGGCCTATGACTCCATACTTGTGTTAACCATTCCAACATCAGCTCTTCTGTCATCCATCCTTTTTTGCGCACTAACTAAAACGTCTTTCTTTAAAAGTACTTCGATTCCAGAATGGTTTATTATTTATTTTTCTTATTAAAGATTAATCTATCATATAATTAGATAAGATAAATAAATAATCTTAAAGTTACCTTACTTTAAGCATTTCTATCACATCTGTTCAAGTCACAGATCCTTCAAAAGGATAAGTTTTAAAACTGAAATTTTGTCTTTTGATGGTTAGTTTATATTTTTGTAATGAATTTCTCAAGTTTAAAAAATACGTTTCTAATTTGTATCCAAACAATTATAAATTATATTTGTATAATGTAGAAACATTACCAGTATCAGGGAGATGCCACTAGGGTAGCTGATATTTCAAAAGGAGTATTTCAGAGGTTGTAAGATGAGGAAGGACTAGATTAGTGGTTCAGTTTGATACCTTTATGAACATTAATGCTTCTTTGAATTCGAATATAGACACTAGCAATGGATGGCCCGCTTATATTCCTTTAAATAGTATTTCTTGTAGGGGTTACAGATCAAAATGAGGAAACAGGACTTGAAGGGGAAATAATTAAGATGATGATTACTGATAATAATAGGAACGTGTAAGGAGTACGTAGATTAAGAAGGCGGCGACAGAGGTCGTTATTGGGCCTGACATAACCCACAAGAGGTTTCATCAATTGTCCCTCTACAGCCCAAAGTTAACCATCTGGATTGCAGTTTGTAAGACAGCTTTATTGAGTATAACAGCCAGTCCGACCGCTACCTTAAGCGCGGGTCACATTAGCTGCTTGCCAGCAGCTGCTGATCAGTAGCAGGCAGTAGCACCAGCAAGTAGCGGCGGACAACCTGGTCACACTGTCTACTATTACTCGCATTTCGTTTAGTCGCTTGCAGCAACCATGCCGGCTGTGGGTCCACGTAAACAATTAATTAAGCAATGGTTAAGGGTGGATTAACAGAACAGACATCGAACATAAATAAAGGACCACGTGGCGCGTACTGGTTTACTCGCCGCTGATGCGCTGCTTGAGTGGTCATACTGATGGATGACAGTAGCGGCTTCCATATCCGCGGCTAGCAAGCAGCCTAGTGTGACCCGCGCTTAACTGTGATAACTCACTTCTTGCTTCATGAATTACGTCGGCAAATTCCTCTTAGAAGAGATTGCTTTTGGCAGGATGGGACGACTGCGCACACTTCATTTGCGTCTACATCTCAGATAAGAAGAAGTTGGTTGATCTCACTCAGCGGTGATATTCCATAGTCGGCACGTTCGTCAGATTTGTCCCTGTTTGATTGTTACCTGTGGAACTGTGAGGGAATATTCAGCGTTAAAGCATGCGGTCAGATGGAACCTTGGAAACAGTGATGACTGATGACTAACTTATTTATTTGTATCAATAGCAGGAACAAACACCTCGTATCTACTTTTCATTAATTTACAGCTGTACCATTTCCTCTTGTTTTTACATTATTTTTGAGTTCCCCAGACTGATGTTTCACTAACGGATTCTTTCGTCGTTTCATTTTGCAACACTCAAAGAATAGTAGTTTATAATGAGCACCTTTTTTAAAATCGATTTTTTAACCTACCCAGGTGTATGTAAACCTTTAAGTTTCATTGCTTTCTTTTATTCAGTTTGGTTTCTTTTGGTTGGTAGGGGTGGAATTTTTCTGAATGTTTATGTTCTATTCGCCCTAGTAATTTACAAGATAATAGATAAATCTTTTAGAAAAACATTAATCTTCTACCTTCAAAATGTTTAATTTTCAGGACAGTACTTGACAGTACTATACTTGAAATGTTTCTGAAGTCTAAGGGCCAATTAAACCTAAGCTTTTCTTCCTTATCAGTTTCTGGAATGCCATTTTTCAATTTTATTGTTTGTTAGTTAGTCAGAATCGGCAGATATGGGCTGGTTATTTAATGATATCTGAATTATGTAAGAAACACACTTAACGTTATATATGACGTTACACCCTTTTATGGGTCGATTTCAAATATAATATGTTTTCAAATCGTGGATGTGAAAGTTGCTTAAGTCTGAATCCTTTGCATTGTCGTACATTTTTTAATAAGAGTATAATTAAAGTCAATTAAAACAAAAACTATGAAAGATGCAGGATAAAAATAAAAAAAAATTCTGCGAATTCTAAACAGGATTCAAAACTTATTACATCTTAACGATTTTTTTAATAATTTTTAAGTTATTATAAAACTTATAATATTTATATAAATTTATTAATATTTCTCAAATATAATTCTAATATTTATTTAACATTTAGGTCCTCCTGGTACTGGTAAAACATTACTAGCAAAAGCAACTGCAGGAGAAGCAAACGTTCCATTTATAACGGTATCTGGTTCAGAGTTCTTAGAAATGTTCGTAGGCGTAGGTCCATCAAGAGTAAGAGATCTGTTTTCGATGGCTCGAAGGCACGCCCCTTGCATTTTATTTATCGACGAAATCGACGCTGTTGGTAGAAAACGCGGCGGAAGAAGCTTTGGAGGTCATTCCGAGCAAGAAAACACTTTGAATCAACTTTTGGTAGAAATGGATGGATTTAATACGACCACGAATGTTGTTGTTTTAGCTGCCACAAATCGTGTGGATATTCTCGATCAAGCTCTGTTGAGACCGGGCCGTTTTGACAGGCAAATTTTTGTACCGGCTCCAGATATTAAAGGGAGAGCTAGTATTTTTAAAGTACATTTGAATCCACTAAAAACCGAGTTGGATAAAACTGAATTAGCGAGAAAAATGGCAGCTTTAACACCTGGATTTACGGGAGCTGACATTGCGAATGTATGTAACGAAGCAGCGTTGATCGCTGCTAGAGATTTAAACGATTCGATTAATATGAAACATTTCGAACAAGCAATCGAACGAGTTGTGGCTGGTATGGAAAAGAAAACTAATGTGTTATCGCCAGAAGAGAAAAGGACGGTTGCTTATCATGAAGCCGGACATGCTGTTGCTGGTTGGTTTTTACAATATGCTGATCCATTATTAAAAGTTTCAATTATTCCACGTGGAAAAGGTTTGGGTTACGCGCAGTATTTACCAAAAGATCAATACTTGTATACTAAGGAACAATTATTTGATCGAATGTGCATGACATTAGGTGGTCGTGTTTCTGAGGAGTTATTTTTTGGTAGAATAACAACTGGAGCTCAAGATGATTTGAAAAAAGTAACGCAAAGCGCTTACGCGCAGGTTGTCCATTATGGTATGAATGATAAAATAGGAAATATTAGTTTTGATATGCCTCGCGACGGTGAAATGGTTTTAGAAAAACCGTATTCAGAAAGTACGGCGCAGATCATAGACGTAGAAGTTAGAAATTTAATAGATAGCGCGCATAAACACACTACCAAATTGTTAGCTAATCATAAGGAGGATGTAAAAAAAGTTGCCGAGAGGTTATTAAAACAAGAAATTTTGAGTAGACAAGATATGATAGAATTGTTGGGAAAAAGACCTTTCCCTGAAAAGTCAACTTATGAAGAGTTTGTTGAGGGTACTGGATCTTTTGAGGAAGACACTTCTTTACCTGAAGGATTAAAAGAATGGAATAAAGAAAGAAATCCACCACCTCCTCCCAGTACACCACCCAGTGCAGACGATAATAAAGCTAAACTCTAAGGAACATTTGTTAATTTAAATATAGAAGAGACTTTTTCGTAAAAACATTTTTAACTATATTTCATTTGAAAAATAAATATATTTAAAAAATTATATTTACACTTATAGTTGTTTTATTTCTTAATGTTCGTCATAATAAAGAAGAACACCACTGCTGACTTTGTTATTACTGTATCCAATTGTTGCTGCAGTGAACGCGTTGTTACTTGTCTTGATACTTTTACATTTTGTTTTTTGTTAGATTGCACCTGGCTTATACTTCTTTTTTAATATACAGTGTTTCGATAGGTATTACTAATAGGTAATTATTTATTAGGTAATATGAAAAATGTTTGTATCATTCAAGATCAAACAATATTATTACATACAATAATATAATATCTTTACAAATTTTATGTTCGCCAAACACGTTAAATGTTTACTTATTTTTTGAGGAAGCTCTACTTTTCTGTTTATTTGCTATCAGGTGAGTACTTTTACAGTCGCTGTGTGTAATCGCACAATATTATAACGAACGTGGAGGTTAGTATACATGGTAATGTTGATTTTAAATTTAGTACTTTAATTAAGATTTTCTGTGGTGTTATACTGTGGTCGTATTATATACATAGGTACTCTTCCGCTCAAACAGAATAATGAGGTAAAAGGGATAAATTCGAAAATTATGCAAAAAGATAGTTTTAACGTTTTCTTTTTGTTAAAGGTTGGTGTTGAGACTTTTAATGCGCTGAAACAAAATAAGGGCTGATTTAAATTAAACGGCATGTTGATAATTATTAAAATAATATTGGTGACTACCATCAAGATTAATAAAAATAGAATGTGATCCACTGATTTACTTACTGTAAAAGAAATTCTAGAATCATCATAATAAGACCTGTGAAGAAGCTTGCATTAAGCTACCTTGAATGCATCAGTAGCTGATTAGAAGTATTAAGAGAGGCAATATTAATAGGTGCTAATTTAAGCAATGAAATTGAAGCATGATATTTGTATGATAGGCAGAAATTCGCTTTGATGGTAAATAAGCAAGGCTTGTAAAAACAACTTGTAGCGTTGTAGAATTATCTAGGATCTTGAAAATTTTGAATATACAGGAGTTAAAAAACGATATATGTGGGATTACTAATCATTTTGTTTTGCATATGACTTATGCAGTTCGACATTATATTTAATCCAGTGCCGGTGCTAGCAAATGAAGCGCCAGGGTGCGGGAACCGGAGTGGCGCCCCCCAAGCATTTTGGGCGGAAAGCGAAAACATACATAATATTGGCAGAAGACTAGATACTGTTTCAAAAAAACTAAATATTGCTTTCTGAAGACTAGATACTGCTCTGGAAGATTAAATACTGCTTTCTGAAGACTAGATACTGCCGACAGGTCTAAATACAGCGTCTGGAACACTAAATACAGGTTTCTAAAGACTAAAATTGCTTTGTGGAGACTAAATACTGCTTTCTGAAGACTAGATACTGCTGACAGGTCTAAGTACTGCAAAAGAAAGATAAGATATTGTTGGAGAAAACATACATAACGTTGGCAGAAGACTAGATACTGCTTCTAGAAGACTAAATACTGCTTTCTGAAGACTAGATACTTCCGACAGGTCTAAATACAGTGTCTGGAACACTAAATACTGCCTTGTAAAGACTAAAATTGCTTTGTGGAGACTAAATACTGCTTTCTGAAGACTAGATACTTCCGACAGGTCTAAATACAGTGTCTGGAACACTAAATACTGCTATCTAAAGACTAAAATTGCTTTGTGGAGACTAAATACTGCTTTCTGAAGACTAGCTACTGCTGACAGGTCTAAATACTGCAAAAGAAAGATAAGATATTGTTGGAGAAAACATTAAAAAGGCGCCGGCGCCCCCTTTTAGGCGGCGCCCGGGTGCAGTGCACACCTTGCACCCCCCGGTAGCGCCGCCTCTGATTTAATCTACTTTATTGCGTCGGTTAACGCACACGATAACACAGTACATGTCATGAAAGTTGACATATATTTGGAGCACTCAACTTTTCGTTTTAGACCTTTTTTTGTGGTGAAAGGGGTTAATCCTTCACCATTGTCTCCATAATTGAACCTTATTCCATTTGAAAGGAGATTGTTGACATATCAAGCTTGACATAACAATATTTCAATCTGAATCTTTGTATATTTCTAGATATCAAGAAGAGCTATCGTGATGGAACTTGGTATTAAGATTTCGTTACAGTTTTTGTATTCTTTCATTTCTTCTTTTTAGCTCGATGTTGTAAATTTATCTTGTTGTCCTATAAATCATCGATAGATTATAATTTAAGTATCTGATATTTATGATTTCATGACTTTATGATTACATCGTATTCTTATAGGTAATAAAAAACAAAGAAGTTATGTTCGTAACGTAGCTTACTGCATAGATTTTATGTATTTAAGTTGGAATTCCATAAACATGGAATACAATGATCAATGATTTTGAGAAATGAAGCCACTCCATATCAATTATAAGGAAAGATTATTGTATGTGGTGTACATTAATAAACTTATAACTGCGTGACTCGCTATTTGCGTAATATAGCGAGAATGTTCTCGAACTGAAACAGATTGAAAAAAGATACCAGCGAACACACATTGTAACGAAATGAAACGATTTATGTTTGCAACAGATACCACATATAAATAAAATGCAAAAATAAAAAGACATCGACATTTTGTCGGTGAAGTCCCTAACAAAATCCTTTTGAATTTTATCTACAATTTCACAAATTGGCTACAAATTTATTCTCTATTCGTTTCTGCATTGTAACTTTGGAATCGTTTACTTATCAAACATGTGAGGTCGAACATAAACTCATTTCCCTACCCAACGCAAAGCACGTAGACGTTTCATCTTTTATTTATACAAGCCAATAAAGTAGGAATACGAGCGCTCTTGTAGAAGATATTGTCACGTATCTCGACGATAATCTCAGGAGAAACGAAAAACTGGACTCATTTTAATTTGACAGAGATGAGGAGGAGGGACGGAATGTCCCAGTAAGCAGTACGTTTTATCGTTTTGGCTTGGCCTCGGATCGCTCCCAGCCAAGTTAATCCCTTGCGGGCCGTTTCGTCCGTTCCATTCGTTTCCTGCTTGCACTGTTGCTCCTGCTGCTACTACTACTCATCCTTTTTTCTTGTTATAGTAGTCTTTCAGCATGTTGTCAGTTACCGTACGATGTTAGAAACAAAACATTTAAATAGAATTTGAAAGTTGTAACTATAAAATAAAATTAACTTTGTGTAATGACGTTAATGAAGTTTTATGGACGACTGTATCACACACTACAAAAGTCACTATTTTACAGTACAGTTTTTTATGGTTTAATATCCATTGATATTAAAATCATTGAAGTAACTAAAACCGCAAGATTAGGTTTCTGCAGAGTTTGCTTTTTTATTTAATCCGGTATCTTTTTTAAATCGGGCGACTTTTGGTCTTTGAGAGGAAGAGAAACGGAACTGGTCCCTCGTTGAGGAGCCCATACCCGGTGAAATGCCTGGACCATGAAAAATTTAATCTAGAGTCCCCCATCGTTGGTGAAACTGTCGCATCTAGTCGTCCCCAATTTCCGCGCAATGCTAAACGACTTCGGATCCAGGTCCGAATCCGAATGGCCGCTGAAAATGGAAAGGAATTATTGAAATACTATCAGTGGCTGAAATGTAGGTATATGAAAACCGTTCGTTGCATTTCCGAATCGGGTTGAAAGCTTAAAATTTAATGAAAACGTAAAAGATTTTGGAAACGATATTGCTTGTTGAGATACATTGAAGTAGATCATGATATGAATATAAAATATGTACTTAATACAGATTCCTAGAAAAATATCATTCGTATTATTGGTGTCTACTAAATCTAGTAGGATTGCTTGCAAATTGAGAATATGGAAATGAGGTAATTGATGTACAAAAAAAATTAAACTTGACATTTTATTTCTGTCGTAAAATGTAACTGTTGTCCGTCATTTTGTAAGGAATGTAAGGATTACATTGAGCTGCTTCAGCCCGGACGATGCGTTCCGAATAACAACGGTGACAAGAGCGACGTAGGGGTTGACGGTGACGTAACAGCCCCTTTGTTTTCGTCCTATTCGCAGCTCGTATTCAATATAACAACAACGAGGGACGGAGGCAGGCAATTTCAAAAAAATTCGTGTTGGCTCGCTTTTTTATCGTGAAAAAAACAACGAAAATAAATGCGCTGTCCATCGCGACTAATTGCGATTTCTTGTTGCGGTTTTTTCGTTATTAACGCGCCCGCTCTTGGTTTGCATACTACTTTTTGGTGCCGCCACTGCCGTTTAATGAAATTCAATTTTTTGTATACGCTGTTTAAAGTTTAAACATCCGGTTTGCAACTTTTTCTCATATATTACTGAGAAAAACAAACACCTATACAATTGGAGTGAAAACAAACGATTTTATCCTGTTAATTATAGCTTGTTTTTTAGTTAGTTATCACCCAAGAGAATTACCGGTAATTGACATTATCAATGTGCCATGATAATCTAGTGCTTTTGTCGGATGGGATATGAATGTTATATATTTAGGGACCAGTCGGGCCGTACCGTGCCGCCACTGCTCAGTCAGTAGTAAACGCGATAATATATCACGGAGGCAGTCAGCTGCACTCTTCTGCTGCATCACGGCTGCTACGAACCACCAACATTTTACCTACTGAAGCAGCAGTTTGCAACTCCCTACAGGATCATAAATTTTTTTCAAAATAAAACAAAACTGTAAAAAATAGCCCACGCCATCAAATAAAATAAACTTTTTTATAAACTAAATACTGTTTCAAAATTTCACAACACTATCTTAAAATCTTGTTAGATCTTCGGAAGAAACATTGCTCTTGTTAGCATTTGCCTCAAATAATATCTATCATATCTTCAATATCAATGTTGCATGATGATGAGATTCAAGGTTCAGGTTAGAACCTACGTAGATTGGTCTAACTGGATTAAGTCTATCTCACAACAAAGAACAAACAAAAATTTCATATTTTCAGTGGAATAAACACGAGCGGCCTTCCCAAGACAGTAGTCCTGCAGCATAGAAGATTTCCTTGATTGTTTGCTCTGTATTGTAGTCTTAAACAAAATCATCTTTTCTGGTTCTTAGAAACTATGCGGCATGAGTTCCTCCAGTTTTATAATCATTTCAATTCCATTAAATTATAATGCATACTTAGAATACACTTCATAGTTATAACTTAAAACTAATTCTTTATATTGGTTTTCCAGTCATTTCTGTTTTTTTGCGAGCCTGTTGTATTCAATCCAGTATGAATTCACCACGAATATTAGTAGTAGAAGGAGTGAAGAAGACCTGGCCAGGGAAGTTGTACTGTCCGCTTTTTACGCAGGATAGAAAAATAAGATGAAAGGCAGCGAAGCATTTGGGTCCATGCCTTGAATCAAAAACGGATATACCTTAGAGAATTCCATCACCTTTTTAATGAAGATGAGATGAAGTTTTTCCGATACTTTAGGATGTCACCTAATTGTAACCTTTTGACATTCTTCTTGATATTCTAGAACCGGAGTTAACGTTTGAAAACACTTTCTTTTGAAGAGCAATCCCAAAAGCAGAAATGATTTTATGCCCATAAAGATTTATTAAAAGAGAAAATTACAAAAATAATAGTTTATTGTAAAAATATGTGATATATGGAATAAAAGTCTAAAAACAGTTCTTATAAACATGTGTCTAGAAATGATTCCTTAAAAAATTATGCACGAATTCTAAAATTGTGCGAATTTCAACAAATTTCACATCGTGCTTAAAATGTTTTTCTTCGGCAGGAATATGGGTTGGCATCGTTGAACCATTGATTATCGAACACGCTTAAGAATTCCGGGGCTATTCCGCACTACACGAAAAGTATGACAGATATGGTCGGGCTAAAGTTTGAATCGGTGTAGAATACACAAGTTGTTTTAGATGGCCTCATAAAAAAAATCTATCGGAATGCAATCTGGAGAATTTAGTGGCCACGCAACTGACTCACCTCTGCCAATCCAATGATTCGGAAACGTATTATTTCAGTACTCCTTAGCAACAAGGCTGAAATGTGGTGGAGCACCGTCATGCATAAATCATAAGTCACGGCGTGTTTCCAACGGAACGGCCATTTAATCTGTCTGGTAAAAGCAGTGGTCCTATTAAATAATCGCCAACAATGCCAGCACAGATGTTACATGAAAAAGTTTGTTGGTGTCTTCATTGTCTAATCACCAGAGGATTTTCTACAGCCCATTGATGATCATTATGAAAATTCATAATTGCATCCCTAGTAAATTTTGCATTATCCGTAAAAAGCGCAATGAATTGGAAGTTCGGAATAATACACAGCTGTAGAAACCAGTTACAAAATTGCAAGCCTCAGGTCCAAAATCAGCTTCATTACGTCCCTGCACTCGCTGTACGTAATATGGGTAAAGTAGCTGTTCTTGCACAACTATCCATACTGTACTATGCAAAGCACCTTGTATAACAAAGGTTCTCTGGTTTTGATGCTTGTTCTTCTTTAACATGAAATGACATGACTTAAGCTCATTGTCTTCGTTCTAGTAATCAAGATAATTCGTGCCATAGTTGGAAGGTGATCGCGTAGGAGTAGAGGTTATTGTTTTTGTAGAATATGAAGCATGTCATTCTTGCTGAAAGTGTGGTGTTGTCGTAGTGAATTAGTGATGTTGATAACCGGGTTGACTGGTCAGGAGTTGGAATCATAGGATTGAAAATAATATTTCTTCTTTCGGCTTCACTAATTATTCCAAATATTTTAGAAATTACTTTGATTTGCAGTTGGAGACTAAACATTTTTACCGTTTCAGCCACGCAACCAAAAATTGTTTAAATCTGCGTGGCTGATTTAGAGTCCGATGAATTATCCGAGAGGTCATAAATAAATTGAAATCTCGAATTAGGTCATTTAGTTCCAAATAATTTATAAGTTTAATAAGGCGTGCCCTCTTCTCTTCAGGTGGCAAATATTCTTCTGTATAAGACAATTTTGAAATGTATTCTTGTATCTATGTATCAACATGTTCTTGGTTTGAAACATTCATAGGACTTGATAGATTCCGAATGAAAAACTGTATGAGTGGCAGAAGGTATGTTAGGATAATTATTATATTAATTATGTATTAGTACAGCAATAGTAACAGTCTGTCGAATGGTATTTTTGTTTTTGTCTTTTAACCAGCTCCTCTCACAATTTAACAGCAGATGGAGTCCAAAACTTATCTTGATTTTCAATGAAAGCTGTAATATTTTGTCTATGATTTTGAACGGTGAATTCTCCACATGGATAAGAAAAACTGTTGGGATTACTTACTTGGGAAACCTAGAACTTTTCGTATTACCGTATGTTTTTTGACAACAATGCGAATCAACTTTTATCTTGTTACAGTAATATTTCTTTTAAAACTGTTCGTTTTGAAATAAGTTGTAAGAAGTAAACTCAGTGATATGTTAAAAATACAATCTTTACGGAAAGTTAAACACGTCGATATACGCGAAGAGACAGGATTACAAAAGGATTGAGACGTCAAACGCAGCTTTGCCGCGCGACAGTTGACTCGCCCTCATCAACCAATGTCCTGGTAACAAAACGAACCGAGGGCAAGAGTTTTTCGGTGGCAAATAGGGTTATCTCTCCGTTATATATAGCCTTCAGATAAACATTGACACGGACTGAGTTTTTTCATTAAACACGAACGCCACGGTAAATCGGGCCGCACATAAAAAAAATCCGGGCAGGATTATCGTCCGGGAACTGCACACGCCCGATGAACACATTGTGCCTGGCTTGTTTTTGTAACGTTTTACAGTACAAAGACTGTTTTAACGCCGCAATTCGTTTAAAACTAATTAAATTGTTTTAAACGACAGCTTGGGAAATATATTTTACTAGCGGTATTTTATTCGAATTGTTAAAAAAAATCGGTATAAATCAAACTCATTCAGATTAACTTTACATAATCCCCTAATTTCCGTTGCATCCAGACCACAATATAGAAAGGAAACCAGCCGTAAAATAATTATTTATAATTGCTGACTACCATCTGTTGCGTTTTAAACGCGTTATATTTAGATCAGGTTAATTTTTAAATTAACTTAATAAAATAATTTAAATCAATTTATGCACTAAAAAATATTACTTTAAAAAACAACACACGTAATATTGATGAAAGAAAGGAAAAATCGAAATAATTCGTAAGATTGACTCATACAGATGAAATTATTTGTGAGTATCTTTTCGTGCGGAACTTGGAGGAACCAGACGGTGGAGGCGATGTGGTTGAAAAGATCAGCGCGCGCATCTTTTATCATAATTGAGTAGAAAGTTAGACCGTCTTCATACTCGGGGGCGCAAGAACTTGGGTATATAAAGCCTTGGGTTTTGGTGGAAGGCAAGCACAGTCACTTGAGTTCCATCAACAAAAGCAGCAGCATGAGGTTTCTGGTAAGGATTTCAAACAGAAAGTTGGATGATTTTGTTTAATTCTTATTTATTTCTTTTGTTATTTAGGTATGTGTAGTATTTGTAGCTTCCGCGGTTTACGCTAAAGATGCTGAAACAAAGAAGAATGAGAAGAGAGGATTAGATCTTTCCATTGGCGGAGGAGATTTTGGAGGACATGGAGGATTCGGTGGAGGAATAGGGGGAGGATTTGGTGGTGGACATGGATTAGGAGGAGGATTTGGGGGTGGAATTGGAGGAGGAATCGGTGGAGGCATTGGAGGAGGAGATGGTCACGGAAAAATCACGCACATCACCCTCCACAAACAAATCGCAATTCACACCCCAGTACATGTTCCATACCCAGTTGAAAAGAAGATCCCTGTACCCGTCAAAGTCCCAGTTCCAGTTCATGTTGATAAACCATACCCAGTTCATGTACCAAAACCATACCCAGTTCATATTGACAAGCCTGTCCCATACCCAGTCGAAAAAACCATTAAAGTACCAGTATCCGTTCCAGTTAAAGTACCAGTTCCAGTTAAAGTACCAGTCCATGTCCCACAACCATACCCAGTCAAAGTACACAAACCAGTACCAGTACCAATCCACGAAACTGTTTACGTTAAGAAACCTGTACCAGTTATCATCCACACCGGGCATGGACATGGAGATAGCGGATTCGGTGGAGGACTTGGAGGAGGATTAGGAGGAGGATTCGGTGGTGGACATGGAGGTTTTGGAGGAGGAATCGGTGGAGGACACGATTTCGGTGGCAGCTCTTTCGGAGGTAGCTCCTTCGGCGGAAGCTCCTTTGGTGGAAAATACTAACAAAAGTCCATGCCATGGATAGCTTGGGTCCTGTAAGATCCAAGATTTTCCTGTAGAAACCAAATGCGGCGACTGTGTGATCTAATTTAAGTTTATTTATGGTGCAAGAGGTAGCGCGAATTGTTTATTAAAATTAACAATTTTAGTAACTCGCGATTTCCTCTTGACTGCTCAACCTCAAATTTTTGTTGTAAATCACTCTTTTGTACATTACAATAAATAAAAAATATAAATAAAATCTAAATCATATCTTTTCATTGTATTTGTAAAGTTCTAAAAATCTTACCTAAGCATAATAAGTATTTTTATATTATTTATTTGACATCATTAGAAAAACTCTACATTTGTTGTACGTGATCTGGTTAGAAAAACTGGATATAGGCAGTTCAGTGTCAAAATTGCAGTCATAAATCGTGTTTATGTCGAGGTTCGCAAACAGGAGTCCTTTTTTATTATGGCACGTCATTTCGGTTGCGAACTACACTCGTCGGCAAGACACCCTTCTCGCCTCCAGTTTCGGCCGGCGTTGTTTTCCATAGGAAAACGCGCGCAAATTGCCGCATTGTTTGTCAACGTCACGTTGATAAAGTGTAAACCGTTTTGCATTTTCCCAACGGCACTTTTAGTTTCAAACCGTTTCGCAACGGACGCGGAACCCGCGAAAAACCGGGGAAAAGCTGCTGCTTTGCAAAGCTGGAAAGAGATTGCGGCTCGACCACTCTCTCGACTGACGCGATTGCGTTTATTTGATATTCATGGGATTTGCTGTTTGCCGGCGACAAAGTAAAAAGGGTCGCGCGTGCCACGTCATTTCAATGTTACCCGTTATCCTGGAAATTGCTCTTTGAAAAAAGTACGATCGATTTTCAATTTCACCTTTTTGATCTTTCCCATCAATTAACTTTCATTTCAACTAAAATGATATTAAAACGAAGAATTATTTTTAGATATTTCTTTTTGTAATTATTTGCAGGTGAAACTTAGGATTTCTTCATATTTTATGTGTATTTGTAATCATTTTTACGTATAAGTAATTAAAAAATTTTGCTTTCACTTTCATTTCCTGTATTGTGAATTAGACATTTGCATTAATCAGCGGTGCGTGGATATTAATGGTGTATTTATATAATCCAATGTATCTAAGTACATACACATGTACACATACATATAAGCTGTACTTTAATGTACCGTTACAAGTTAAACTATGCTCCTATTAACGATCGGAGGGATTTTTTTAATTTATGATAGCATTGATGCATATTGGCTCGCTAGACAACAGAATTTAACATTGAAACCAAAAGGATCCGTACAAAAATCGCGTGGTTTAGGAGAACAGATGTGCGAAGTTGTGTCGAACAAAAGTTCGAAAGTTTTAATCAATATAAAATTACGGTATTTGCATATAAAATCAATTGGATTTGATTTCAAGGTTTGAAAATATGCTACAAATATTTATATAAAGTTAAAGTTTTTTAGTTTATCAAATAAACTATAGTATTTGAATAAAAAAATTCTGAATAATAAGAAAATAAGACGCAAAAGCATAATAAAAAAATGCGTCTATTCGTAAATTCGTTAATGATGTGTTAAGCTGACGCCACACATTCGAATATTTGTCACAAATATTTGCGTATTTGGCAAATAGCCAAATTAGTGGATGAGTTTAAAGACCAATATTCGTACAAATATAGAAATTCGTCATTCGATGTTAGTAAATCAATGCTTAATACGCAGATGACGACTTTTTAGTTAATATTTAAAAAGTTTTAGTGTGTTCATGTACTTTTAATCCATACAAATGGATTCAAATGTATGATACAAATGTAATTTGGACTGGATCTCATTTGATATTGACATAGATTAACGTCACTTTGTATTGCTGTTTTAGACTTAGCTGTGGGGTTAGTATAGCTGATAATTAGTAGTATCGTGCATGTGGGTATAGAATACGACTTTGGGCTTCTATTTCTTCTATATCTATGTCAGTGCCTGTATTGCGTACTTTTATATCCTTTTTTAATTTTACATCTACGATTTACTCTCGTACTTCGTTCGTGTCCCATCCACGCTGGATATTCCTTTTTGTCGATACGGTTATTTATACTTACTACAATAAAAAAATCACAAGCGACAAACTTGTTAACTGTTAGAATTGTAAAAAAAAATTACCATAGGTGTGGTGCCATAACAATTACTGAGGCAAAGGTGATACTTTTTGATTCAGGGTTAAAGTGAAATTGTATGATCTATGAGATTGTTGGCAGTGATATTAATGCTTTAAAGTTAATAATAAGTTTTTAGTGTTGAATTTTATTTTTTGATTTTTGACAGAGTTGTATAGACTCTCCTCTGTTAACAAATAAAAGAAAAAGTAAAAACAATTCTTCACTTTCTAAACAGTAGTTCATGATAGCATATCGCAATGTTGTTTACTACTCTGAAGGTGATAATTCCTTCAATGACTCTCTGTTGTCTTGGCAAATTTTATGCATCGATGAGTCGCTTTAGAAAAATTGAAAAATATTGTGTTATAGCAGATATTAAAACTTAGTAGTAGATCTTAGACGAATTGAGATAACCATTTAAAGTTGTGGATTGTTTCAGTTCACCTGGATGTTGTTTGGAATGCTGTTGCCTTGATGACATCATCATGGTTACTGAAATGTTTCAAGAACACCAATGAACTTTGCGCAAAGTGCTCCTTAAAGGCTTAAGAATGCTATCCTCACCTTAACCGATATCAATGTCACTGGATCTATTTAGATTTGAATATATTTAAGTTATATTATCAGCAGAAATGGTCGTCAGCTGTAGTCTGAAACCCTTCCCAATTACCTGGAGAGTATATAGTTTGAACTGTCAAACTTGGGGGTGCTTTTGGTACTTTTGTCTGTCTAGATGACATTAGGTAGGTGAATAGGATAGGATGAAGAATAAATTGTGAAGGTATATGAACTATATGGAACGAGTTATCTCGAAGAAATTCAAGAAAGATGATCTTCGATAAGTTGGCAGAGGGTGCAATAAAACGCAGCCTTAACTGCTTCTATACAAAATCGGGTCAAAAAAGTTTTTCTAGACATCCCTTCATTTAATACGATATCTTTCTACAAGTAATAGAAGATGCGTTGTTGAGCAATGTGTTGTACTAGTACTTGGAGATTATTTTAGCAAATATTACTTATCTCCCTTAGGATGAAGATACCGACCATCGATTTTGGAGGTCGGTGTTTTCATAGTTTATAAATTCACAAGTATTATAACGTAGATTCCTTAAAATGCTTTAAGTATCATTATCAAGCCAACCTCATTGAAAGAGCCTTTGTAGTGATGAAGATCATGTTGTCAGCTTACGTATCAGATAGCCATAAAACATGAGCGGAAGACCTGATTAAAACGTATACTAAACATATGCGATAAGAACAGGACATCCTGAAACAATCTTACTTCATTTATCACGGTCGGGATATGATCTTTAACGGCCACCGTCATCGGATATTCATTCTAGTGAAATCAATAAATAAATTTCGTTAATTCTGGTTGTATATTTCGCTGGTGTTGACTAGAATTAGGTCGAATTACGCAGTTAGGGTTGAAAATCGTTGTTGATAACCTATTGGACACACAAAATGTTTTATTTAATCAAACTGTAACATTATGCCATGATTTAAAATAAACTTCTTTACTTACAATCAGTTGCTTTTTGTTGTACACGTTGGTGTGTTGATTTTGATATACTTTATGTTTCTTTTGAACATCAAATTAGTGAACAAATTTTAAACATTATTGTGCTGGCTCCATTGATTGATGAAATCTTAAAAATAATTAATCAAATGTAGATTATCGAGACAGAATTGTAAAATAACAGAGCTAAGTTCAACCAATTACTCTGGTGTAGTAGTGGTTTCACGGCCCATTAAAGGCACAATTTACATGGACAATTGAGCCCTTTAATTTGTACATAGTCGCGTGGACCATCCTCGGGCTTTGTGCGCGTTTAGAGGCGTTATATACGCATTTAGGTTCAGAGACGGCGCAGCGCGGCATTCGAAATCCGTTCGGATCACGCGGCCTCTCCCCGACGATGTTATAAACTCCTCTCCGTATACCCAGAGATTAGTTTAATGGCGTCCCATTTATACCAAACTAGTTGCCTCCTCTGTCGTTTTAAGTTTCTCCTTCGAGTTTCCGTTTGTATGTTTATACGAAGATGGTGAGCACTCGTAGAATTAGTTTATAACCGCCCAGAGGGACGAAGCGGGGTTAAGAGGAAGAAAGTGAGAGGAAATTTGGTGATAAAGAGAGAGAGAGGGTTCGGAATTGGAGTCTTGGGGTTGAAATAATGACGCTCGCTCAACTGTACATAAAGGAACTTTGATACTGTCCCCATTAGAATTAATGCAACGAAATTAACGGCTATAAGCAGTATTCGTAGCGCGACCCTGAATAATGCCTCTGTCTCTGGGTTGGTTCGTTTTGGGGTTTTGGAGGGCGGGTGGTTAAATCTTTCTGCCGAGAAGCCATCTAGGGAATCTCTACTAACTGCGTTACGAGAATTTTAAGAAGCTAATTAATTCTATGGTACCATTGGGATACAAAATCTCTGTTGATATTATTATCTTGATTGTATTTTCTCCAATTACTTTTCTAATATACAACAAGTTTTACATTAACTCAACAGTCCACTGGTATCTTATTTATTAGGATATGATACCAAAGAGACTATGATCATTGGTTTTGAATTGATTATTTTGGACACAAAATTTCTCCAAATAAACACTTTTGTATGTAAGTCCATACATTTCGTTAATTTAACTTTTAATATCATTTTCCAGTTTGTATGGACTACTAGAAGTCCATATCTCTCTCTCTCGGTAGAAACGCGTTTGTCGGTCCGGAATTGTTTCGTCCTGCGGGACATTTAAGCAAAACCCGACAACCATTTAAATGGTAATGTTAGTATGCAGTCAGTGCAGTTATTATGACCGCAATAACCAAGATAGTTCGCGGCGTCCGTCCGGGGCGCAGTCCCCACGATCCCCCCGCTCGCTCTTCGCATCCTCGCAGGCCATTTAATTATTCGGTTTACCTGTTATTGTTGTCTCCCGCCGCCCTCTTAATGGCCTAATAATTGCCCATTCGTTTTAACAGAAACAAATGATAATTGGAAAATGTAAAAAGAGCTGTGTATGTCGTGTGGAACTTTTTCGATCCAACCTAAAATGGTTACCATTTACCGTTTAACGACC